ATGGATTCAGATATGGATTCGCGTCTCACGAAGAGGGTCAAAGACGATCGTATGGGTAAGACTTTATGCTTTCCCTTGCTCACGGACATAGAAGCTGTAATCACTTTTTCGTTGGTTAATTGAATATCCTCGGAAGGTGTTGAGACAAGGTTGCGACACGTGGTAACAACATATCTTGAGGTGAGGCGAAGCGAATAGTGTTGATGAAGATTTTGCCGTATTGAGAGACGTGACAAGACAAAAGTTCTGGTTCACCAGGAGGAGAAAGATGTGCATCTGCCAGACCGGTATGCGACGTTCAAGTGTCTTAAGCCTTCTTTCTCTTGCGCCAAGATGCTTTAGATCAGAATCGAGCAGATGAGGGACAAGAAAGTAGTCAATAGGGGTGGATTGAGTGTTTCCAGCCTTGTTATTCTTCATTTGTATCTTAAGATATATGGATGCAAAGGGAAACGGTGAAAACATTCGGTTGTTTTGATATCTGAAGCTGCTCTATATTATCTACTTAAACGAGCCTATGATTTACCTTGGAAGAAGTTTGTTCATCACAGCATTGTATACAGACAAGTATACAACAATAATTAATTCTTGGCATGCTCTTAGAGCATAACACCTGGTCCTGTCTCAACAGAAAAGCGGCAGTCTAGTATCGACAATGTTTGTGAAAATTGATAAGCTGATTGAACCGAATTGTATTCAATACACTCTTGTTCTTTCCGCTAAATGCATACCTTACCCAGGACTGGGGAATTTCCGGTTTCCTTGGACAACAAGATGTGCTGAGTCTGACCCTTGTGAAGAACCTGGTTTCTCTGTTTTGTCGCCATTTCTCAAGTTATAACTATACCTACTTTGGTTATATCCTTTGTAATTTTTCAAATAGCAGCCCAACATCGCAAGTTCTCCCTCCCAAGCCATATTTCCATCACTCAGCTCCCTGTCTTTTATGTTCCTCGAGGGATTGATGCTTATGTTCTGTTGCCAGTGAGTGTTACAGGGGCCTCCGTCTAACAGCATCGGCTCGCCACAGCGATAGCACAGCCGCTCAACTCGGCAGCCGGTCAGCCGAGCCGTCGTTGTAATGCCGTACTGATCCCTTCTATATTTGCCCACGATTATGATTACCTCGTTACCACGGAGTCTGGAGATACCTCTGCGGAATTCAATTCATGCATTCCAATTTGCCCTGGTCCTCTCTCCTCTGGGCAAGAAAATGGTCAATTCTTTCAGCATAGGTGCGCTTTGGTACAAAGCTTTGAGGACCGCAGTAAAATACGCAGGATTCCATTGTATGCTGACCCCGACTCTCTGTAGGCCTGCCATGAAGTCAGTCCACAGCGCTTGCAGCTCAGCCGGTGCTCGCATTGAACGACGTCTGCCTGGGTCATGGAGCCATTGCAGGTCAAACCACGCAGCTGGCTCGAAGTGGAAGCAATTTTCACGAAGGACAAAATCGTGTACCTCGTTTAGTAACGAGGGGTGAATCTTGTATAAAACCGGACGCAGACAATAGCAATCCCTGACTTTTTTACCGCACATGTCGCAAATCCATCAGTGTCTTTCACCTGGTTTCTGAAGAGAGCCAAGTCGGACGTGAAGCCACTCGCGGCAAGGAATGAGCTCTGGATCACAGTTTTCGTAGATCATCAGTCGAACTTCTCTCGGTACATGTAGAAACGAAACATTTTGGATGATTGGAGCCACAGCCTGCGATCCGCCCCCAGCTGCTCCTGGGTGGGCTGGAGCGTTGGGGCCCTGATTGGGAAGTGCAGGTTGCGCGTTAGGCCCCAAAGCAACTTGCTGCTGCAGATTATTGATTCGGGCAGAGTGTGCCTTGTATCGTGGATGCCTAGCCTCTGGCATTATGATCGCGTATCTCACCAAGGGTATACTTGAACGAGTGATCGTTACACCTAGCCTGCAGGTCGTCTTTGGTATAGTAGGAAGTACAGGGTTAATGCAATTTCAAGGAAATACACTCAATGGTTTTATGGTGTGACTGTCTTCAGATCGAAATCTGCAATGTCTAGGCTGAGATTAGTTCGCTGAAAGCTGGCAGAGATAGGGCAGTAGTTCTAGAAATCATAATGAGAACTCGTCAACCCTACTTATATATAATCTGTGTGATTGTCTAATTATGAGCCAACGGTGCTCTATGCCATTTGCGTAGAAAACAGGAGGTGTCGACAAAACGGACATTTCTGTCGTCGAACAACAATCCTTTGTCCCAGGAACTTGGGAATGGCGCGCAATACTGAAAAGTTTTTTGAAGGGCTTTATGTTCGTGCAGAGAATACAAAGAAGATATGGTGTGAGTAAATTCAACAAAGACAATCTCTTGATTGCTCCATAATTGCTCATGCAGGTCCCTCTATGTTCTAAAAGCACAAAGTCCGTGGACCAAAGTCACTGAGGAAAGTAATCAGTTTTCCTCATGGGGGTTCCTGATCCCTTGTGCCTATTCTCTCACCATGTTGTTCATGCAGAACTTGAAGTCTTTTACAACAAGGAGACGCAAGGTTTTGTCTACATGTTTGTTCTCTGGAGAAAAGGACAGTAATATTGCCGCGTCGTGTTAACTAGTCAAGTTCAAAAAAAGAAACAAAAAGACTCGGAAACACTGGGGGCAATCCACAAATTTGGACATCAAGATTTCCAACGGAGTTTGAGTCAAACAAGGCACAGATCTAAGTTGATGATGGACCCCCAACTCAATCATCCATGTTCGTGTGCTTCAGACAGTAGTGGCCATAGTAGCCGTCCTGTACCTTCTCGATGACCATTAAATCAGCCATGTCTTATAGTGATGCCTAAATAAACAGACTGGGCTTCTTTGTAGGCTATACTAGTAGGGATAGCGGAAGATTACTTGAATCCGTTGTAATGTCGTCTCGGCTCAGGCCCAGGGAGGTCTAACAACGTGACCAGAACCTCCATAGAGTTCCCAGATTATCTAGCATACGTATACGTGATCAAATAGACAAACAATGACCAACAATACTTATCGAAGACATAAGTAGAGGTACTAAACCATAACATGATAAAAAGTAACCAGTGTTCTAGAAACACATGAACCATCAACTCTATCAATAAACCATTTATCCGGATGGATAATCACAAATCAGTGGTCAACTTGAGATTAATAACAAGTCAACTGCGCCAAGTAAAACGCTGTGATTATGGCTCAACTTAATATTGACGTCGTGACGCTGTTTTTGTCTTTCATTCACTCTCACGCCAACAACTTTCAGTATTCACGCTACAGTTGCGAACCTACTCAACAAACTCTAATTACCTGCAACCTACAGTATGAGAAAGTCCCACTCCTCCTTTCTCATGACAAACATTTCATCGATTGCATTGCTACGCGTGACCAAGAGTGGCCTGATGATCACAGGGAGTCGCCGACACCAAGAACACCAGACCACGATGAAGTGCTCTCGGTCTTTCTTCTCGCCGTCGCCGCCGCCCTTGCCGGCTCGCTTCATACCAACTAGGGAACGTGGAGCTTGTGGAGCAATAGGTTCGCGGCGGACTGTGCGGTACCATCACCTGATTGGTTCCAACGGCCGATAGGTAGCGCAGCTAAGAACAAGGGAATTGGAACGAGCTGGAATGTAGAATGACTCGAAGGCGACGGTTTCGATCGTATTACTGTTCGTCGGAGGGCAACTGAACAGCCACACTCGTTTTACAGAAGCACGCAGATCCGCGAGCACACCACTGCTGAAGGGACGGGGTATCTGGAATTCGAGCAGCCGATTGGCCGAGACAATGTCTAGTTGCACCTTGAACACGAGTGACGAACTTGACTCAAGTTGCATATTTGATTGGAGCACAGGGCCTCGGTTTAGAGGGGCTCTCAACTTCTGGGGCATTCACTGGGTCTTTCCACTTGAGCACAGCAATACGAGAAACCTTGGAAAGTATGCAATGCTCGACCATCGACTTTTCTCTTCTCGATGTTTTCGAGCGAGTGCTTCGGCGACTGCGTTACGTTTGGGACTTCTGCGCCGTGACTTGCCGCGCTGAACCAAGCACAGCCCGGGTTGTTAAGCTGACGACAGGCTGTCTACAACCTTGCAACTCACCCCCCCCCCCCCCCCCCCCCCCCCCCCCCCCCCCCGAAAGGGCGAGGCAAACTTGGCTACGCGCGACACCCCTGAGAGGGCTGGGCATTCTGACGTCGTTTGGTGGGGGCATCGTGTCCCTGTGTACCTCTGAAAGGCCTCCCTCTTCCCGTTCCCCTCCCACACCATCTCCAAGACCAAGCCCTGGCCAGACCAAGGCCAGGCCTGCAAGTGAAGCCTGTCAATATAACGTTCGCTAAGCTAGCGAGCGGCCCTGTCGCTGCGCGTTTCTGTACCTGCGTCCGCCCGGATTTTGCCAGGTATTTTCGGTGCCCCCGCCCAGAGATCGCACCAGAAACCCCAAAGCGCCCCGAACTCTTGACGGACTCTGGGAATGTTAGTGGAGTAGCCCGAGGCAGCATATTCCCACGCCGAGAATGTGGTTCCCTGTCGAGGGCAGAACTAGGCTCCACACTAGGAGCCTCGGCCGTTATTGCTTGCTCTGCTGCAAAGTGGGCTCATGACCGCGAGTTCCGGACCTTTGCCATGGTTGCATGGGCGGTGTGTGCGCATTTGCCTTTGGTGGGGTTTTACACTAGACGAAGCCAAGCGAAATGCTGACAGGAAAGCATCCAGGCCTCACATGATCTAAGAAAGCCAGCGACTGCTTTGTTTTTCGCTTTAATTTTTCGACACCTGTTGTAGCCGTATGTTGTTGCTAAACGAAACTCCGTAGGACCCCCGTTCAATGGATATATGCGTATATACAGAGTACCGTGATGTTGTGGTGTCATCATTATCCCGATTTCCCCCTCCCCACTCCCAAAATCATTAGTCTAGTGGTTTAGATAGATATCAATGCTCGCTAATAGAAAAATAGTCCAATATCCAATGTACACATTACCATTGCTTGGTCTGTTTCTCACTTTGTTACGTGGATGCCTTGATTTCCATGGTCAGCGTCGGCACGCGGAACGTCACGACGTTGGTGGCCGAGAGCGCTTCGGAGCCAAGACCCATGTACCCAAGGTAGGTCGCGGTCGTGGGGAAGTTGGCATGGTTCATGGATGGGAGCTTCGTGATGAGAGGGGACAGGTCACCGACGAAGTGCTCGACCGTCGCAACTGCCTTCCAGGTCAAGACGTATTGGTCCAGGCTGTTTTGGCCAAAGAAGAGTTGACTTTGAAGAGGTGGATGTCAGCTAAGAGCTCGACGACAGGTTCCCCATTAGACATAGACTGAGGTAGCACCACTTACAAGCTCGTTCCGTTGATCGTCTCCGTCGTAATGGCACCCGCGCCGTTCTGGTATCCAATGGGCTGCGTCGCTGAGCCAAATGTGCCAAACCACACCATCACTTCGTACTTGGCCTTGGTGCTGTCACTCGCAGAGTCCTTGTCGTCATCCAAGAACATATCGATCGCGACGTTAGTGTTGGTTTCGTTCTCAGTGAGCTCGGCCTCGTCCGTATTGGTGGCCGCCGCGCCGTCAGTAGTGTAGTTGCCAACCGAGTAGGACCATTCGACATCGACGTTAACGTTCGTCAGGGTAGAGATGGAAACCGGAAGGATGCTGCCGTCGACCTTGATGTTAGGGAAAGCGTGGACGGGCTGCGTCTCCGGACCGCGGGGGTAGCGCCATGTGACGTAAAATTCGGGCGCGCTGAAGTCGGTTGCGTAGGTCTGGTTGTTGAACGTGGTCACCTGGGGCACGGGTTAGCTGCGATGTTGCTCATGCATCGGGTATGGTCGCTGGCGAAGCCAGCTTCGAGTTGAACTGGGTGCATGTAGCTATGTCCAGAGCTTGAACTCGAACTCGGCGACAGACGAAGCCCCGCGATCGGGAACTGATGATAGAGGGGTTGAGTTGACGTACGTTCATGCAAAGCAAGCCATCTTCGCCTTCGTTCCAACCCCACTGGTTCGGGTTCACTACATCAGAAATCGTTAGCATGCCGAGTGTCTTGTTATGATGAAGGGCAAGTGGTGCATTGGATTCTATGTTTCCCCAGCATAGGCAAGCCAACGAAAACAGCCCAAAGATTGCGCCGCCCAGACAGGTTTCGCAATTCAAGGGAGCAAAAGGTCAACCCAGTTTTTTTGGGCTCATGTCGGAAGCTCAACACGGTCCGCGAGCCAGCAACACACAAACAAAAAGACGGGAGCCCGTGGTTTCCCAAGCAAAACGCATCAACAAGTTCGGATGACAGCGCGCAAGAGGACCGGACGGGAGAGGCTTGACTGCATCGTGGTGTCCGGTCCGTGCCGCCATCTCATGACAGAGAGAGGCAGGTACCGGAAAGAGCAGAGAAAAAGACATTGCGAGAGCAAGAGAAAGCGGGACGAGACTTACGTGTGTACTCCTGGCCCTTGGATTGAGGGTGAAGACCAAATGCCTTGGCGCAGGAGACCATGGCCGTGATGCCATTGTTCTTTGGTATCGTCCCAGGGTTGTCGGGCTCAGTGAACAATGGCTTTTCGCCGTTTGCGCTTCGGCCGGCATCGAGTCCCATAAGAATGCCGAGGGTGACTCCGATGGGGACGGCTAGCAACACGAAGTTGACGACCCAGCGGAAGCCGAGGAAAGGCATCGTGAAAAGGATGAGAGAAACGAGTGTGAAGTTGAGCCTTGCGGTGCGCTTTGCGCTGCCTGTCGTCGTTTCACCCAAGAAGGTTGAGGCGATAGAGATGGACAAGCTACAGGCGGAAATCCGGCTTGTATTCGCAACAGCAGCAGCAGCAGCAGTAGCAGCACATGCAAAGAAGCGAGAGTGGTGTGTCGGTGGCAGTCGGAGTCTGATTTAGGTATGGGAGGGTAAGGTAATGGTATCGGTTAGGTGGGTGGGAGGCTCAGGTAAGGAAAGGTTCAAGGTCAAGCAGGGTAAATGGTATGTTAGGGGAAACGCGGACGCGGGCCCCAACTTGTGTGCAGGTACTCAGGGGAGAGTAGAGAGAAGAAAGGGGGGGGCGTGTGTGGACTATCCGAACAAGTTCACAACCGACACCGTTAGGTCAGGCCGCCGCGACACTCGAGAGAGGGGGGTTCGTCCGTTCGATACCAAAGACGTGTGTATGCAGGAGCCAGTGTTTCGATGGGGGGAGGCGTCAGAGAGAATTCAGCAAGAGGCAAATGCAGAACTGAGGCACAACTGAACGAATGTCCAGATAGAGAATAAGAACCCCCTATTCCCAACAGGCGGCCGCAGCGCGCCACCCCGGAAGAGGCTTGACTTTTCCCTGTGCGCTTGTGCAGCGAGTGTAATTACCTCAAGTCTCCTTGCTCGTGCTTTTTTTTCCTCCTCGCACTGATTCCCCTCCAGTCCAATTTCTCCAACACTGGATCCCAAACAACCCGGGCGGAACGCGATGGGAAAAACGAAACGAAAGGATCGGAGTCTGGGGGCACTTGTGCTCGCGTCTAGCCGCTGCACCTGTTGGGAGTCGGCTTTTGCCTCTTGGAACTCCCCCCAGTGAACCCTACGACTCAGACTTGCGCTGATCCATCCATCCATCGTCCATCTTCCCCCCGAAAAGCCCAAGGCTCAAGCCTGCCATCCGGACAGCCAGGTCGGACATCTCAGATCAGAAAATCGACAATTGCAGGTCCTGCTTCTAAATCGGACCGGCCCCTGGCTTAGCGCACTCAATGTGCCGGCGTCACTGGATCACACCCATGCATCCAATGGTACCCGCATTTCTAGAACACGAGAAAAAAGCAGGGATTTTTGAAGATAACGGCCCTGGAAGCGGATAGGGCCTGAACTGCCCTCCACGGCCTTGGCCGACGCTTCCGGGATGCCCCCGGGCATTCATGGGAGCACTGGGGCGAGCCTCATTGGAGAGAACTGTCATCCGAACAGTGGGCTCGGCCCCTCAGCAGGAAAAGAAACTAGCAAAAGCACAGCAGAGGCGGGCGAAGGCGTCAATGGGGGAGGCACCGCAGCAAGCGTTGAGGTGCCCGTCGTTGGCCCCTTTGTGTCTGCTGCAGAGGGTCAGAGACCGGCACAGAAGTGGTGGAAGGCCAAAGAACTTGGTTGAGTCGCCCTTCATGACAGCTTCTTTCTTTCTTCCTCTGTTTTCCGTCCTTCTGCTTCGACACTATCCCCTTAATGTCTTCCGTGTGGAGAATCTCCTGGCCCCTGGTGTTGAGTCCATCCTTTCTCGCCGAAACACCCAATCCTTTTAGTGGGAACTTCCCAGCAGGCAAGAGGGAGAACGTGCCCCGAAGATCCAAAATAAAACATGCCTGGCCTGTGGACTGACAGAGAAAAAAACAACAAACCAACGGCGCAGCGGTGGGCGATCCAACCAGACGTCGGGGCTTTGGCTGGGCTTGATGGCTTGTTAGGCAAGACAGGCTAACTGTTCCCCGGTGTCCGCGAGCAGCTCACGCCCTCCCCGTTACTAACCACACACCCCTCCCTTCGGTCGTGGTGGTCTGTTGGAGCAAGCGCTTGGCGTTCTCCCTCCATGTCGACGTCGAGTCCAGCTTGGCCAGTCAACCTCTCATCAGTTTCCTTCTCCCAATCACAGGACGTGTATCCCTTCAACCGACAGCCGGGGAAGACATCAAGATTGACGCCGACTCGCAATCGTAAGAGCAGGCATTGAACGGCAACACCAGCTAGGACAGGCTCCAGGCAGGAAAAGCCACTCACGTCCAAAAGGGGGCACAGACCACAGCCTGGCTCGAAATGTGTATGAACTGGGGCGAAACCATCGATAGATACAACACATCCTCGCGCCCAGACTGGGTCGGGCGATGATGTGGGTTCCATCAACCTGGACCTACCAATTTTAATCACGTCAGGCCCTCGTCGGATCGTAATCATGGCAGTGAGGCTTAGCGGAGTCCGAGTGGGTTCCCGTTAAGTCATGTCCTTGAAGTGCGTTCGCGGGTCCCCAAGCCAGGTCCTAGTCAAATGTCTTGCTTGCCAAATGGCCCTATCCCCCAGACTGCCTGCTTGCCGCCCCCTTCCCGTCAAATCGCCCCTAAGAACACAAGAGAAAAGCAGCTGCTCGGCTGTTGTCGATTCGTCCCTTTTCTTGTACACTCCCCTTCCTCCCCAGACCAGATTGGCATCATACTCCTCCTGCCTGTCAAGTCAGTCTAGGCCCTCCTGCAAAGTGTCTGTGTTGGTGCACTTGTGCAAGCTTCTCTGCTGCTCAATGACATCTGGGCCAATGCTCTTGTGCAACTGCTGCATGTACTAAGCGGGTCGACTACTTCTTGTTTTTTCCACTTCGCTTTTAATTATTTCTCCCCTTTACACCACACCAACCCACATTCGTTTTACAACAATCCTTCAGTCTTGAACTGAACCTGGCGGGAGAGAGAACAGAAGGGAGACCGAGACGCGCGGTCACCACCTATCGTTGCTGTTTTACGTGCGGCGAACCTCTTACACGCACTCGGCGTCCGCACACACACACACACATAGCTGCTCCGCCCTAGACACGCTATTCACTCGTTCATTCCAACCGTCGGTTGGGCAACACCGCAACAATGATGAGGGGACACGGAGGACAGCAGGGCCAGGATTACCCTGAGGGCGAAATGGTGGAAATCGACGTTCTTCAAGGCCATCATCATCCTCATCAACATCAATATCAGCCACCCTACCAAAACGGCCAGCAGCAGAACCAGCACCAGGAGCAATACCAAGAGTACTCTCAAAACCCATACGGCGGCTCGTACGAGCACGATCCTAACCAGGCCGGCCAGGAAGCGTACGGACGTGCCCTCACGAACAACGCTCCTTCGCCTTACCAGCAGCAGGACCAGTTTCAACAGCCGTATCAGCAACAACAATACCCGCAGTCCCACGCTGTCTCCGGGGACGATTACGGCCCTCCTGGGTGGGCGAACCGTCACTCGATAGGCATTGCTGGTGCGCCATCAATCGGTCCCTCGATCTCAGGGATGGACACTCCTGTCGACTCGAGAGCGGCCACGCCGACGCTGAAGAGCGGTATGCAGACGCCGTTCGACAACGAACACCTGCCTCCTCCGAGGCATCCGTGGTCGAGTGATTCCACGCCCAACAGTCCCATGGTAAGAATATACCAAACGAACACCACCGTCTCCCTTTCCAGACCACTGACACTGTGAGCAGAACCAGAGTCACCAGAGCCTGCAAAACTTGCTGCCGGGGCAGGCTTCGCCTGTTCTCACTAAGGAATGGGTTGAGGGAAGCGACCAGATCGCGAGGCTTCACAAGCGCGATGATTCGGACATCTGGAAGGGCTGGAAGCGCCACGTTTTCCGCATGGTGCCCATCTTCACCGTCCTCGCCACGGGGATGTACCTTGTCTACCTCGGTCTGCGCATTTACTGCGTCATTTCTGCGCAGCAACTCGCCAATGAGATCTACGCTCAAGCCTGGGTTTTTATCGCCGTCGAGGTCGCGGTGGCTATTCCCTCCATCATGCACAACATCTGGACCATGTGGTCCATGAAAAAGCGCCAGCGCCCCAAGTTGAGGCTCATGGGCGACGAGGTCCCGACCGTCGACGTGCTGCTCACCTGCTGCGGCGAAGAGGACGACCTCGTTCTTGACACGGCCCGCGCTGCCTGCGATGTCGACTACCCCCGCGACCGGTTCCGCGTCATCATTTGTGACGACGGCAAGTCGGCCGGCCTCGAGGCTGGAATCGCGGCCTTGGCGATGACCTACCCCAACGTTCACTACCTCGCCCGCCCGAAGTATCCCGGTGTTCCTCACCACTTCAAGGCCGGTAACCTCAACCACGCCCTCGACTTCGTCCACACGATGCCCGGCGGTGCTGGTCAATTCATGGCTGCTCTCGATGCTGACATGGTACGTTGAAACTCTTTCTCGGCATTGCCCTCACCTGCAAATTCGCGAGCATTCGTTCTTGAACTTTCTCGCCCAATGTTTACCTTCAGCTCATCTAACTAACCTCGAACCTGCAGATTCCCGAGCGCGACTGGCTCCGTGCCATCCTGCCTCACATGCTCATTGACCCCAAGGTGGCCCTTGCCTGCCCCCCGCAATTGTTCTATAACACTCCTCCGTCCGATCCCCTGGCCCAGTCCCTCGATTTCTTCGTTCACGTCATCGAGCCTATCAAGGATGCCCTTGGCGTCGCCTGGTGCACTGGTTCCGGTTATTGCGTCCGCCGCGAGGCTCTTGACGAGATTGGCAACTTCCCCCTGGGTTCTTTGGCCGAGGATGTCGCAACTTCGACACTGATGCTTGGAAAAGGCTGGAAGACGGCTTATATCCACGAGCCCCTCCAGTTCGGCACCGTTCCTGAGGACTATGGCGGCCATCTGAAGCAGCGTACTCGTTGGGCCATTGGAACTGTCGACACCTCGTTCAAGCTTAACTTTTGTCTGTATGGCGAGAAGGTTAAGCAGATGACTGCGGCCCAGCGCTTCTCTGGTTTCCTCTACGCTACTCTGAGTTTGTACACCATCCTCCTGACCCTGTCCATGTTCGCCATCCCGATCATTTTGGTCATGGGCAAGCCCCTGGTCGCGTACGCCAACTACGAGCAACTCCGCTGGCTGATCCGCGCCTGTTTCGCCGCCACCATCACCAACCGACTGTGCGAGTTTGCCCTGTTCATTCCCGCGGGCTACCACACCGGTCAGCGTGGCTCCCGCTACCAGTTGTGGATGTCCCCGTACATCGCGCTCTGTATCATCCGGTCTTTCATCCTTCCGACATGGCTCGGCGGCCAAACGCAGGCCTTCAAGCCCACCGGCTCCCTCGGCTCCGCTCTCAACGAGCGCGACCCCAAGACTCGCAAGGGCATGTTCCGCCGCCTCTGGGGTGTACTGATCAACTACATGGCCATCTTCCACCTTGCTTTCGTCTACCTGACCCTTGTTGGTGTCGTTCTCACCTCTTACCGCTGCTTCTACGTCAACGATGACCTTCGCGATACCCTGATGTGCCTCATCACGCACGCCTTCTGGCCGCCCCTGACGTTCATCTTCATCTGCAGCTCTCTGTGGACACCCATCGCCTACGCCATCGACCCGCCCAACATGCCGGAACGTGAGCAGCTCCTCGACCGTGACCCCAAGACTTTCGTCGCGCACCCAACAAAGCAGAGCAAGAAGATCGCCTTCGGCGGTCAGGCCGCGTGGTTCGAGACCGAGTTGACTGTTACGACGAGCTACACCATCCTCGTCTTCGTCCTCACCTTCATCTACTAGATTGCTTGCCTACTCAAGCCATGGCACATCCTCTTCTTCTTGCATACTAGCCGCAGACAGGCTGCGCCTACGGAAGCGCTTGAGACATACACGCACACAACAATGCGCGCGCATTCAAACGTACAAACAAAGATGACTGTTACGATAATGTAATGCTTGTAAGCTACTGCACATAGATCAGTATAGAATTACGCACACAACGGGGGCGCAGAAACCATCATCTCCCTGCTGGAAGGGAAAGGGTCATAACATCATGCATATTTTCTCTATATCGAATACATAAAAAAACATTCATAAACACACTGTCCAAACTTGATGCTTAATTCCGCCGACACTAAAAGTCTTGGCATAGCTAGCCTTCAGATTCAGGGGCGTACTTTTTCCGCCAAGAAAACCCTCCCTTGCCTTGTGTCCAGTTTTCCCAACAAGCGCCGTTGTCAGTGACTTTGTCTGACCGCGTCAAGCGTGTGTGCCCAAGCTTGACCATTCATGGCGTTACGGGAGGCTGGGGCCCAAGACACGGTATCACTAGCCGAGTCCATCATTCGTCATAGGCGCAAGTTCGTCGTTGTGCTAGAAGTCCGCGTCCTCGCAGGTGTCTCGCTGGAAAATGCACCCTCAAAATGTCGACTGTTTCTAAAGGAACGCGGACATTGCGCCAATCTGCAATTCGATAGGATAGTACCTCTGTAAGACGTCCAATTATCCCCTCTCAAGCCTTCTCTTCCTTTGCCCCTACTGTTCTTACTTTTCTTCTGTGCAGCTTGTCGCGCGCGGCAGCCTCCCATCGCCGGTTGGCTATGTTGCAATTTACAGCTTGCTGATACGGCGTTGCTGCGGTCTGATAAGAAAAGAGGGCCTTGGCAGATGTGCGTTGCGCTGATGCTGTGTAATGGTTGCACCGTATCCGTATCCCTTTACTGTGACGGCCGCGGCTCTCTTCGCTGAAAGGTACTTTGGGTTCAGGCGTCACCCTCCTCCTCTTCACGCTTCCTCTTCCTTGATTCCCTTGCGTTCGGCTTTGCCGCACGGTGGGCTGGTGGTGGAGTTCTCTTCCATGAATGCAACCCCCTCCCCCGGTGCCCGGCTCCGTCCGCAGACACAAGGACATTGGTCGCCTACCCAGAAGGAAAAGCAAAAACAGAGAGTGCTGCCTCATCGCCTCCCGTCCTCTGTGCAATTTAACTGAAAAGCCCCCCCCCGATAGCCGTTCGCAAGAAAAGAGCGTCAACGTGTCAAGTGCCCGTCACTACACTTGACCTTTCCACCTTCTCCGTCCGAGCTTTCCAAGGATCCCACCGGCCTTTGACCCCAAATCCGGGCTCTGTTGCCTGCCAGTAGACCGCCGAGGTGGAGTGCCAAGTATCTCGAGACGAACCACAGCCAAGGAGATTAACTTCTGCTAGCACTGAGGAGTCGCTCACAAACTTGCCTGCCAATGGCGCCATGGTGTGCGCCCGAACCACCCCTGAGTCACGAAGGCTTTTTACGTGCTAGCAGCTTGTTCATCGTCAGTCGTGCAGTTGACACTGTGCCATTGTGGCTTGAGCTTTATTGCCTAGGCACACTGCCTACCATGGTGTGTGCATACAGAAGCTGCTGCACCTTTCCTCCTGTCTCGGTGAATTGTGATAGGCTGCGGGTGGCTCGTCAAATGGGGGAAGTCGAGTTGTCTATTTTTAGGGCGGAAGTCGCATGTAAACACATTAGGAGCTTATGTCGCGCCACACGATTACGCTCTTCAAGTCGACATTGATGTAAGGATAACAGTCGCCGATCACATGTTCCACCACTCCTCACCAACTCCCGACCAAGCCTCGTTTATGGAATTACTTTTATGACCGCTCATCTCATCCAAGGTGGCATCTGTATCGGACTGTTCAGGAAACAAAAGCTCACCGACAGCAAATCAACACAGCATGTCGATCGCTGGAGTCGCAATCAAACACTCTTCAACGCTCTCTGCGTGTTCATAGGGCGGGGACCACTGTTGACTGCTCCCGGTCGCGCCGATCCGGCGACCCCCGCGTGCCCCGGCCGCCAGAGCAACCACTCTCTCCGAAGCAACCTCCAACAACAGCCCAATGATATGAAGCCGGCGGCAGCCCACTTCACAGCCATAAGCGGGCTGTGGGGAGACACGCAACTCTGTTGCTCTTACCCCGCCCTCAATGCATGAGTTTGTTGAGAGGGTCATACGAGGCGATCGGCTAGCAACGTCACATTACCGTACATTTGACTGCAGTTGGAAACCGCTCAGGTGATCTCTCAACCTTGGGTAATCAATTCTCGCATCATCATTATAGCCTCGGTGTCTGGGCCTCAGAGAACGAAAAGAGCTCTGTATCAGGAAGCTTAAAGTGGCAGGCTCTAATTATAGAGGTGCCTCTTGACAGTCGGTTGCTGCCAGCGTTTCTGAGCTGGCTAAATCGCGACGTATCATCCATATTGTCTTCGGAATGGAAACGTGAAGGAACCGCTCGCAAGCTTCTGCTATCTGTTTCAAGGCGTTGATTCACCGGTCACATTCGCCATTGATGGCCTAGCTGTGTGAGCAGAGTCGACGCTGCATGTACAGGCGTGTCAATCCTGTTCGCCCATCTCGAAGTTACAGAAGGGCTTCGCTTTCAATACGATTGTAGTTGTTAGTGAGTGACAGGCTTGCTCGAAACCTAACCAGAAGAGACAAGTCATTCTTAGACTTCAGTTCACTGACTTCAGTGTTTTACTTACCTATAGCATGAACCTGTGAGTTCAAAGAACGACGACTTTTCCCTTGTTGCACAGCACACCCTGCGATGGAATATATCAGGAGTAACGGTTATCAACCGTTTTATGCCAGGTCCCATAGTAAAGCACATCGCTGGTAGAATGACCGTTCTAGAGAGACGCTGATGTTGATCACCAACTTCGGCCTCTCAACACTACTTCCGCTCGTAGATCTCCATGTTGAGGCGCTGGGAGTAACAACGTGCCTTGTCAGACTACTTCTCATTTTCGGATAATCGGCAGCTTAAACTCACTGAAAATCTCTTCGATGAATTAGAAAGACGCCTCCATGACAACATTGTCGAAGAATGTCAACTACAACGGTTGTGAGACTCAAGCAGATCAATGATGAACTCTTTGGACTCCCTTTTCGGTAAATCGAGTTTTCCATAAGGTGGAAAACCAGATGCTTCAGCTTCGACATAGCCTTTATCAGTATGGTTTCCGCTAGCATAGATTTTCTAACATAGAACAGCAGGATTATTGTCGTTCAATGCCGTGACGTCCAACTATCTGGCAAAGAGTTCGTTCTGTCTAGCTGGACTACATGGCCCATGTCTTCTCGTCATCGACGAGAGTCTTGGCCGAATTCATGTCATCCGATGCAGCGCGAATCCAATCGGTACAATCTTCAGCCAGAGTCCCATACTTGAAGTAGCGTAGCATGTTTCGTAGTGTCGTTGGCCCGAAAGGCCCGCCAGATGACGGGAACTTAGCATCTATGGTTACCAGCAGCTGGTAGGCGTTTGAACCATCAGGTAGGTAGGTGGATTGGTGCTTGTGGGATGAACAAAGTAAAGTATATGTTGTGATATAAACAGAGCAGAATAGAAACGATTTGACGGGCGGATGAATGCAAGCTTGTGCTAGAAGAAACGATATGGATGATGTCGGTTGGTCTTACAGAGATTTGCCCTCCTGATGATCCTTCCAGTATTGTATGCCCTATGGTCTTCCCCACTGGGGTAAAATGGATGTCGGCTGAGTATCGCCTACTAACTTAGAGGCTAGAGGTACATATGTTTAACCTAAAACAGGTATCATTAGGAATTTGGTTCAAGATGATAATAGTAGGATACACCGCACGATTGACATGTAGACCGTGTAGCTGATATACGGAAAGCTTAAGGATGCTCCCTATCTGAGGTACCTGCGATTAAACGCAATGGGGGATGGTGGCTAAACTAGACAGACTTTACGATCGTAAATATCTGTTGAAATCAAAGTCCTTCTATTGTTGGAATCTATGAGGCCTTGCTTTCTTTAAAAATTCTTTCTACAGTTGAAAGTGCTGGAATAGGATCGTTTTCGGACTTCCTTTTCTGAAATTCGCCAGAACGTGACATGGCTGCGTGCGTTGATGGCTAAGCGTGAGTGATCTCGACATCAAAGCCTGGTTTCCAGCAAGAACCGAAATGAAATATTTCAGTCGCTGCACTTACGCGATTAAACCAGTATCTTCTCATGTATACGTGCAAGCCAAAGTACGTTTACTCCGTCACACTTGTTTGACGCCTTTGGTAAACAGGAGCTAACTACGTAATAAGGCACCTATCACTGTCCTAGGTCTAAGCACAAAATAACAGTGTGCTATCTCCACGTATGTGACTTGAGTCTCAAGACGACTATTTTTCTTTACAACAGAATGCAGAAACCCATTAAAAAACATTACACCGCTAATTTTGTAATAGATGCTCGTCCGACTTACGGACACTCGTTGTCACTCATTTTCCGGACAGGACAAAACGTCACAGCCACTTCAGCTTGGTCCTAGTTCCGGAAACTGCTGTGTGTATGGTTTGACAGCTCTGACCCTTTGTGATCGGTGTTACACTTCATGATTGTGTGTCCAAGACAATGGTAGTGATCTCTCTCAGGAGATAAATCCCAGACCAGTCCTCCGAGACTGGAGGGTTCGTGCACGTTTTGACAAGCCTCGGCACTATGCACACAACCAAATGTTGATTTAGCTACGTCTCACACATTAACTACTTCTCCACAATCGCATTCGTCTTCCTATCTGCTTCCGACCCAAGGATTATGAGAAAATCGCACAGACTGCCGTCTACGAGCCGCTTTCCATGCCCTGCCCCCATGCCCGGTTGCCGGTTCCCAATCCGGCAAACTGCCAAAGCGTTCGGGGACTAGACGCCGTTTCATCCCATTACCAACGTTCACCGGAGCTCCGTGATTGCCTTAACCGGAGTTCATTATAACCCGAGAGCCTGTACCAGCTTAGTGAGTTTGGACGGCTTCAAAGTCTGAGTGGGTCTTCGTTACTATTCACCAGGCGAGGAGATTCGCTCCGGCGTCGCAAGATCTGAAGCGATCAACCTAGAGCAAGCTCTACCCAAAACGTTACTTCAACCCGGGACCGAAAGACCCAGGACGACCCAGATCTTGGAGCGATCGTCCGGCATGAAAGTCGTCCCAACCCTCCAAGGTTCGTGGTTCTGTCATAAATTACCTTTGATTCCTAGTATTCTCAGACAAGCTGCGAACTCTTAATCAATTTAGTGTTGTAATTACCTTTTGTGCCTTCACGTCGTTTCTGCTCGTTTTCCCTCATTTTCCATCTTACTTCCGATCGCTCTGGTTAGCGAAAGTAGTCAAGATGAGGGCCTCTATTCTCCTAAGCTCGTTAATTCTCAAGTTCGTATTTGCGGCGCCGTCGAGTAAAATTGAAAAGAGGGATCTTTTGACGATCCAGAACGCCTTCATCTCTATTTCAACGGCTGCATCCAACCTAGATGTCGCTCTCAGGGTGATGCGCTCCCTTCTCCTTTAGTCCAAGGGATCTTTTTAACATCTTGTCTCAGGCCCTGACGCCCGATCCCAAAAGCGCCGAGACGCTTGTACCGGCCATGATGGACGTTGAATTTGCTCTCACTCAAGCCCGTACCGACATCGTGCCTACTCAGCCAATCTCAATTACTGATGGTATCGTCCTACAAAATGCCGCCGACACACTAGCTAAGAGCGTTAAGATTATGGTCATGTCCTCAATGCTCCAGCGCCAAACCTTGGACCAAGTCAACATGACGCCGATGCTCTTGAAGTCATACATGAACCAAAATATGCTCGCGGCTGCTCTTGGCCAGGCTGTCCTAGCCAAGATCCCAGCCGAGAGCATCTCCGCTGCTTCATCAGCGTTCGGCGGGGCTGGTGGCGCTGTCGGTATGGGAATCATTTCCCTCAGTAACCCCCCCTTGGCAATGCCGCCTGCCATGGGTGCACTACCCACGGCTCCTCCACCAACGGCTCCTCCAACGATGGATCCTGCACCGGCGATTCCCGCACCGGTGACTCCTGCGCCAGTGGTTCCTCCGCAGACCGGCTCACAGCCAGCAACTATGAACGTCACTGTGGCCCAGGTACTGGGGGGTCCATCTAAGTCTAAGAAACTTTGATGAGAAGGAAGTTGGCGCTCAGCGTCGAGCAAAACCGCGTCAGGGGCTGTCCAACTGTTGCTCATCTCATCACTTTGTAGGACGAAAACTTGCAGAGAATAGCCAATAGAACTTATTAGGGCATGGTCTGGTTGGCCCTGATAAGCTATTGGGTAACCGTGTGCTCGCAGTGGTTCAAATAATGTGATGAACGATGAATCTGAAACAGACAGTCTCAACTATTTTTGGACAAGATATTTAGCTTCATCGCCTTTCCTATCACTGTCTCTGAAGTTCCTGATCACCTAAGAACACCTTCACTCAAGGCTCTACGGTTACCGCAGCATATGTATGAAGTACTGGAAAAAATATCTTTGCGTATTCTCGAAATACTCTGGTGCTTTAATGGTGGCTGCCGAGTCATCAATTGGAAGTGAGCCAAAGACTTCCCCATTATTGGACTCGAGCACTAGTCATAAATCACCTGTTTCCCCCAGTAAGCCCTGACTCTGGCGTTTTCAGACTTGTAATTCTGTCGTTCTTGAGGAGGTGTTGCAAGGATGTTTGCCACCTCGATGCTCCCAGCACTTTGGTAGACCACGACCGTTACATGGGTTAGCAAATGACATACTTAGTGAGCAGGAATATGCATAACGATTTCTGTGTAAGGAAAATGTGTAGCCCGTTTGTCGCTATCGAAGCCACAGGACCAATGACATTCCATGGCACCTCGAAGCAGCACCCCTTAGTCGCCATCTGGCCACACTATACGGCTAGTATCACCCTTGCTCCAGTATCCCGAGCCTCCTTTGCGCCAAATCGTTGATCTCTCATCAAACGAGTCTTGCATTTCTTCAAATTCCCAGTCGCTTGGGAAAGGTCTTGAATCCTGTGAAGGGCCTCGAAAAAGCTCAAGTAGTTGATGTCTTTCAAGGCGATCCCAGTCCCAAAGTACGTAAGCGCGGTCTCGAAGCCAAGCGTTTTCTTCAAGCATAAGCCATGCGATCAGTGGTAAACCTGCGTGTGCAACGTACCAGGCCTCATAGGACCCCTTGTCAGTATCTTCGTCATTCTTGCGCTTTGTCATTACGGGAAGTAATTCGTCTTCGGTATGCGCTTCCAAGAGAGTATCGTTGTCAATATAAGCCTCAAGCACATGGGATAATGCTGAAGGAAAGTTTGATTGGCCGTTGTCAAAGGAAAGCTGTAGTAACTACTTCAATGCATCGTAGGAAATTTGGTCAGTCAGTCGATATAAAAATACTATTCCTTCTGAGACCTATCATTATCATAAGTAAAGAGACGATGGATGATTTAAAACGTTATCTAGCGGTATAATAACCAACCCAGAGTTGCCTGTGGCTGTTTTCCAGCCCATCAGTGAGATAGTCGACTGACATTTCGCCAAACTCGAAGTCATGTGCGACAAGTTCGGAAGATGCTAGACGCGACGTCAGACCATGTATCAAGAATCGTGCATGTATTTCGGGCTTAAGGGCATACCTTTAGTAAGCTTTGCTTCGAGGAAATCATGAACACAGCCAAGCTGCTCGTTTTCCCATGGCGCGTGCCTCGAGAAGAACCAAGGATTCATGCCCGCCTCCAAGACGCCACTAACACCGCGAGGGCTTCCACTGAATAGAGTATAGAACAGTTCAACGCGGTAGAAGGCACGGCAAAAGCGAAATTACTCGGCGTGCGACATAGTTGCGCTGGTAGACGTGTTTTTCTTATTGTCTCCGTTGAGACGACGCCAGGCATCCGTGGCAAATTCGTAGGCCATGCTCTGAACCGCGTGGTGGGTGAGTTCCATCTTCTGTAAGAGGGCGACTGGCATTGATGGGAGTCGGGCTGGGAGCTGCGCTGGCTCGTTGTAGAGGACGTCGAGCAATTTGCAGACGGAGAAGCTTTTACTTGGACGCGGTAGGCGTGACGCTTCCACTATGACGATAGAATAAGGAACCAGAGCAGGTGTCACATTACGACGAAGGATGGTTGCTTCGATACCTGGCTCTGTTTGAATGACGAAAAGATATGGTGGCAAGAGAGCAAAGCTGGTTTGAGGGATTGAATGTCGTCGAAACTCCTCAAGATGCAAGCCACCAGCTCACAAGGAAGATCCGTAATGAGAGTCATATCAAGAATTTGCGATACCAAGTCTCGTTGAACAGTCTAGCAACGCAATGACGTAGAGAAGGAACCCTTCTTAACGAAGAAGTATGCGGGAGGACGAGGTCTAACCCCGCATTGTCCATCCCCACATTTGTTACAGGTCACCTACCATCACATTAGGTTGTCAATTCAATGTCAGTTCCAACATAAAGCATCCAACGTAAGCGCCCGAGTTCTAACAATCATGGCCATCTTCCCAAATAATCCATGTCCTTTATCTAGAAATAGTATATTATCAAACCGGAACTGCCAGAATGATACTAATGATAGATTTGATCGGGTTCGCGCGAACGAAGCCAAAGGAGGCGCCCGAGATTTCGAACAAGACGACCATTTTGTTTCCACTTGGAGCGCTTGCAGTCTTGGCCACGAAATGGATTGGGCGTGAAGCACCAAATCGGGTCTTGGGACTGTGATATTCTGAGATTGCATGTTACAATTGAGCGTCAAGAGGAACTAATTTTACTACCACAAGGCGGTTGCTACTGTCTACTTAGTGAGGTTGCTTAATAGGCCAGTCTATGGCTATAAACGCCCCTGTGGTTATTGGATATAAATGACAATGTACTCAACAATTATTGGACATATGGCTTTTGAATCTAATTGCCTTTTCCTTCGTTTTCATGTAAATCACTAAAACCTGTGCGGTGAGACTCAACGATATATCCTTTTTTTGTTGACAAACACAGGTTCAGTAATACCTTGCTGTCATTTCTCCCTTCCGTGTGCAGGTCACAACTGTGCCACTCAAGCCCTTCATGTTCAGACCAGATCCCGCTCAAGTAGCCGAACTGCAAAGGAAGTACTCTGGCCTCGATAACAACTTGGCATATGTCGCCGGACATACCATCGATAACAAGTACTCGGCGTACAAAGCTGCTGATAAGGCGGCGGCAGCCGCAAGCTCTACATACAAGAGAACAGCCAACGTACTCAAGCAGAAGAAGCCATACGACCTCAACAACCCAGCCTTGGGGCCTGTGGGAGGGAGAGGCATGTATACTAGAGAAGGCCACCAGACCTTAGCACCTTTAGCTGGCACTGCATCCTCGATTGTGGCTTTGTAAGTGTTCTGGAATCTTCTCATAGTCTCTGTTGGAAAGATAGCTAATGGTCCTGTGACAGCCATGCCGATAGTCGTGACTCATGTAATCACCGGTACCAGGACGTGCTGGAAGCCAAGGGACAATACAGAGAACACGTAGAGCAAGCTCAAAATGCCCGAACAAGCTCAACTAACTATGCCCATTTTCAACAAAAATATTAGCTTTACCATGAAGCACGCTGATCGAGCCTTGTTGTACGCACTATTTGCTATGAAAAATGTTGTCCCATCGACTGTTTGTTAGGGGGTTTAAGGCACGGACTTGGAGATCACAACTATGATACCTGTTGTTCTGAAATTCGGCCAATGTCCACCACTGATTTCGAATTTTTTTACTAAAATTAAAGGAGCCTTATGAGCCAAGTGCTTAATTGCACCTGCAGCCATCAAATCCTTATCATGACATAATCCTATCTCAACTTCCTCTTTTCTCCTCTTAACAGACTAAGGGCTAAATGCAGCGAGCAACGCCCGGTCCGAGGCAAGTAATATTCTTCTTGCCGCCTCCAATAGCTGCGAAATGCTATTAAATGCAGCGATACTAGCTCCCTGCATGGCATGATGCACGTTAGCCCCATAGAGCTAACTACGAGTACTTATGTTACTCTTCAAAACGCTCAGGCCAACCCTGCTGGCGGGGCGCGCGGGCTGCGAGACACCTGGCGCAATACAGTCCCACTTGGCTTTGTCGTCCGAACTGGGCGTTAGCGTTACGGCAACATGTGCCGTGACAAGGTCTTAGCTACGGATCGCGGCAATGTAGTCAGCACTTTAGGCGCTGGTGCAATTGGCGGCCTCAACCAGCTTGTTTATGGTTCCTTGGTGGTTTCCAGCATTATTTGTAATTTTTGAAGACAGATTCGGGGCTGAAGTAGGTGTTTCTTACAGTCGATACCAATTGATAAGGATTCAGGAACAAGCACCTCGTGTCTGGAACGCAAATGGCCAGCCCTTTCCGACATGCAGAGGAATGCATAGAATAGATTTAAGATTGACCCGCCACTCCGCAGGTTCCAGCGGCCAGCAACACATTTGTAGTGTGCTAGAGAAGTCGTTTGGGTGCCGAAGAGGGTGGGCCACTTCCTGGGATAGCTGGGACTCATTCCTAAGTTTACCACGATGAAAGTGAACTTGTGGTAGATGTGGCAGTTCGTTTGAGACGAAAACCCATCGTCTGCTCTCCAGAAGGGCCCAGGTGTAATTTCGGGATGGCCGCTTTTGGAGCTACAAGTTTGTCACCCTCAAATACAGCCCGGAACCCTCCTGACGCGCATGAGTCGTATGCCGGGGCTTGCTGCATTATTACGGAGCGTCCCGATTGCTTGGTGTTTTAAACGGACAGCACAGCGGCCGCTGACAGCACTGTCATTATACAGCCCACTCAAGGAGTTCAATTTGTGTTACGCAGTTTTGATGTGGAAATGGACGCAGAGAGTGGCCAGTCCAGAGGTTTTGTACCGCCACAGGTAGGTTGAACGTGTCTCAGCTTGCGCGGCCAACTTTGCCCTTGAATGCCTCAGCTTCTTGAGAGGATCTCGGCGTGCGCAGTGGGGCTCGGCTCCTTGGGGTCGTCCTGTCGGTGTGAGCGGGAGGCCTTGTTGTTTTACCTTCAGGAATTCATAACTCGGACTGCGGTTGCCCAGACATAGGCTCCATCTTGGGGTTGTATCCACCTTCTGCCGTGGGCATTAAAGATGATCACCCTCCCTGCGCCGTTCTTTAAAGTAACAACATTGGGATCTTGGTTCCTTGAAGGTCTTTCGCAGCGCTGCTTTCTCGGCCTAAGTGCCTTGCCAACTGGTCGCCATACAACGCGGCGACACCACAACGCGAGCCTCGTTAACACACAGGGCTCGTTCGGCAAACGTCCCACACAGTACAATGCCCTACCCGTTCATGAGGGCACAGAGCAAGTCTTCCATCTGTAAACTCGTTTTTCGGACACGATGTACTGACTTGTGTCACAGCAGTGCCAACGTTGACGCCTCAAGACGAACTAGAAAACGCTTCGATTCTCCGCAACGATGCCGACAACGGCCACTTCCAAGGCCTGCCCGCCAAGCGAAAGTCGCGTTTAAAAGTGTTGATGAGGGTATTTTCGAGATGGGCGATCACGATGTTCATAATTGTCTCGGTTTACATCGTCATCTGGGTCTACTCAAGCAAAATGGTCATGAACCAGACTACGAAACGACAATACAACGCCCTCATCACTGGTCTCTCCATCGCACTGGGTTTGGCAGTGGCTAGCAGTCTCAACCACATGGTGGCTGAACTACGGTGGTGGATCTTGAGTCGCCGATACAGGTCAAAGCGCAAAGTCGAGCTGATTCTGCAGGCTGATAACTTGAAGCATACCATCATGCTGGCAGCCAGGTCGAAGCGTTGGTCAATTCATCTCGCAGCGTTGGGTTGGCTCATATTGACGATCGTGAGATATTCCACAACTCTTGAAGACAGCAACTGACTGAGCCATCCAGGGCTCCCAAGTTGGTCTCGCTGCTATTGGTCTGTGCTACGCCACCGATACTGCCGACAAAAGGGCTTTGCTGGTCCACGGAAATGTGTCAATCGCAAATATGGACACAATCGAAACGTCCAAAATTGTGAAGTCGAATTCCAAGGCCCTCGGCGCCCAGCAGTATGCCGCAAATAGGTCGGTACCGTTGAAAAAGACACCTTAATAATCTCAGACTATTGATCTAATGACACAGTTACGGCACAATCTCCTTGGCTTATGACACAGCCACAGTGGAAGAGGCTCCGTTGGCTCGAGCCATCATTGTGCCGAGTGATCCTTTGATGTTTTGCTCGGAAAGTCTTTGCAAATATGTATTTTACGAGACATCGCAGGCGTCCATTACAAATGAAAATAGCAACCCCGTAACCATCGCCACAGACCGCAGCATCAACTCTACCTCCAAATGCACAGCGTGGCCTGTAACGAGTGGTGGAAACGGGACGAGTCCGAATATTACTGTCGCTCTCGAGAACAACGGTCGGTATAACATCAATATCCCGGTACAAGGTGGCACCGACCAGACGACTTTCATGACCAACAGCGAGTACGAGTGTGGTGAAGGATGCGCCACGGTTGCTGCCTTCGAGGCCTCAGATACCTCATCGTGGTACTATGCTTGCAACATAACGGTTGGGCAAGTCGCGAACGCCACGATTCCGGAACACCAAGTCGGTTCGAACCTGACGGCTATGGCTGCTGCCGCCATTGCTCTTCAAGGATACGCCGCCTCGTCCTTGACCAACAGCACCAGTTTCCAGTATCAGATCTATCCTGCCGAATCGGTTTTCGGAACGCCAATGAATGGCACAACAGATATGCTGGAAGCAATGTTGTCAAGATTTGCGATTGGAGTTATAGCTGTCGCAGCAGAGAGTAATACGCATTACGTTGTGGAAGGAACCATGCCCTTGAAAGGCACCAAGCTCAACGTCTCGCACTGGAACTTCATACATATGATTTTGGTACTCACAGCAACGCTTCAGCTGGCACTCGGTATTGCGGCTGCGCTGGTTGCTAACCGGGTTGTGGTGCCTGATGGCGGCGCTGTTGAGATGGCTCGGGTGATGAGGACAATGGCGATTCGAGGCCAGACGGCGAACAGTGACCCTGGCGAAAAAGGTTCGACTCGAGGACCCAAAGTCACTTCGTTATGGATATATAGGGACCACTTGGTCTCGAAAGACGGACTGTACGATCTGCATATGGAGGAGCAACGGTTTCACGCTAGGAACGAGGACGGGATGATCGAGATGAACCATCAACGGCCGAACACGAGTCATACCAGTCGTGCGTCAACACCGACAAAAGCATAGATGCCAGCGTAATGCAAACAGTGATATAGCCCGTACGTGAGAAATTTCCAATATGCATGTTAACGCCAGGTAAATCTTCCTTCAGCAGCTGTTACACTTTGGAGTTATTAAGCTCTATCTGGCATGATGTTCAGTCAAAGGGGCCATCACTGACTGAAATGGAAGACTATGATAACCTTCTGCAGCAGGGAGAGCTCGGTGAAGGGGACAGCGTTGAAGGTAATCGGAATGTTATATCGATAATAGCTCGGGAAAGAGGCATTGGACTTGGTGTAATACACAAGGTGTCGCAATGCCCTCACGCGCATCGCGCAGCCTTGTGAGATTTGCGCCGGGCCCAGATTAACTATTAGTCCGGTCCCTTTATGCAGATCCACCACGCAGGATATATATTTATTTATTTTAGACAAAGTAATTTTATATATAGAAATCTAAGCCGTTTTCCTTATATCTTTTTTACTTTAAGTAGTAACTCTATAATAGTTATAAGCTTAGCTTATATTATACTTTTAAACTATTATATTTAGAGCATATTATAGGCTAAAAAATCTTTTTTAAATAAACTATTTTTATTTTTTTAAACTAATATCTTTAATATATTTATTTTTATTAGAGTTATAAAGAAGCTTAAAACATAAAATAATTGGCTTTTATAGTATATAACTTTTTAGCTTAAAGTAAAGTTAAAGTATATCTAGGAATTTATTAACTTAAATAAACCTAAATAAATAAATAAAAGTAAACCTAAATATTTTAATAAGATCCTAAATACTTTAAGGATTTTTACTTTTAATAAATTTATTACTAATATAAATCTTAAATAAACTAATAATAAACCTCTTTTAATAATAACTAATTTAAACGTTAAGGTTATATATTAAATATATATCTTAAATATTAATATAAAAGAAGCTATTTAGAAATAATAAAAAAAGGTATTTAATATAATTAATATATAAGTAAAAATATTAATTACTAAATCACTTTTTAAGTTAACTTAAATAAAAGCTTTAGTATAAAACTAAATAATATTTTACTTAATACTTAAGATTTTTAAGTAATAATATATACTAAATAACTTATTTAGTTAAACTATTATTTAAGAAGAATATCTAGTTTTATTAGATTAAGTAGCCTTAAGTATTAACCTATTTATCTAGTTAATAAAATAACAAAATTCTTACTTTTATATAAAAATCCTAGATTTACTAAAAGTCTAAAGTACTTTTACTTTAAGAACCTTTTTAAAAGTAGTATTATATAGAATTACTTTATCTTAAGTAACTTATAAACTTATAAAAATTATTTAAAATAAGATAATAGGTTTTTTAGTTAAAAACCTGGATAATTATATAATAATCTTAACTAGTATCTTATAGAAAGACTTATTAGTAATAAAATATTATAAGAGAAAGCTTAGTATTTATATAACTTTAATAAATTATCCTATTATATTAACTAAGAATAATATATACTATTTCTTACTAAAAAACTTAAATAAAGTATATATTTATAGCTATTTATATTATTAGCTTTTACTTAAATATACTTATATAAAGAAAGCCTTTACTAGCTACTTACTTAGACTAGCTTTAATTACTAATAATAATATATAATAAATCTGTAATTAAATTAATAACCCTTAGAATATAGACCTCTAAGTTAAACTTACTTAGAAAGGGTAGCTTTAGGTAATCTTTTTGTCTTAAAGAAGAGATCTTAAAAGATATAATAATAAGGCTAATAATAATAAAGATAATAATAATAGACTTAGTAATAACTTACTATTAAAGGTTATTATATATATTATTAACTTTATCCTACTTTAACTAAACTTAGATAAAGCTACTTAGAAAAAGGAAGTTTATAGTATCTTTATTACTCTATATTTTAACCTATATATCCTTTTATATAGCATTATATTAGATAACTATAGAGCTACTTACCTAGTAAATAATGTATTTTTCTTAAAGCTAAGTATAGTCTAAGTAGTTAAAAAAAGCGATTAATAAGTTAATTTAAGTACTACTTTATACTTTATTTATGTAAAAGGTAGATATGTAATTAAAGGGATTCTTAGAAGCTAAAATAAAGTAAACTAGGACTTTATGCTTAAGAATATAGTATATGTAGAGAATTTTTATATAAATATTATATTAAAAGCTTTACTTTGTATAACAGGTATCTAGTACTTAGAACTTAATTATACCCTTTAATATAAAAAATATTTAAATAGCTTTATAGTTAAGTAACTTATATAAAAAGTAAATATTACTTTCTTTAAATATAAGCCTCTTATTAATTATTTTATTTATATATAAATCCCTATAAGTAATACAGCTATAGTTAATATTAATATAATAATATTACCTTACTATAATACTCTTATATAACCTTTATACCATAAGAAAAATACTTACTTAGACCTTACTTAGCTCTAGTATTTATAAAGCAGCTATTTAAAACCCTAAGCGTTTAAGTAATTAGTCTTAAATGCTTAAGGGGTAAAGATCAAGGCCTACAAGAGATTAGAATACTTTTACTACTAAATAACTTATATAAAGAAAATAGTCTTAAAATAAAGATCAGAATAAAGGTTACTTTACTTATACTATAAAATTACTTAGAATCTCTTTAATTACCTTAAAGGGTATAATAAGAACTTATAGCTTATAGTAATTAAAGATAAATATATTAGTTATTTTTTTAGATTTCTAAAGGTATTAAAAACCTATAAGAGTATATTTAGAGTTCTATATATTTTTAAGTAATAAGTAATAAAATAATATAGCCTTACTTTATATAAAATAAGATAAAATATAAACTACTTTGTTATAGTAATTAATAGTAATATAGAGTTCTAATAATAAGTAGAAGAAAAGGAGATTAAGGTTAAGACTATTTCTTTATATATAAAGGAGCTAAATAGTAAAGCTAAAAGGGCTAGCTAGGAAGTAATAACTAGAGGTATTAAACTGCTTTCTAGAGTAAGCTTTTTATATAAACTATAGGTTAAAGCAGTAATAGCTAACATATACTTTTATAATATTAGCTCTTTTTAGTATAACGTTTAGCTTTACTTAATTAAAAAAGAAGAGAGATAATTTAAATAATATTTTTATTAATAATAACTTTAATATTAAGTAACCCTTAGCTAAGACTTATGTTTATAATAAAGATAACTTTATATATATAGCTATTAAGTGTACTTTGTTTAAAAGAACTAAGAGAGAAACATAGAAAGATAACGCTTTAAGGTAAAACTAAGAGGCTATATTAAATATTTAGTAGGCTATATTTAGAATACTTATAACTTATACTAAATATAGATCTTTTTATTTTAGTAGATTATAATTATATAAAATATAATATTTAATAAAAGCTAATTCTATAAAAAAGATAATATAAAGGTAATAATTTTAACTAAAGAAACATAAATAATTATAAATAATATATAATACCTAAGTATAACTTATAACCTTAAATTTTATGTTCTAGGTATTACAAAAAAAGCTAATATTACTTTAATTCTATAAGAAGAATACCCTTTATAATAGCTTTTATTACCTACTTTTATATTAAGAATAGTATTTCTAAATAAAAGGAAATAAAGTAACTATAAAATAAACTATATTTAGTAGAGAGAATAGCTATTAACTTTTAATCTTTTACTTAAACTAAAAGATGTCCTAGATTAAGAAATTAGAACAATAATAATTATTAAGGACTAAGCTATAGTAAATAAAGACATATTAGAATCCAAGGAAGTTAATTACTTAACTAAGGTGATTGAAGATAAGATTATTATTTGTACTAATTTGCTTTTAAACGAGGAAAGTAAAGTAAAAAAAGAACTAATAATACGTTTAAGATTAGTATCTATGAGCTATATTAACTAAGAGTAAGGATTAGGTAATAGTAATTAGGACAGCCTAAACTATAATGCCTTAACCTAGTAAAGCTAATACTAATAGGGCTTACTGCTAGAACTGGTACTAATAGGCTTATCTAATAAGACAAAGAACACTAGCTACCTTTTTATATTTCTATATTTAAGATAAAGCTAGGATATATTCTTTAATACCTTTATACTAAATAGATAAAAAGTACTAAATAAGAAGGTTACTAGATACTAAATAATTTATAGTTAACGTATATGCATAGCGAGTCGCCCATCATAGCGAGCCGCCCACTTTTCCTTAATTCTACACTCTTCACCTTCACAACAACCTTCCTCTACGTACGACCATGAGTTCCTCTTCAAATGAAAGTCGCATTATCCTTGCAATTGAAGCTATTAAAAAGGACCCAAAACTATCCGTTCGAAAAGCAGCTTCTATCTATAAGGTCCCGAGAACTACACTTCGCGACCGACGCGCTGGACTTCTACCACGACGCGAAACTCGTACGAATTCAATGAAGATGACTCAGGTGGAAGAAACTGTGATTCTTGAACGAGTTATTGACCTGATCGATCGAGGATTTCCACCGCGACTTGACGACGTACGAGATATGGCCGATTGTCTCCTTGACGAACGTGACGCGACGCGTGTCGGACCGCGATGGGCAGAGAACTTCGTACGACGCCAACCACAACTAAAGACGCGTTTTCGACGTAGAATCGACTATCAGAGGGCATTGGCTGAAGATCCTGCAATTGTGCAGGCCTGGTTTGCCCTCGTACGAAACACAATCGCGAAGTACGGAATACACGATGACGATGTCTACAATTTTGATGAGACGGGCTTCTTGATGGGAATGCTGTCGCACGCAAAGGTTATTACAACCTCTGACCGCCGTGGAAGGCCTCGTACGAAGCAGCCTGGCAATCGCGAATGGGTTTCTGTCATTCAGGGCGTATGTGCAGATGGCTGGGCGCTGCCTCCATACGTCATTGTTAAGGGCAAATATCACCTACTCTCATGGTATACCAATGGCCAATTCCCACCCGAATGGCGCGTCCACCCTAGCGAAAATGGATGGACTACAAATGAGATTGGCCTAGATTGGCTAAAACATTTTGAAAAGTGCACAAAGTCTCGCACGAAGGGTGTTAAACGGCTCCTAATCCTTGATGGCCACAACAGCCACAAATCCACCAAGTTTGACGATTACTGCAAGGAACACGGCATTATTGCTCTTTGCATGCCTCCGCATTCATCGCACGAGCTTCAGCCTCTTGATGTTGGCTGTTTTAGTCCGCTGAAGGCTTCATATGGCAAGGAAATCGAGAAGATGATGCGGATGCAGATTACGCACATTACTAAGGATGATTTCTTTCCTGCCTTCAAGGCAGCCTTTTTTACTTCAATAAGCAAAGAAAACGTACAAGCTGGTTTTAGACAGGCTGGCCTTGTACCATTCGACCCAGAAGCAGTTCTTTCCCGCCTGGATTTCAAGCCAAAGACGCCAACACCATCCAACTCATGCCCAAGCAGCCAGGGCTCCTGGGACCCAAAGACACCAACCACAGCACATGACGCCGTACGAAGCTCTGCTTCACTTAAGAAAAGAATCACTAGTCATCAAGATAGCTCACCAACTCATTTGTACGAGGTTGTTGATTTGCAAGCTAAAGGTATTAGCAAGTTAGCACACAAACTAGCTCTTGTTGAAGCCGAGTGCCGCGGGCTTCGTACGGCAAATGAGATACTAAGTAAGCGCCGGAGAGCTAAGAAAACCCAACTACGTCTTGGAGGGTCACTTAATACAGCTGAAGCTGAGGCAATACGGGTAGAAAAGGGGGTTGTTGATGCTGGAGGCGAAAACATGCGTCAAGAGGGTGCTCGTACGGAGGGGGGTGAATCGCGCGGGCGGCGATGTGGTAACTGCGGAAAGACTGGACATAATGTACGAACATGTCAGGTAGTTTGGGAGACCTCTGAAGAAGAGGCTGATGAGTAGTTTCAATTGATTTCGTACGATGTGGCTTAATTGACTTACACAAATGGCTGGAGGGTAGTGAAAGGTGGGCGGCTCGCTATGATGGGCGACTCGCTATGCATATACGTTATTTCGACTATGATGACTTATCACACTTCAGATAAATTCGTATGAGACAAATCTGAAAGCCCGAGCTTCCTATTTGAAGTCAACTTCATTGGCTGCAGTCATCCTTTCTTATTAGAACTTTGAAGAATACACCAATTCCAAATTCTCTCTACCCTCACGATAAGCCCAGGTCTCTGAGCCTTGCGGACCAACGTACAAATCCGCAAACAATTTCACTGCAAATTCAACGCGACTTGAGATGCTGGAAGTGCACAGGAAATGTTTGTATTTATCCCAAAGAGGTAGATTGATCCAATTCCACCAGAAACGACAGACAATTCCTAGGACAGAGAGATCATGTGAGGCAAAATGAGTGAGGCCTATTGCATCGATTTCATCCGTGGTTCTGTGTAGGCACTCTTTGATAAATCAGGCCTTGACAGCAGACTGCAGCTTTAAGCGGCGGAAGCCACCCTTGCAAGAAACCTCGTTCTGCAACTCGACCATCCTCTTCTGATCACCAGTAGGGTCCCGAGAGTCCTCGTCTAGAGTCCATTCAAGGAACTCATTGGTGTAGTTCGGCTGGAAGCTCTCGTCCAAAACCCCAAGCCTCTTGCCGTACTTGGTGACCTTGGTCCAGTCTCGCTGCACGTTCTTCAGGTCGTGCGAAAAGTACGCAAAGCTGCGCTCAAAGATCTTGCGGTTGAGGTCCGAACCCATAACAGGCTTGAAGTCAACATACTCCTTCCAAGCTTCCTCGGGCTTCTCAAGGACGTAGTCAGTGGCCTTCTTAACAGCCTTCATGAACTTACGGACCTTGTCCGGGTTCTCGGTGATGAAGGACTCGTTGCCAATGTACAGGATAGTGCAAAAGCAGCAACACCCGAGCTCTGCGAGCTCATCGATGCGGAGCATCTGCACGTCGGTCTTGGGACGACCCTGGGAGGCTAGCCACTCCTCAAGCTCGACCATCTGAACGTTCTCCAGACCGATACCGGCGTCAATGGTGCCCTCGATGATAGCCTTGGAGACGTTCATACCGCAGCGTACGGCCGTGTACTCATCAGGCGTCATACCGTAGTGCGACGTCAGTTCATCGATTTGGATCTTGCCGAACTCGCCAACATATCCGATCCGCTTGCCCTTGAGAGAGCGAAAGTCGGTGGTGATGCCCGAGTCCTTGAGATAAACAACCCCAGTGAAAGGCTCGTCTAGAAGACTGCCAATAGAGAGTACAGGGAAGTTGCGAGCCTTGGCCTGGAAGGTGTCAGTACCGAGTCAGAAAAGAGGACAAACCGGAATACTCACAGCGAGGGTGTGAATCATGGCTTTGAAGCCTAGATCGACCTTGCCGGTGCCAATAATCTCGGTGACATCCTACTGTAAAGTTAACGACTAAGACCAGGACTCTCGGTCGGAGTAACCGTACACTAGGGTCGTTTGGCTCAAGCAGAGCGACCTTGATGCCCTGTTCCTTGAAGTATCCCTTGGCCTGAGCCAGGTAGAGCGGAGCGTGGTACGGCGTAGCGTGCCTGACTTGTCATCAACTTCCGTTCGCAACAGCATTCAAGCGAGCAATCCTACCAGTTGGTGAGGAAGGTGATCTTATCCGTTGACATGTTGACAGATCGAGCGTGATGCTGCACGGGTTAGTACACTCCGACCTGATATCACTCATACAGCGGGGATGGGGGCCAAAGAAGCATGTCCTTTCGCTGGTATTATCCAGATCAAGTTCGCCGGTATATCTCAGATCGACTCCCTGCTGTACCCCTCCGAACCAGTGCTCCCTCTCGATCGATCAAGATATCGAGAGGGCTTGATTGGATGTCAGGCACAGCAGAGGAGTCAAACACCCGGATGCGTTCTTCTACTACTTTACCTCGATCTGTAGATGTTTCCATTGCGATAGATGCCATGGCTCTTTGACGCGAGCGTCGTACCAGGTCTAAATTGTGAATGGTAGGTGTTTGTTGAGTCTCAAAAGCGATGTTGCAAGAGTACGATGGGGAGCAGGCATCATACGGTTGTTTTAACTCATAGGGAGATACATGGTTCAAATATCCCTCGTCGTGAGGGGTAACTTCTTGATCGCTTAAAGCTTTGCATAATCCCCTCACTTGGCCAAAGCTAATCATGCAATCCGGCCTGGCTTCCGGTATCCCGACCCGACAAACTTCGTCATTTTTCATTCACGATGAGTAACTATCGAGCAAATCCCACACAATCGGGCGCTTTGCAAGCACCATGAGTTAAACGTTGTGGCCTGATCAGAAAACATGCCCAACGACCCCTGTTTCGGACGAGAAAAAGATCGAGCACGTCGGCTCTGTTCCATTTTCTGCCGTAACTGATAAGATGTGACTGGTCCAATTTAGAGTCTTCATTCGTCGACGTGTCGAGTAGCAGACCTCGTACCGAGGATTTGCATCCACAGAATATAGTTCGTAGACGTAATGCGATGTGAAAATATCTCATATTCTGGACCAGTCCGTATGACCTGCTCCGTGCCGTGCAGACCGGGGACTCCGGGATCGGAATCCAATGCAGTAGGTAGTCACAATCCTCCGGTTCCTCCCCGAACATAGCCGCCTTGGGCCGACGTTGGCCGCTGTTCGGCCGTGGGGGTTCACAATGCTCGCAACCGCGACCGACACAGGTGGGTTAGACTAGCGCATCTTCTGCAACAGCCACCATTTTGGTGTTCAATTAGACTAGACTAGACTACATTGGAAGTTGAAAGATAAACAAGTACTTCGTTGCACCCCAAACCGGAGAAAGAGACCCTGAGTCAAATTTTTGAACTTGTATCACCGCCGAAAGCTCGACCCGTGAGTAATTGAAAGACAAACCTCTAATATTCAGTTATGAAATACACTTCTCGCACTGGAACAATTCACAATGGGACCATAACACTCACCCCTGACATAATATATTTATAGTGATAAAACTAGATTTAACTTGCGCCTGAACGTCCACAGCAGATCCTCTGACCTCGACCCTAAATCTTATGAGGTAGATTGCGGGAGCAGATTGAATTTGCCGTGTGCATACGTGGGGGTCTTAATCAGGTGCAAAGGCTTTGGCATTCACCTTGTGTCGTAGAGTCACCACTTAGGGTGGAAAAGACATAAGGAAAATGGCTTAGATTTCTATGTGCAGGATTACCTTGTCTAAAACAAATAAATATATATCCTGCGTGGTGGATCTGCACAAAGGGACCAGACTAATAGTTAATCCAAGCCTAGCACAAATCTCACAAGGCTATATAATACGCGTAAAGGCATTATAATATACTTCCCTAAGTAAATTAATAGATTTTAACTATTATACGTTTAATAATAGCTATATATAAAAAAATTACTTTAAAAAAATAAATAAAGATATAAATACTTGCTCTTAAAGTAATAAATATAAAAAAAATAATTATATAATATTATATTTAGTTATTAATAACGTATATGCATAGCGAGTCGCCCATCATAGCGAGCCGCCCACCTTTCACTACCCTCCAGCCATTTGTGTAAGTCAATTAAGCCACATCGTACGAAATCAATTGAAACTACTCATCAGCCTCTTCTTCAGAGGTCTCCCAAACTACCTGACATGTTCGTACATTATGTCCAGTCTTTCCGCAGTTACCACATCGCCGCCCGCGCGATTCACCCCCCTCCGTACGAGCACCCTCTTGACGCATGTTTTCGCCTCCAGCATCAACAACCCCCTTTTCTACCCGTATTGCCTCAGCTTCAGCTGTATTAAGTGACCCTCCAAGACGTAGTTGGGTTTTCTTAGCTCTCCGGCGCTTACTTAGTATCTCATTTGCCGTACGAAGCCCGCGGCACTCGGCTTCAACAAGAGCTAGTTTGTGTGCTAACTTGCTAATACCTTTAGCTTGCAAATCAACAACCTCGTACAAATGAGTTGGTGAGCTATCTTGATGACTAGTGATTCTTTTCTTAAGTGAAGCAGAGCTTCGTACGGCGTCATGTGCTGTGGTTGGTGTCTTTGGGTCCCAGGAGCCCTGGCTGCTTGGGCATGAGTTGGATGGTGTTGGCGTCTTTGGCTTGAAATCCAGGCGGGAAAGAACTGCTTCTGGGTCGAATGGTACAAGGCCAGCCTGTCTAAAACCAGCTTGTACGTTTTCTTTGCTTATTGAAGTAAAAAAGGCTGCCTTGAAGGCAGGAAAGAAATCATCCTTAGTAATGTGCGTAATCTGCATCCGCATCATCTTCTCGATTTCCTTGCCATATGAAGCCTTCAGCGGACTAAAACAGCCAACATCAAGAGGCTGAAGCTCGTGCGATGAATGCGGAGGCATGCAAAGAGCAATAATGCCGTGTTCCTTGCAGTAATCGTCAAACTTGGTGGATTTGTGGCTGTTGTGGCCATCAAGGATTAGGAGCCGTTTAACACCCTTCGTGCGAGACTTTGTGCACTTTTCAAAATGTTTTAGCCAATCTAGGCCAATCTCATTTGTAGTCCATCCATTTTCGCTAGGGTGGACGCGCCATTCGGGTGGGAATTGGCCATTGGTATACCATGAGAGTAGGTGATATTTGCCCTTAACAATGACGTATGGAGGCAGCGCCCAGCCATCTGCACATACGCCCTGAATGACAGAAACCCATTCGCGATTGCCAGGCTGCTTCGTACGAGGCCTTCCACGGCGGTCAGAGGTTGTAATAACCTTTGCGTGCGACAGCATTCCCATCAAGAAGCCCGTCTCATCAAAATTGTAGACATCGTCATCGTGTATTCCGTACTTCGCGATTGTGTTTCGTACGAGGGCAAACCAGGCCTGCACAATTGCAGGATCTTCAGCCAATGCCCTCTGATAGTCGATTCTACGTCGAAAACGCGTCTTTAGTTGTGGTTGGCGTCGTACGAAGTTCTCTGCCCATCGCGGTCCGACACGCGTCGCGTCACGTTCGTCAAGGAGACAATCGGCCATATCTCGTACGTCGTCAAGTCGCGGTGGAAATCCTCGATCGATCAGGTCAATAACTCGTTCAAGAATCACAGTTTCTTCCACCTGAGTCATCTTCATTGAATTCGTACGAGTTTCGCGTCGTGGTAGAAGTCCAGCGCGTCGGTCGCGAAGTGTAGTTCTCGGGACCTTATAGATAGAAGCTGCTTTTCGAACGGATAGTTTTGGGTCCTTTTTAATAGCTTCAATTGCAAGGATAATGCGACTTTCATTTGAAGAGGAACTCATGGTCGTACGTAGAGGAAGGTTGTTGTGAAGGTGAAGAGTGTAGAATTAAGGAAAAGTGGGCGGCTCGCTATGATGGGCGACTCGCTATGCATATACGTTACATGCTTTGCATTTCCAATCCTAGTCTTCGCGGGTGAGTGCATCTTGCGTACGACTCAGCACCTTTCCGTATTGTCGCGATCCGCAAACCTAGGCCCGATGCAATATAGTCTTGTGTGCATCTGCTTGACGTCCAATGATTCCTTTCAGCGCTTATCGAGCTCAGCCACTGCCTTGGTCTTTTGGCTCCCGTCTTAACAAAAGCACCGCGTACTGGGATCACGTAGTCGAGAACTGCAACATCGGTGCTCTTGGCCGTTCACTTCCAAGTATGCCTTCGAGAATCAAATGGAAGCATCGCAACTCAATTGGCCACACCTAAAACGCACGTGTTATCAATACCATGGTTCACGGAGATTTCCTTGAGTCTCCATACGGGACGCGGCCTAATCTCCACCTAAACTATGGTTAATCGCAATAAACATGTCGAGGACACCTGTGCAATCACGTCTCAACAAACCCCAGCTCTCGGTCAAGCATATGTCCTTAAACTGGGTTGTTACCCCACCGGCCGATAGCCTCATGCTTCTTTCTCCCAACGCAGACCGTTTGAGCTTGTACCAACTTGCCGACAAAGCAACGTTGGTTGGCTACACAAAGAAGTGAGACGCGAAGATCGCATATCGGGCCATTTCTTGGCGGCGCCTGGCGCGGGGCGAATCAGCTCGCCCAGGACCCCTGAAATGGCCGCTCCTCTTGAAGCCATCCCTGATAAGGGATTGGTTCGTCGCCCACGCCCCAGACCCGCAAGCTCATGCTTAATTCTGAGTAGATATACCTTGACCCAATCAATGCCAGTCACCAGTCGTAGACGATGTTGTCATTGGTCCTGAGCTGCGAGATCAAGGGGCAGACCGCATTCGCCAGCATTACCTCCTTTCGTCTGCTGCCCCTCGAAAGTGGTGTTTTTGCGTTCGGTTCGCTCTCCATGATGCTTCCAGGTTCCTAGCTCCTAGTCCGATCCGCGAAGCCACTGCCGTGTGAGGGAGGTGCAGATAATATTCCCGGACGGGATCGGCGCTCACCCCATGCAATATTTCCCCCCCAACACATCACAGCCTGGACCAACGCACCAGTGCGTCACCCGAGGCTGCTTTATTGGCCTTAATTCGGCTTGGAGATGCTTCCCTTGCCGTCCCCTGGCTTAGCGGTGGGGCTGATGCGTCTCGATTTGAGGCTCACTCCGGACTCCTGGTTGGCCTCCGGCACTTCTCGCCTTGGGTCCCTTTAATTCAAACCGCTCCAGGGGACCCACGATGTGTTGCTCCAACGAGAGCGTCAGACGCGATTCTTGTTGATGTGCTGTCAACGTACCCATCTGCCCACCTGCCGAAATCGGCAACCATGGTGGTGACCGATACGATCAAAGGGGAAAAAAGAATGGTTCCAAAACTCATAGGCATACTTCGCTTGCAGCTCGATCATGCGATTTGAGGTTATGAGTATAAGACCAGCCGGCTTGCTGCACCTTGGATGCCGTGTTCATCATAGAACCGTCGACACGCAACCAGTCTTTCAACAGCAATAACCTCAGTCATTCTTTTAGACACCAAGCCGCTCGCTATTGACAAAGCCCATTCACTCGTTCAAGACACACGATCCTAATCGAAACCGAAAGCACAATGCACGCCGCAACACTGCTCGCCCTCCTCCCCCTCGCGGCCGTCGCCGCCCCCTCCAGACGCGCCCAGCCCGCCCCCCTCATCAAGCCGCGCGGCGCGACCCTCGTCGCGGACAAGTACATCGTTCGGCTTAAGAACGAGGCCAAGACGGGTGCTCTGCAGAGCGTCATGAGCGCCTTCTCGGCCGATGCTGACCACGTCTACAACTTTGGCAATGCCCTCCGCGGGTTCTCATCGACCCTCAACGCCACTGAGATCGAGAAGCTGCAGAATGATCCTGATGTCGACTTCATTGAGCAGGATGCCATCGTCACAATCAAGGCTACGCAGAGAAATGCTCCTTGGGGCCTTGCAAGGTTGTCGAGCCCGAAGCCTGGGTCTACCACGTACAGCTATGATGAGAGCGCGGGAGAGGGCACTTGTGCGTACATCATCGACACCGGCATCGATGTCGAGCACCCTGTAAGTCTGCGCCCCCCTGTTCAATAAACATTTCTCTGACTCCAACAGGACTTTGAAGGCCGTGCCACCTTCCTCGCCAACTACGCCGACAACTCCGACACAGACGGTCAGGGCCACGGCACCCACGTCGCCGGCACTATCGGCTCCGCGACCTATGGCGTAGCCAAGAAGACCAAGCTCTTCGCCGTCAAGGTCCTCGACTCCAACGGCGAGGGCACCAACTCGGCTGTCATCGCCGGCATGGACTTTGTTACGTCCGACGCCGCGGGCCAGGAGGGGTGCGCCAAGGGCGTCGTCGTCAACATGTCACTCGGCGGGCAGACCTCGACGGCTGTGAACCAGGCGGCCGCGGCCATTGTCAAGGCAGGTCACTTCTTGGCCGTCGCGGCGGGCAATGAGGCTGCCGACGCATCGACGTCGTCGCCCGCGAGCGAGAAGAGCGTGTGTACCGTTGGTGCGACAGAGAGCGATGACTCGTTGGCGGAATACTCCAACTTTGGGGCCGCCGTTGATATCCTTGCCCCGGGTTCTCAGATCAAGAGCACCTGGCCTGGTGGCAGCACTGTAAGGCTCTCTGATGCGGTTGTCTATCGTGATGAAGGAGAACGCTGACATGAAGGCAATTCAGAACACCATCTCTGGCACTTCCATGGCCAGCCCCCACATCGCCGGCCTTGCCGCCTACCTTCTCGGTCTTGGCTCCGCACCCTCGGACCCCGTTGAGCTGTGCAGCTACATCGCTGAGACGGCCCTTGATGGCGTTGTCGGCCAGGTCCCCCGCAGCACCGTCAACAAGCTCGCCAACAACGGCTTCGCTGGGAATGGCACCGCCAAGGCCGCGGATGGTTCTGTTGTCGGCAGGCAGCTGAACAAGGAGTTCTCCATTCGTACCTGAATCGACAATGGTGGTCAGCGTTAGGACGTAAAAGGTCCCATTTCAGATCTTGGGTAGACTGAATAATACAATTGGACGGGAATGATGACACGACTGGGTTTCTCGGGAAGAGGCCAGTCTATGAATTTCTATCGTGTAGATATTAGACTTCATTTTGGATATGTACAGATGATTCTTTCGGCGATCTCAGTCCCTTAGGTGGTATCTAGTGCTGTCGGCCATCTTTTGATTGTGAAATTTTACCTTTGCAAGAGAAGTATTATCTAACATGCGAGTATACAATACATGGCGGTATAAATCATGGTGCTGCCACCGCTTTTGCCGCTTGCTGCCCGGCTATCCTTCCATAGACCACGCACTCCAACAGCGATGAGCCTCCTAATCGGTTGTCTCCGTGGATGCCGCCAGTAATTTCCCCCGCTGCCCACAGACCATCGATGGCGGTTTTGTCTTTCCTGAGAACCTGTGTCTTCTCATTGAACGCTGCGCCGCCCATCGTAAAGTGAGTAATGGGGGTGACGCGGCCGATGCAAACTTCCTCCTCGCGGTTTGCATCTCCGGGCGGCAGTCTCCAGCGCCCAAACGTCCGTCTTCCGAATTCCGGGTCAGCACCCGAGGCAACTGCCGCAGCATACTCATCCACTATTTTGATGGTGGCTGGGTTCAGTTCCTTCACCTTCTTCTTCTCCATCAACCCTTTCCACAGGTAGAAACCTAGATGACCTGCAGCGGCATCACATGCACCGGGATCCAGGAGCATGATGACGTCCCACTGCCTAACATCGCCGACTTCCTTCGGTGGCAACTGCATGATGGCCCTGCTGACATGCTCCCTTGTTTCCATCTCATTAACAAATCTCTCTCCGTTATCTGAGAGCAGGATGCCACCCTCTCCGCGTAAGACCTCTGCCGCAAGGAACTTGTACCGCGCCTCAGGGTCTTTGGGGTCGACGAAGCCGGTGGGGTGCACCTGTACGCTGTCCATGTCGACAAACTCGGCTCCGACGGCCTCTAGAATGCCATGAGAAGCAGGTCGAGCCTCGTTCGTTGAAGGCAAACCCGCTAGGTCGGGGCGATACTTGGCTAAAAGACCATTCGCGTCACCAGCGAATCCACCCACAGCGAAGACAACAGCGCCCTCAAGTTCGTGCTGTTGGCCCTCTTGGTTGTAGAGCACACCCTTAATAACCCCGTCAGCAACATTTAGGGAGGTCACCTCGGCAGAATTACTGAGTCGGAAGTCGGGGTTCTCTCCAAGCTTCTTCAGTAAGGCGGTGACGATCGCTGCCCCTGGCGGGGTGTTCCCAGCCCCTCGATGGGTTCGAGCAATTGAGTGCCCGCCCAAGGGGGCGACGACGCTCAAATCGACGCCAATTTCATCCACAAGCCAGGTAACAGCATCTGCAGAGCCTTGTGTTAGGAGTTTGACAAGCTTGGGGCGATTCACCACGGCCTGGACATCAGTGAAACGCTTGCCGCCGGAGCGTACTGTGTCGTTGTAGAACAAGTCGTCTCTATCCACACCGGCGGCCCTTTGAAATCGTGTACCCGCACCGTTGATGCCGGATGAAGCCTTGATACTGTTTCCGCCGGGCTTCGGCGCACGATCGAGCATGTGGACCGAAGCGCCTGCGTTGAGGGCCTCTTGTGCTGCAGACAAGCCGGCCAGGCCGGAGCCGACAACAATGACGGGTCTGGGCGGTGCCTGCGCCATGGATGCAGAGGAAGATCGAGCAGCTTGGGAAATGATACCAAATTTGTTGACGATGGAACGACGGTAGAGCATACCCAAGATGGCCGCGATGATACCGAAGACGAGGGTGACGATGAACCGGCGGATTGGGCGGATGAACATTGCAGCTTCGAGTGGAGGACGGGTTGAAGCCGCCTCCTAAGTGGCGTGAGGCCTATATAGTTGTGTAAGTCGGCCACAATGCTCGGGGATTGTGGGTAGTTGGCGCGTCAGGCGATTCTGAGTCGTACGATGTAATCGGAAGATAGAAGTGGCTGTGGTCCCATCAGCATATAACTCTGTGGGTGGGATTGGGTTAGCGCGTGTGCCGCTTTTGAGGCAGACCGCACAGAGTAGTTTAGCTACAAGCGAAGCGTGAATGCACAATACTGCTTCCTAGTTGATGGCTTTCTGGACAGACTTGGTCATAGCCATAATGTGAGTGGTATCGTTTTGAGCTGACATTAAGCCACTGGGCCAACGTCTCCCAACAGAGCGAACTCCAGGTGATGTATAACCTTGTTCAACATTACCCCTTCGACTTCCTATCACCACTTGCTTCAGACCTTCAGCCAGACATCAACACAAATGCTACCCGGAGCACAACTGAATATGCTTTCCATCATCATTTTCCAAGAGATCAATGATCCTCAAAGGTTGATGCACAGCGTTTGTCGTCTCTAATCTCCAAGGCACCCTAGTAGTTAGCCATCTTTCTAGCAGCCAAGCTGTACAACCCTCAGCTTTCTCATGCCATCCTGCGTCAAGGCCTTTTATCTCGGTGCGCCACCAAGCGTCTATACCTTCACATTTCATTCCCGTAACCATGGATAGGACCTAATCGTTCACTCATTGTTTGAGGCCGGTACGTTATCAACCACCCAAGTCGGCCATGAACTTATACCGTGTGAACCCTCCGTGGCACCCTAGAGCCTCCCCTCTGCGAAACGGGCAACGCAACACAACATCATCTTGATTTAAAAGATGATGGATTCCATGGGCTACAGGTCCGATAGAGCAATTCTAACGGCAAGCAACGTACACCTCAACGTTCTTCCGTAGATGGCCAGGGGATGCAAGCTGCGTGTTCTTCATCGCGTGCGACTAGACGTTGGCAGCAAGGAATACTGCAATTCAACTCGCAGTCGTGAGAAACGATGTGATAATTAGCAACTTGATTTTGAGGACTGTTCCAGAGGAAGCAAGTGGAGGTGCAGTGCCATATGCTGCAGGCCTTGCGGCTAGATTCAAGAGCTGTTAGTTTGCTGTGCTAATCATCGCAGAACCAGTCAAGGTGCCAGAGTGGTTAATGGGCTGCCCTGCTATCGGATCTTCTGATACCAGTTTAGGCAGTGGCTTCGGTCGCGCAGGTTCGAATCCTGTCCTTGACGTTCGTTTTGCTGCTTTGAGCCATCGTACCCTTGCATGATTTATCGTGAGATTGTTGGATTTTTTTGTTTTTCTTCGGCATGCGGATGTTCCAACTCGAGCCCATTTACGAGAAATGGGCGACCTCACTCAACCCGTCGCAGTCGGAACAAGGGATGCTTGGTTGAAAGGGTGCTCGCGGGTGGGCCAAGCTCGGGCGAATTTAACGCGAACGGATCCCATCCGCCTGCTCCGCATCAACAGACATCAATTGTTATGCCAGGTTGTGCCTGGGGAGCGGTTCGGCGGAGTAGGCATATGTTGTGTGTAGGCTGAAGAAGAAAACAGGAAGCTGAACCATGCCATGCACCCACGGGGGACGATGATCCGCCAGCGTCCAACGATGCAGGGCCAGCGGGAGTCACCATCATTTCCATCGAGTAATTACTCCCCACGCACAAATGTGACCCGGACCCAACCAGGATTAATCGACCAGAGCTCATTTGAATGGCTCCTGTGAGAGACGATTCACCCAGGGATGTCCGGGGGAGAGAGTGCTGTCTCATCCGGAACCAATCGTCCTGACACCCCCCAGGCGGTATTCCCTTCATTCGAGTTGCCAGACAACCACCACTGGCCGTCGATATGCCGTGTTTATCTCTGCATGGGCAGCTCAAACTCTGGATGCTGCCGAGTTATCCGGTAGTGCATCGTTTGCGCCTCCCTTCTTGGCATCGGTATCTGCGCCTAGTTCTGCAGGCAATAACGGGTAAATACAACTGTTCGAAGATCCCAGGATCCCCAAAGCTTGTCTGTCTTTGGAAGGCGGCTAGGCAGCAGAGCGCTGGAAGGTCGCGCTCTGCCAAACGGCGCTCCCACGGTAACAAACGGTGGCATCGACAACAGCTTGAGGCCCTGAGCCTGTGCCACAATCTGTGTACAGATAGCCATCTCATCTGGACATGCATCCATGAGTCTCTTTGCAGACGGCGGTTAGTGAAGCATGCTCATCCGTGCAGCGCCTAGTCAGTCAGCAATCGACATAGTAGATGACAGAACACTAACCTGTCATCCCGTCTTGCTTGGCTCTCTTCGTCCAAGGCTGCCGCAGGTCGCGTCAGCAAAGCGAACCGCACCCAAGAGAAACGAGCCGGCCACGGCCCTCAACAGCAACGAAAGGTTGAGAATTCACCCCTCAACGAGCTAACATGGCCAACCTGGAAGTGGGACGACTCTAACCCCCGAGGAGGAGGCTGTCCGGAGAAATGGAAGTTGCTTAGCTCTCCTCTGGTGGTGGTGGTTGGTCGTCGTGGTGCAGGGTCCTATAGCGCGACGGGTGCGGCCCTAAAACGCCACGCCGCAGGCTGGCTGCACAACGCAACGTGCTGCCAGAGAGCCCTGTGGTGCTTGGCATTGCATCCCCAACGCATGTTTCTCCCACTTACTCAGGGGGAGGGGGAGAGAGGGGGAGAGAGGGGGGGGTTTGCGGTATTTCGAGCGCCAAAACATGGGCGGCTCCGCTGCGAGCGCGGCCTTGGCCATGCGAAACGGAGAGGGTGTTGCGAAACGCGGACCTAACGGCCATTGCTGGCTTCTTGGCGGCTCGGAGAGCTGGATGCGTCTGTCGTGCTGCTTCTGACGACTTCGGCTTTTGTTCGAGCCTCAATCATTGGCATTCCGGGTCGACGGGCTAGGCATCGCAGATCGATCCGCGGCGACCGTTCTATGACGCGAAACCCTTTGGCATCCGTGGCTAAGGTAGCCAGAGAGTGAGGGCCGGACGAAGGCGTGGGATTCCGCACTTCGATCGCCTCTTTGGTGTATCCCTCAGTCGCGCATCCCAAGAGCCGTCCGTCCAGCCTGGGAGACCTAACGGGTGAAAGGCATAGGACTGCACCTAGAGCGACTGCGTCGTCTGAGCATCTCTAGTTGCGGGTTCGCCATACACATGGTGAGAGATGAAAGAAGGGCATGTTACAGTGGCCATTTCTTGCTAAGCTAATTTACGTCCATTCCGCGCTGTCGTGTTCATCGCAACTCGTCATTTGGAATACACGGAGCGCCACCCGCGATTTCGCGCTTTCGACCGTCATTACTGTGGCGCCCGTCTCCGGTTGCCCTGTCAGCTTCCTTCCCGCCGACGGCTTCGGATCTCCTCGACTGCTTAGTCCGTCGTTCGCTAGCATAGCTTCCGCGACACCTGCGTTGAAGCTCCATGACAAACGGAATCGCGACGCTAAAGGCTAAACCGGCCATCGGTTCGCCTTTGCCAACTGGGGACTGTACGGGCAGTAGCCGGGACCTGCGAGCCAATGGACCTCTGTCCAGGTGACTGTTCGCTAGTGGCCTGACAATACACGAAGGCGACAAAGAGGGGCAGTGATGGGCGCACTGGCGTGATGTCAACGCCGCCCAAAGTGGAGGAGCATCCCCCTCAGGGGTTGCGTGACAAGGCTTCTCTGGGCGCGGCATTCGTCAGAACAGGAGGTTTCTCGACAACTGTAAGGTCAGCGCGGATTCGAAGCAATGGCATAGACATATCCGCGGACAGCGCCTTGTAGTGGCCTGCCGCCCTGCTTCGTTTCATCACATCAGCAGGATAGGGATCGCTTTCGAATTGCTGTAAAGCAGTCCTGGCCAAAGCAGCAGGGATATCACTCCGGACCAAAGGAGTGCCGCCGAGTGCGTGGAGACAAGAAGTTATAGAAATCGTGGCCTGCTTCCAAACCCGACCGAGACAAGCGCAGGACGAACCATCACACTAGGGTGGTCCGGGGAAATAGCCTCGGTATCCACGAGATCTGGGGAAAGGGCAATTGCCAGCCCACAACGAACTGAAGCTGTGGCATGAAATGCCCCTAGGTCTGGAGCGAATTTCGAACCCATCATCTCGAGGTTCATCCGGCCTTGTGCCATCATCGGACCATTGTGCCCTGAAGGTGGGCATTGGACCTCGGTATATGCATACGTCGAAGCAATGAAATCGGATCTCTCCATCTTGAGTGGGCGACGGAGGCTGAGGAGGGTGTGCGGGAATCGCCCTAAGCTTTCCCCGCAAGCCAGTGCCATGTGGCCGTTTCCTCGCACGTCTCGACGGAAGTCGACATTGGGGTTGATCAACACGACTAAGCCTCATTGGCGTGGTCATCATGACGCCTGGTGTGCACTTGGCTCACATGATGGAGGCTTTCGCAAAGGGAATGTAGACGACGCGACGCCAACGAGAGCTCGAATACCTAGCCTTCAAAGCGCCTGCTTGTAGATGAGGAGTTTGGGCGCGCGAAGGAGAACGGGCGGCCCCTTAGTAACCATCGTCGACCAGCGGATACGACAGGATTCACTTTGTCTAGAACACCCTGGGATATTGCTTGTGAACCCCGTCTTCCCCGCAACCCCAGTTCGGACACACGGATGAAAGGGACAGGCACCGGCAGGATACCTAGGTAGGACAACAGATGTATCATGACAAAGGCCAGCAATAGGCCAGACGAGATCTCGCCCGAGGAGCCGGGTGCGTCGGAACACGCGATACAATGCAGGACCGAAACAGTGGTGCTGCGTTCCCACCGTATAAACTATGAACTGGAGGAGTGGAAATTTACAATCCCACCCGATGGCTCATGCTGTCGACCAGTTCGTCACGGTCCCTTCCGAGGACACTCGCAGTTGATAGCCAACATCCATCCCTTGGATGACCTCGAAAGACCAAAAAGCAGCCGCATCTCCAAATACTAACCAGATGCCATGACGCCGAGTGCCGGCAGCAGCAGGCCCGGCCACGATCCGCAGCCAAGACGGGGAAAAGCCCGTCACCGCGTCTTGGCTGTCCCCTGTGACCCTACGATATTCGACACTGGCCGCCCTTTTTGCTCTACGCCGCTAAAGCACCCCCTCGCTCCGCGGGACCTTTTGGTTTTCCTCTAATCTCGTTTCAATGACACACGGCAATTTTGACCCTAGCTAGCATCGACCGCGACTTTGGTGATCAAGAGCCACCCAATGAGAGCTTGACACCCCGCAGGGAACAAATATGAGCGGAATGGATGGAAGGCCGGGCGCCAGGGCAGACGAATCTGAACAAGACGCCGCCAAACTGAAAACGTTCGGACGGCAGACGCATTCCAATTCCGCTGCGGCAACAGTGTACTAAGTGCTGTCGCATCGGGACGCTTTCTATCACCACGCCCTCCCCTCCATGCAGCTGTTCCTTCAACCCGTGCAACAGTCCCACGCATCACATTACCTACCCATGCTTTGAGGGATCCTGGTCCCATGGAGAGGAGGAAGTTTGGTTTTGGAACCAAAAAGCGACGAGCTGCAAGCAGACTAGCTGCTGACTGTCCATGAAAACCCAATTCCGCGGTGCCTTGATAAAAAGCATTGGGGCTATTTGACGAGCCAAACCTTCGCAGTCGACCAACCGCCGCATGCCCAGGCCGTTTATGCAATAACAATTTGCGGCCAGAGCCCCCCGTTATCTGCCTAGTCAAGGACGGCGAGAGAACGCGGCCACCTAAAAAAAAATTGGAGAAGCTCTGCCGGTGACGGAAAAGGTGGGAATGACATCAGCTCATGGACTGATCCCCGGTGGCCCGAGGCGGTGTTCTTCTTGGCCCCAATTCCTTTTTCGCTTTGCCTGCTTCCACTGCTCCAGATCTGGGGCAGCCTTTCGTCCCTGGCGGCTAGCATTCGACGGCGATGTCGGGCCACGATGACAGATCCCAATTGAGTTGCTGGATGTCTCGGGGGTTGACAATAGCGCTCGACGGACCCCCCGTCGACTACACTCAAGGTGCACAGTTTTAGTGTAATGCATCGTAATGTCCTCACAACCTCGCGATATGCATCAGAGGCCGGATGGCCGGGATGCCTGCCAGCAACCACTTGCCGAATTGCTCATTGGGATGACACCTCTTTTCTCCTCACATGGGCTGCACATCACTTCCTGCTAGGGGTTTTGGTCTCCGTTTCGTCTGGAAAAAGAAGGGGGGACTGGATCTCTGGGTTATTGGTGCTGTCACCTCGAAATCACAGAAGTGACTCGACCAGCAAACCTATTGAGCTATGTTCGTCCTATTTTCTCGTCATTTCTGGCCAAAAGGCAGATGGGGAACCGCTGCTGCATTAAAAGTTCGCACCAATACAGGCATTTTACCATACTGTTTCCAACAGGTCTCCCTCTCGAAAGTGGGCTCAGACGCAGTGTTGGTGGTCACTGTCACTCCACCATGCACCACCCATCCATTCCACCAACACCATCCGACATTGCATTCGAGATAATGAATCCATTATGGAGCTTCCGTCCAAGCCATCCCCCCCTTTGGAACCCCCGGCTCAGTCTTCTCTGGGCCTTTGGGGATCGGCCCTTGGGACCAGACTCGTCCAGTCCTTCCTTACACCCTTAGCCCCTAGACTACGCGATCTTACTTGACTCACTCCCTCTTCGTCCTGCAGATGACGCCTCCTCCTTGCTCTCTCCTCCTCTCGGTCTTGCTCGTCCTCCACCATCTCCAGTTCTCCGCGCCGGGCGGCCCACGTATCTGTACATACCCCAGACGCTCGCACACGTTGGCGAAGCTACTACCCGTCAACCATCCCCGGTTTGCGCTGACCCTCGACCCCGACATCCATTTGTCCTGTTTCGAGTGTCCTCTCAACCTTTTCCTCTCTCCCCATTACTTAAAGACTCCTCCCCACCCTCTTCCCCAAAGCTTAAGAAAACCTTCCTCCGCCAACCTATGTGTTTTCTTCCGTGAAGCCTGACTACTCTTCCCGCAAAGATACCCCATCCTCGCTTGCCCATTACTTGGTTCTGTCCATTCTCACCTCGTCTCTTACACCCACAAGATCACACACGATGGCCACGCACGGGACTCACAACCACGCCGTCGTCCCTCCAACGGACTTGGAGAAGGATGTGCACACGTCTGGTGCCGACCACTACAATGGCGCCAATGGTGCTCAAGTACCCCAAGACGCACACGCACGACACAACGGGCCTTTCACCCGCGTTGCCGACTACCGGAACATGACTGAAGGGCAAGCGCAGGCATTCGGTGGTTCCCTCCAGCCCGGTCTGTGGAAGCCATACGAGCACAGGAAGTTCGCCAACCCGGCGCCGCTCGGCCTCTCGGCCTTCGCCCTCACGACTTTCGTCCTTTCCTGCGTTAACCTGCAGGCCCGCGGCGTCAAGGCCCCCAACATCGCCGTTCCCCTCGCCTTTGGCTACGGCGGTCTCGTTCAGCTCCTCGCGGGCATGTGGTAGGTCCCACGTTTTTGCCACATTTGAATTTTCCTCTTTCTTCTTTACCTGGTGCCAGGGTCCCCGAAGTTCCCCAACATCTCATCTCGACTGTCTCCACGATACCCCCGCAAGTGGAAGCTCCGGTTTGCTTATGTGGAGCATGGACGTGCTCCTTTTGCGCCGGAGTGGACCTTGAGCTAAACAAAAGCATGGATGGGAGGGGTTGGTCAGACGCGAGCGGTTCCTCGTCCTGCGTCAGGGAACTCCTGTGGAGAAGCTCTGGCAATACGAGCATCATTTAGCCGTCACTTAGACTCTCAAACGCGCCAATGCTGACAATGTCCATTACAGGGAGATGGCTGTTGGCAACACCTTTGGTGCCACTGCTCTGTCGTCCTACGGCGGTTTCTGGATCGCCTACGGCATCCTCTTGACTCCCGCCTGGGGCATCATCGCTACGGACGGCCCGTACGCGGCCAACTACTCGGACCACTACTCGGCTGTCGGCTTCTTCCTCACTGGCTGGTTCATCTTCACGTCGCTGTTGCTCCTCTGCACCCTCCGCTCGACGGTTGTTTTCTTCTCCCTCTTCTTCACCCTCGACCTCGCCTTCCTCTTCCTCGCCTGCGAGAACTATGCCGCCAACAACGGCGCCTTGACGGCCTCGCGCAACCTCCAGATCTGCGGCGGAACGTTTGGCATGCTCGCCGCATTCCTAGCATGGTACTGCGCTTTGGCGGGTCTCCAAGATGACAGGTGAGTGGTTTTTCTTCCCGGACGGGGCGGTTGTTCTATGCTCAGGCTAGTTCATCATGACCGCCCCTCCTCGACGCGCTACCGACGATGCGTCGCGCGCGATGTGGATTCCGTTTGCTAATGTTGAGTGTTTGCAGCAATTCCTTCTTCCAGGTCCCCGTTTTCCACCTTCCGTGGTCCGACCAGGGCAAGGAGCTTCGCAAGGCCAAGAGCAACCGCTCCGTCGCTTAAGCGATTTTTGGAAGAGTTTTTTCTTATGATGATGCGCCCAAAGCGCGATGGAGCACGCGGTTTGTGCGACCGCGATGCATTGAGAGGATACCCAATTGCGAGGGTGTCATGCTAGCGACGACCCGTTACTAAGAAGCGAAATGTGGATGAGAATCCCAACGGCTTCGTTTATCTTGTTAATACTTCCAGAGGATCTGCGAAAATGGGGGGAAACGTGGCTTCGGAACAGATATGGACTTGACAATGCCCTTTTCCCCAAAGGGCTTTTAACATAATGAATGATTTTCCCAGTTCGAATTTCCCCATCTTATTCAATCGTTTCGCATTGCGTTGAGACTAGACTTGCCAATCACTACGAAACGTTGTCCATCTAGGTGCCAGTTTGCGCGACCGATGAAGTGACGTCGAAAACCCTGGTTGATGCGGCGATTTGGAGAAGACGTCTTGGCAATGAACTCTGATTTCAATCTTTTTTCTGCCTGGTAGGGCGGCTCAGTTGTCGCATGGTTGGTCTCGCGCAATTACGGGAGATGTGCTGCCTCTCTGTAGGAAGCGGAAGCGGGCATTGAAAATTTGGGGGCGGCGCTTGAGGGCTTGGCATACCTCATTTCCCCCCAATCTTTTGGAGTCGCCCAGAAGTGGAAAAGAGTGAGGAGAGTGAACAAGTGGTGTGGTGAAGATCAGAGGGTTGAAGCGTTGGCGCCGCGGCTGGGCTGATGACATTACTACGGAGGTGCGCAGCTTTGGTGTCGGTGTTTGCCTCTTGTTGACGACATCGTGGCTGCGAGACGGATATAATGATGTGTTGGTATCGCAGCGAGTTGAAAGAAGAGATAATTGCCGTTGGCCATGCTCGTGAGCACCCAAGGCGAGTTGGATGACCCCCCTCGTCCCGATGCACCGATGCATTACAATGCTATGGTGCTTGGTAGCTCATTTATGATGCTTCAAAGAGTAACATTGCCTGCTTTGCAAGTTCCGTTCGGACAATCAACACTACGCCGGGTCACATCTGTGGCAGGCCGCGGGCATTGGAGCTTCGTGTATTTTGTACGCCGAGCTAAAATCATGGTGGTTTTTTTCTCTCTCAATCAGCTCTAGAATCAGTCTCAGCACGCACCTTGTTCGAGTAGAAAACGTCAATAGAAGTTGACAAGAGCTCATGTCTTCAAGCCTACGTTACCAACAAGCTTCATCACCCAATAATACTAAGGATCAGTTTCTCTTGGACTGGCAGACCGCCTCATTCTGGAGTCTACCCAGCAGTTGTCTCCACTAACTTGGGTCAAATAATGCCACGTTTCGTTAGTGCAAACGAAGCTTGTGCAACTCGTGCTCCGGAAATGACACCGCCCGGCGCCTTGATTGGACAATCAGCTTTTGTGAAGATGCACTGCAGAACATAAAATTGCATAACTGGGCATAAGTGACGCCTTACTAAGATATTGCGTCTACCGTGCAACAGTTGACGGCTTCTTCATCGTCGCCGATGACTGTACCAATTATGCTTCTGAAATGAGGTCGGTCCATGGCCATATATATCGTGGTATGCACTGTTATCATGATACAAGGTGTTGTTCACCTCTTCAATATTGTTTCTTCTTCTACTGAAGCCGGCGTAATGGCGCTCGACCGAAGCATCCCTTCTAGTCTATTGCACATGACGCCCAACAATAGTTTGTTACTGGCCTCCTTGACCCTTGTGTTTATAAGTTGTTCTTAACGCATACTCTTCAAATACTACTCCTGGCCTCTTGCAAAGACCTTGGGATACTACGTCTCCCTCGCTATCTACAATATCTACTTCACCCGCTCTCCCACTATCCCGGTCCCCATCTCGCTGCCAGCTCGCCGTGGTGGAGGCTCTCCTCTTTCCTTGGCGGCACTCTGTATGACCTCCTACAGCTACATAACCGCTACGGCCAGTCGTGCGGACGTCTCCTGGCGCGTTGTCGTACATGTGGCGCCGCAACGACAGGTGTTCTACGGCCACAAGCCGCTTAGTCAACCCGAGTCCTCCAAGGGCAAGAAGTAACTTGCCGTACTCAACAGTGGGCCGGCTATTATGAACGCAGATCGGGAGTATCACGGATACATTCGCAGTTTGTTTGCGTACGGAATTTCCGAGAGAACGATGAGAGAGCAGGAGAATATTATCAGTGGCTATATTCATGCGCCGTTTCGCAACCTGAAAGAAGGCAGTAAGGATGGGAAGAGGGCGGTGAATGTGTTGCAGTGGCAAAATGTGAGTTGTTGGGAAAAGAGTCGAGATAAGTGCTGCACGTTGGCTGCTGGGCACAGTTTGTCATTCTTGACTTCATGTCGGTTTCCTTAGCAAGTTGGACCTTCCATATAGACCTCCAGAGTCTTTCAACACTTCGAAAGCCCTCGCGGAGTCGTTCGACTGTCTCAAAACTTCCACGCTTCATGCCTGTATCAAGATGTTCTTCGCAATGGTAAGAAAGTGACCGGCATTATCCCACTAGAAGTTACTGCCAATTCATTGAGTGCCGGATGAGAGCTTCCTGACAAGCTTTTGTGTATCCAGTGACAGATCTGTCTTGTGGGCGGCACGATCAGGAATCAACACGATAAATCAAGATGCTCAATCTTGGTCGTTAGAGAGTCTTGACCATCAAATCGTCCGGGGTTGATGTGGATTCAATTTATCTCCACATTCGGCATCAGCACAATAGCTCAGGGGTAGAGCGCTGGGCTCATAACCCAGAGGTCCCTGGATCGAAACCAGGTTGTGCTATCACATTTATTTTGTAAGATCGTATTTCCACAAAAGTGAAATGGATATTTTTGCTGATTTCTGCCAGTTCATCATCTTGCTGTGTTCTGGACAGACTTGTCATGGCCGAACATGGATGTCAATAAAACCCAACATGCGGTGAAACGAGGAAGCCAGTGCATACAGGGAACAGCGCATCGCTGCTCAAAAAGGAATTCGGCACAATCCCTAGCAAGGTGGGTGCGGAAAGTACATACATTGGTGTTCATGTGTTGAAGAAACTTGGAAGGCAGTCTTCTTAACCTTCTCTGGAATCAACCTCCCAAGCATGGCTGTTGCCTCGACATCTCGTTTGCCGGATTTAAGCGACCTGGCGCTGCAGGTGACTGACTCTTGTATCATACTCGACATGGGTCATAGTAGCAGGCCAGATTAAGCATGTTGATGCTTAAAGCCAAGTTGACATCGTCGCTCACAAAACCCGACAACAGCATCTTTGGCTTATCGACTTTCGCGGAAACGATTGCTATTTCTGGCCCGAGGGCATCGTCACTTTCGAGATTTAGATTAACAACCGTCTTTTATCTTACATATGAAGTGCCCAAAACTCGTACCGGCCTGCTCTCGGCTCCCCCCATGATCTTCGAATACGACCATAGCCCCACGAGCTTAAGTTCAGCGGTCGGGTGATATCGTTATCAACCGCGTAACCGCCCTCAAAACCCTTCAGCCACTGGCTCTTGCTTCCAAATCGTTCCCATGAAGCAGAAAAAATCCTAAGCGCGGCACTTTCGGTCAAAATGACAGTTGTGGAAGCAGACAGTGCAATACTGTAGCGCGCGTTAGCCGACTTGGGGAGTGTACAGTAAATCCATCGTGACGGCGAGCCAAGACGAAGATCCCCATCGAACCCCAACAGCCCGGTAATTCGATGCCCATTTGGGAAGGTCCCAATTTCTCGTGTTCACTCACGATGCATCACTCGTCACTTGCAGGTTCGTGAATCTTCATCCGCAACGCCGAAAGTATATATCCCCGCGCGATGAATTCTCTCGGTCTCTCTCGGGGGCTTTTGCTCGCTATCGCCGGCCACTCGTTTCCTACCCTGCGATCACCGCCATCATGAGGTTCTCTTCCAACGCCGCCTCCCTCATACTGGGGCTTCTGGCCTCAACGGCGGGCGTGTCTGCCGCCGCTGATGCTGCCGACATCGATGCCGCGCCCGCAGTGAACGAAGACTCCTTCGTCCGCGGCGCATACATCGTCGAGCTCAACGGCGAGCAGGATGCTACCGCTCTTTACGACGAGCTCCGCTCCGACGGTCTCGCCGTCAAGCCCCGCCTAGACCTCAAGTACCGCCTTTTTAATGGCGCTTCCTTCAGCGTTGACGACGACGACGGGGAGCCTGATGTCACTACCAGCAAGATTGCTGGCAAGCTTAGCGTCAAGGGCGTCTGGCCCGTCCGCAAGATCAAGATGCCCCAGCCCGAGGCTATCTCTATCGGTCGCAACGGGACGACTTACAGCGACACGCTCTTGAGGTCCATCAAGGACCGTCGCGACGTCGCCGAGAAGGACACCTACAGCACCCACGTCATGACGCAGGTGGACAAGCTTCGTGAGGCTGGACTCACGGGCAAGGGCGTCAAAGTCGCCATTGTCGACACTGGCATTGATTATAGACACCCGGCCCTCGGCGGCTGTTTCGGCGAGGGATGCATTGTTGCTTACGGCTGGGACTTTACCGGCGATGACTACTATTCGAGCTCTTCCGCGCCCATTCCCGACGCCGACCCGCTTGATACCTGCCAGGGTCAGGGCACGCATGTTGCGGGCATCATCATGGCGCAGAAGAACGAGCTTGGCTTTACTGGCGTGGCGCCGGATGCTACTCTCGGCGTATACAAGGTCAGCGGCTGCGCGGGCTACACGACGAGTGAGATCTTGGTGTCGGCGTTTTACCGTGCCTATGAGGATGGTAGCGATGTCATCTCGTGCTCTGCCGGTGACGACTCCGGTTGGGCGAGCGACGCCGCCGGTGTTGCCGTCTCCCGCATTGCCGAGGCCGGTGTGCCCGTCATCGTTGCAGCCGGCAACTCAGGTAACCTGGGCGTCTGGGCTGTTGCGTCGCCAGCGTCTGGAAAGGCCGTTGCCGGCATCGGATCCGTTGACAACACTATTATGCCGAATGTGATGAACCGCGGCACCTTTGTCAACGAGACGGGTAAGTTTGCTTTCGGATGGCAAGACAGCCGTCCCATTCCGGAGGCAAACGTGACTCTGCAATTGTGGGTTGGAGGGGTAAACAACACTGGTTGTGAGACGATTGCCGAGGATGTGGACTTGAGCAACGCCATTCCCCTTGTTCCCATAGATGCATGCGCGTCCGATACCCAAGCCGAGAACCTGCTTGCGCGAGGTGCCAAGTACATTCTCTTCTACCCCTCGAGCGAGTCGTGAGTGCAGTTCACTCCCCACCCTGAAAATGATCTTGTATTTCTAACAAGAGGTCAGCAGGTTATACCTCCCGTATGTCTATACCGCTGGTATTGAGGGTATTGGCATGGTCATGCCCCGTCAGGCACAGGACTGGATCGCCTACGCTGAGAACGTTACCATTACTTTGGGACCCCCCGAAAATTCTGGCCTCTTTGCCGAATCCACCAGCAACGGCCCAACCGCCGGCTACACTAGCTCCTTTAGCAGCTACGGCCCGACTTGGGAGCTTGAAGTCAAGCCTCAGATCACTGCGCCCGGTGGTGCAATCCTCTCGACCTGAACCTGGGACTCTGGTCAGTACATGGTCAACGGAGGAACCTCCATGGCCACCCCCTTCGTGGCCGCTGTCTACGCCCTTGTCGGCCAGGTTCGTGGTACTCTTGACCAAGAGATCCTTCGTTCCGTAATCGCTGCGACCGCCCAGCCCAAGGCCTGGAACGATGGTACTACTGCTCATGAGGACATCCTGGCTCCTGTGCCTCAGCAGGGTGCGGGCTTGGTGCAGGCTTGGGACGCAGCATACGGCACGACTATTCTTGGCTCTTCTGGCATCTCCCTGAACGACACCGATCACTTCGTCGCCGAGCACACCTTCAGCGTCAAGAACATGGCCTCAGAGGAAGTCACCTACCAGCTCGGCCACGCCAAGGCTGTGACTGTCTACACCTTCATCCCGGACACGGCTCCACTTACTGTTGCCCGTTCCCCTCCGCCTACTGCTGAGGCCTGGGCTGAGATCATCTTCGATGCCGACACTCTCACCGTTCCCGCCGGCGGTAGTGCCGAGGTCAAGTTCACTGCCATGCCCCCCAGCGGCCTGAATAGCACCCTCTTGCCCGTTTACAGTGGCTACATCACGCTCGACGGCAGCAACGGCGAGACACTTTCGGTCCCTTACCTTGGCGTCGCCGGCAGCATGCATGATACCCCCGTCCTGGCCCCCGGCAATGGTCTCACCGGCGTCTACCTTTCCTCTACTGACAACCACTTCCTGATTCCCGTTGCCGCCAACCGTACCTTCACCGTCCCTCGCCCTGGGTCAACTGGTAGCGCAATCTACCCCAAAATGGTCGTTACTCCCACCGTCGGTACTACTGAGCTGCATGTCGAGCTTGTGGCTGTCGGCGGCGTTGGTAACTCGACACTGAAGGTAACCGATCACCTGGGTTATCCGACCCTTGGCCCTGTGCCACAGTCGCCTGTTCCGTATGCCCACCGCTTCGGCTACACGTGGAACTTTGGCGGCTACTTGGCTGGCAGCACTGTTGTGCCGGAGGGTACTTACAAGTTCATTGCGAGTGCTCTCAGAATCTTCGGGGATGCAATGAAGGAGGAGGACTGGGACGTCGTCGAGACTGTCGAGTTCAACTTGAAGTATCTTGCTTAGAGAAGTTGGTAGAAAGACATTGAAGTCGTTCCGTGCTTTCAGTAGCTCATGCTTACACGTTGAATAACTCTTCAGAGACATCTTAGCCCCTCTAGCGTGTGCCACTAATTTTCTTGCCTGTCTGACTGAGTGTTCACGCGCTTCCGCTCATGGTATTTGTATCCGCTCTCAGGTTATCACATAAAAAAATTTGAACCTGGCACGGCCGATAACATTGGGGTTTTTTTTCTCTCTTTTTTTCTTCTTCCTTCTTTTGTTACATCGCCAATTCGTCGATACCCCGCCGTTCTCAGTTACCAAAGCAACTACCTATATGCCTTTATGGGGATCTGCTGACGGTTGAGGAGCTGCTGCACACATCATCCTTACCAAATGCATCGACGCTCTAGGCCGGTGGGTGGTGAAAAATGAAAAATGCGGAAGTATCGGCACGCTAAATGATTTTGCAAAAGGGGACAATTTGTATTAGGTTTCTTCGAAGAAAACAAGTAATCTCTCACCCACAGTAGGTTTGAGGCCTCGGTAATTAGCTACATAACAACGGGCGATCAGCCTGAGTCATGCAGCAGAAGTATAAAGCCAGCGCAGTTGGCTCGCTAATTCCAGCCTAGCCACACCAGGTTCCAACAACTCCAACGTTTTATTAACTTTTCGGTGGTCGCCATGCCGCACCTCACGGCTTGGCTCTTGGCCGTTGTCGGTTTCAGTGCCCCCGTGACTTGCGAAAGCCGCCGATACTCGACATGGATGCTCGATAGCATCAAGGAACGAAAGCAAGGCGTTATTTCGTCAGGCGCATCAAGCAGCTATTTGGAAACAGGCATTCTTTCAATCGCCCTCGAGGCTGTCATCAAGCAGTACCCAGAGCTGAAAGATCAGTACGCTCCCTACCTGGGAGATGTCCTTGAGGCCGGCATACCAAGCCTGACCAACGCAACCTATGTGGCGACACGGCCTCTGGATCGTTTTTCGGTCGCCAATGCCGTTCAAGAAGCTTTGCAAGCGGATGTCGTTTCAATCTCGCCTACAGTTTCAGCAGCATTGAACACCATCAATGAGTCTTTGTCGCTTCAGATCAGGAACCCCGAAGGCGGACTGTGGTATTACGTTTACCCGCAATGGAGCTACCTTGATGGCATGTTCTCTGTGCTGCCCTTCATGGCATCCCAGCCGCAGCCTAATTACACGGACATTAGCCTGCAGATGACGCTACTTTACGAACACTGCTTTCAGAAGAATACTTCGTTGGTTGCTCATGGTTACGACTACTCGAAGAGGGCTGTTTGGGCGGACTCGAAGACGGGTGCGAGCCCGTATGTTTGGGGTCGCTCTGTGGGCTGGTTTGTCGCTGGTCTGGTGCAAACATGGGAGTCTCTGGACTGTCTCGCGGGCAAGCGTGAGGCGGAACCAGTCTGTAAGCAACTCCGACAGATGACGACTCAGCTTGCTACGTCACTCGTCAGATACGCCGATCCGGAGACCGGAGCCTGGTGGCAAATCACGACTTTCCCAGGCCGCAGCGGCAACTACCTCGAAAGCTCTAGCACGGCCCTCTTCATGTTCTCCATGTTGAAGGGCAAGAGAATTGGCATGCTCTCTGACTCCAAAGTAGATTTTAGACAAGCGGCTCTGAAAGCATACGACTACACCGTTCGCAACTTCGTTGTTGACACTGGTAACGGGACCATTGGCTACAACAAGACGGTAGCGGTTTGTAGTCTCAACTCTACTGCGTCATACGAATATTACACCAACCAGCCACTTTTACCGAATAGTCTTCTAGGAGAGTCCGCATTTATTTTGGCTTCACTTGAGGTAGAGAGATGCTAAGGTCATAGTCATACGCGAAAGGGCACCTGTGACAATATGATATATTATCAACCTGGCTTTGAATGGCAATTATAGATGTAATCACGTTTACAATGTCAGGACTATTGGAATCTGTTTGATGAATAACGTAAAGCTTTTGGCGCTGGGATTTATGATTCATGATTCTTGGCCCAATGCATCCGCTTGGCCCCTGGGAAATGATCGGTATATCTGTAATCGTGGTACAACCAGGGTCACTGTCTGGGCACTTGGACGACGACTTCTATCAAACAGCAACGATTCCGAGGTCAAGACAACGATCAAACATACTAAAGAACCACGGAAACTTTGACAAGAGATAGACAGGAGTCAGTCACTTTGCTGCTGGATGGAGTGCTCAAGAAGAACTCAAGTAGCCATATCAAGATATCTAAATCTGTCGACAGGTTAACCGCATATCAAAGACTAGATAAGCTTCGAGGAGGGTCATAACCTTGATGCACAAGTCAGCAGATAGATACACCCGGCGTACTGGCTGTTATTAGTACGCCTTTTCTCGTCTATAGGAGTTGTTGCGAGTATTTGGGATGTGGATACATTGACTAGAACCACCTCAACCCAAGTATAAAGACCTCAAGTATTTTAAGCATGTGAACTGTATACAGAATCTATGTTATGGCTTTCTGTGCATAGATCTAGGTCTACTCACATCGAGCGTTTCTTACATGCGCCGCAACTATAGTATCCACAGCGATCCACGATGGCATCGCTTCGGACCCATGGCGCAACGGTAGCGCGTTCGACTCCAGCTCTGGATTGTTATCGAAAGGTTATCTGTTCGAATCAGGTTGGGTTCATTATTCAAACGTTGTGAACGTCTTCCTTTTGGTTCCTTCCTATCTTTTGGCGCTATCTGTGACGCTGTTACTCACGGCCAACCCGTGGCGAAAATGTGACTCCGGGCGGAAATACAAGTGCATAAGATATGCAAGTAAACAGAGACTGCCGTGTATGTATCCAACATTGGTTCGAAGTCATGCGTAAACAGTCTCGTCTCGGTCCGGTGTTGTGTGTTAGATAAAGCCATCATACAGGGCTTAGAGATATTCATCAACATGTATCGAATCGACCCAAAGCCGACACCGGCCCTGTCCATGGGCTCCGGCCTGAACTTAGTCTTTATACGGATGGACGTTTCGCAATGTAGTATCAGCTCACCTATCTGCGTCATACTGATTCCGGTGTCGTGACCGGAGTGTTCCATCATCGACAAAGAGGAAGGGGATCAAGGCGGAGTGTTCCCGAAGGGACTTGATCCACTTGGTCCAAGCTTTCGGCAATGACCCGATGCACCACGCCTCGGGGGTCGGAGCTACAGTGAATGGTTCCGACGTCGCATCGTTACCGGACTTCACAATTCTGAAGTTATCAGTCGAATGTCAATTTTTAGTAATACGCCGGTTTTGATTTCCAAGATACTTTTGTGTAACTTTAGGAAAAGTGAGATTCAAGCCTGGTACCGCAATGTTCTCTCGCGCCCTAGAGATTCTGCGAAAGTTCACCTCCTGTGATGTAAGAGCCAGCCATTGCCACGCCATGTCACGGCGGAGACCGCCAGTCTTGTTGCAAATGCTGACGGTCGATCGGATTGGAGACGCTCTGGTAAAGCTAAAGTATCCACAGGGCGGCTTTCTTGATGGCGTTCGCATGTTCTCACCGGGTGCATCGATACGCGTTTCTGGCCCTGCTATAACGGTGCAAATGGTTGAAGTGAGTGCTATCTCAGCGCCGAAGTTGGACAAGAACTTCGTCGACTACAACCAAGAAGGCGGCATTATGTACGTTCAACAGCCCAAGCGATTGTCGTCGGCTTGCTGGGGCGGTCTGATGTCTACAAGAGCCAAGTACCTGGGTGCTCAAGGTGTCGTGATCGATGGTCGGATAAGAGAAATTAGCGAGCACAACGAGATGGGTTTCCCGGTAAGCTCATATGTCTCATCATGACAAAATTGATACTAGCGTACCTAAACGTTACGATAGGTCTTCGCACAAGGTACCTCAATTCTCGGGTCCAATACCTTCACTCGCGCATCCCGAGTGAACGTGCCACTCCAATTCAATAGCGATCTCTGGATCAACCCCGGTGATATTCTGATTGGTGACTCTGACGGTGTTGTGGTCACGCCCGTATCACTGGTAGAGAAAGTGGTTGCTTTGTGTCAAGAGCGGGCAGAGGTTGATGAGAGAATGTTTGCTGAGCTGAGGAAGGGAGCCTCGATGGGCGATCTTATTAGGAATGTCAGGAAAGACAAGTAGATATCAATGGGATATAGAAGTACCCTCTACGCAGCACGTTTAGCATCGTTCTCACAAGTCCCTTTGTTTCATCTATGTGCTTAATCTGTGGACGGTCACCGAACCACGCCATCGCTCCATATCGGAAGGCAGGAGGACCTCATGAGGACTCGATGGTATGTCGCAGTGTTAATCTATTCCGTGATAGTACTGCTTTATGTTCGACCCATATTGCAGTCTTTTATCGTCTAAACAGACGGGTCGAGTTACGAATCATCATGAGACCCCATTCCTCGGCTGAGAGCCATGACTTCAGGCTCTTAAGCCAGGCCGCATCATCCACCTCGAGATATGACGGCTCTTTCATTGCCTCCTCTTGAAAGCGCATCTTCATCCGTGATATGTGCGGCCAGTCACTGTCCCATATTACTTGATGCTTGTTCGCATCCATGAATGCGCGGACCAGACTTTTGGCATCATAGTAGCCTGGTTTGTCCTCACTGTTGCGGTACGGCGCGCTTAGCTTGACCCATAAATTGCCATCCCTGGCCAATCTCGTTAACCCGTCGAAGCCGGGCTGTTGTGTAATTAACATCATGGTGGTATTTCGCCGGGAGAAGGCTTGTATCTTTAATAATGCAAAGTGGTCTGTCACCAGGTCGACGCTTTGCTTGACGATGACGTCGTGGACAAACTGCTCCAGCGCACCCCAGAAATCGGTTCGGATCGTTGTAATCGTCAAACTTCAAGGCAATGACAAATTTGAGACTCTCCTTAGATGAGCTAGCTAGCAAGGCAATCTTCTACAGTTCGACATCTTCCAAGGCGTTGTACTGATACTAATTCACCCGGACGCCTCAAACGCCAGCCTTGTGCATAGAGAGTATTTCTCCGTCACTTGTCTTGGCAGGGTTGATGGCGCCAACAGCCCGATTCTTTTGATTGTCAAGCTGAGACAAAAAGGTTTTCAACAAGGTAAAGTCATCTCTACAAGACATTTCGTGGGTAAGGACGGACCTAGTGATGCCATAGTTTTTTTTTAACTTTTCAAACGTGGCGTCGGCGGCGGGGTAAGGTGTATGTCTGGACTGTAAGCGTACGACTCCGTTTTGAAGAGCTGACCGTCATTATGTTTTGTTTTTTACACAACCAAGGAAGCAGTGGAAAAATGCCTTCTTTTGGCCGGGCCCCCCGAGGGGTCCATAGTTAATGTCGTTCGTAGTTGTCGGCGCTCTCTCGGCTGCTAGTTTCCAGACATCATCCCTAATTGCCAGGGAAAAGCTGATGTGATTGCTATACCCATTATCTCCCGGTTCTGTTTCAGGCGTCAGGCGGACTTCTAGGGGGACATAGTAATGCCGGTCGTTTGCAAGTTGCCAGCATGAAGGCAAGTCACGAAATCCAACCCTGTCATCAGCTTGCTCGGCAGTTGACCATGGGGTTGACTAATCTGGAGCTACCCGTGTCTGGACCGTCCAAGAAGCGGACAGCTCCGCGGCGAGAAGGACTCCTTTGCGGGACAGTTCCAGCTGCGCCACGAGCACCCAGCCACGCCCACGGAATGCGTGGGATCCACTCCTCACACGGATTTTTCCACCCCGAGTCTTCCGCCGTAGCACGCCTGATGGAGAATTGGTAACTTTTGTTTAACAATGCACGTGTCATTTAGCCACTCTAGCGTACATGTTGCTAGTAAGTTAGGGAGAGCCACTCTTTGTCGTCAGAAAAAGATGCTGCGGAGCTCCGCTAACGGATATCCTCAGCTTCCAAGGCGTGCCAATCGGATGGCTCTAAACCAGACGCCGCTAGAAAACCACTCTTTGTAGCTTGCAAAAAGGCACCCCGGGGACTATTTAAAACAAGTCTCTACAAAGCGCAGCTTCAAGAGTTACAAAACGCAGTGAATACAACTCTGATGAGGATCATCTAACCTCGATTCAAGAGGAGCCGAAGACTGTCTACTTTGCCCACCACTTTTAAGTGTGATGGCTGACGCAGCCGTCGGTGGGCGTCGAGACTTTTGTGCGGTATGTCCACGTTCACTCGCACCAGTGGAGCTCCTCCACCTGAATGCGAGAACGGAACTCGAGCGGGATCCCTTGTTGAGCCTTTGCCTATGTATCTAAGCGCGAGGCTAAACAAGCCAAATATCTAGCGGTAAACATTAAATCGCGGAAACAGATTTTGAGTTCGTCCAAATCGCCGTTGAGATTCTTCGTCTCAGGAATACGTACGTCTGGTTCTACAGTGCTCTACACGGAGGCCAGTGCGTTCTGTGTCTCAAATGCGTCAAAGTTGGGCAGACGATTCTTTACCTTTTGACGGCATCAGAAGGAAGCTGCCGAAAGGTCACCAAACAGGGAAATTTAACCAAGGCTGCCGACATGCTAGCAGGTGCCACGGAGAACGTGATTATCGTGACCCCTGGCGGAAAACCCAAAACCATAATTGTCGAAGACAAAGCTGGGGCGCGGCGACTCAAGTCCACAAGCTGTGGGATCAGTAATTAGCATCGTCAGCACGGACGGTGTGGCTGGTCTATTTCGTGGGTTACTCCCAGTGGCACTCAAGCAGAGCTCCAGCGCGCTTGCGCGTTTCACCACCTACAGTGCTCTGTGGATGCTATTGAGCCGCCAATGAAGCCGTTTGGCAGAGGGTGCCATCCTACTGTCTTGGTTAAAGCTGCTGCTGGGGGTGTGTTTGTGCCGCAATACTATTCGATGTCGTTAATACAAAGGTGGAAAGCCTTAGACGGGGTTACGATCAAATGATCAACTGCGCAATGTGGCATTGTACCACGGTCAATGTACGCGATTCGGGAGTCGCTGGTCTAAGAAAGGGCACGACCCCTCTCTTGGCCAGATTGAGTGTGAGTTGAGACAGGAAGCACTAGTCCCGAAATTGTCAGTTCCATTGGCACATGCCACTTGGAAGACAAATAAGTGATCAGGTTCGTGTTCGCATACCCTAGAATCCTGGCGCCTCAAGCTTCCCCATTTACGATAATGCGTTAAGTGTTTTGCAACAGACCGCAAAAAGGGGCAAGGGAGTAGCCAGAAGGCTAAGTTGTAGATAGACACAAAACAGCCCTCAAGTCAAAAACAACAGTAAGGATGATCATCCTGCAAGTCTTGGCAGCGAAATAATCTCCGCATAACGATGGATAGATGGTGTGGGCAGCGGGGTTGTATGCCCTGTTCGACAAAACAAGAACGCAACTCCGAGCAAAGCAGGCTTATCACTGGTGAACGTATGCCTTCGGTAGCAGACCTACAGTCAGGAACGTACCGCCCAACATCAAAAACCCAGCATAATATCCGACGCACAGTCAACAGTCACAGCAAGGTACTGACACAAACATAGTTGTTGGACACTAGACGTCCATCAACAAACTCAGAACCGAGGTCTTTGTGAGATGGTAGGGGGACTAGATGTTGACTACACCGCGAATCTAGCGTGCGATTAGGCAGTTCACTCAAACCCAGTGCTAAGCCACCACTGTAGTTGTGCGTACCGGCCAATCCTTTCGTCCCAGGTCCTGTTGTGAGCTGCCTTGACCGCTAGAGACTGTAGTCTGGCTTTCGCTACAGTTCTACCGAAACCCTATGATCCCGGCCTTTCTTTCGTGAGCTTACGGGTGGGTATCACCCGGCGTCATTAAATATGCCTTTACCCCAAAAGAGCCACTCAGGCCACATCCCCCTCGTTGATCGATATGGCGAGAGGACTGTTAGTGTAACAAGCCCCTACCAGAGTCCCATCATCCAAGATCCAATAGATGTACCATGTACCTTGAGTAGCTCACCTAAATGCGATAGGTCTGCGCGGCGTGCGTCCTCAACTTATTCTCTCATCAATCGAGTTCATTCCAGCAGCTCAAACCTCGACACACCAGGCATAATCAAAAAAAAGTAGTCTGCATCACACCTTTCTTTTGCCAGTCATGGCCACACGGGTGAACCCGCCCAAGAAGGTCCGACTAGCCTGTCGGCGTTGTCGCACAAGACGCATCAAGGTAAGACTTTCTTCCATTTCCTGCCCTACGGATCCGCTGAGCTCCCTTTTCCCCTGGCGCTGGCTGTTAGCCTAGGTTGACTGGGACCAACTCACCGCGTTACTCCGGCCCAATTATTAACGTTGCTCATCCTTCTCAGTGTGACGGAGAAGTCCCTGCTTGTACGAATTGCGCAAAAGCTGGCGAGACTTGCCTTGATGTCGACAGTCAGAATTCAGGCTTACTGGTTCCTCGCAAGTAAGTATAACATAATTTCCTCATCTGTCCTGTTCACGAAGCGGGCCTTCCCCAAGCGACCGGAGTGATCCTCACTGCATGGTTGGACTGATGCAAAAGTCCCTCGCTGATGCATTGCCCCTGGGTACAGCTTCGCAAGTGCCGCCCGTGCTAGGATCCAATGGCTCGAAGACATCATCAAACAACGACTTCCTGATGTCGACATATCTCAAGGTCCGCAGATCGACGCCTTTCCAGACCCAAAAGGCTCGGCCATCGCCGGAGGTGTGGACCATGATGATGACACCGTCTCAACGTCTTCGTTCCGGTCCGGTCGCGGAAGTAGTCAACCTGCAGGACGGACGTTAAGTCTTGGGTCCCAGAGGATGGGACTAAAGCGGCCCGCGGAGGCCGCGGGTTCGTACGACCACGACGAGCAGTTCCCCGACCGTGCACACTCGGTCGCGATGAATCTGGGGATGATGTCCCTGAACTCAGACTCTAATCAAAAGCACTATTTAGGGTCAAGCTCCGGTGTTCTATTTACGAATCTCATCGGGGTATCCCCTTCGAGCGCTGGTTCTACACCTGCGGCTCTGCTAGACGATGTCCAAGCCCAGGGCCCTTCTTCTGAATGGCATGAAACGTCGTCTTCTGTTCATGGTAACGTCTCGCAACAGTACAACCGTTCTCTACATATCATCCTACAACAGGTTCGTTCTATTCTGTTATCTGTGTCCCTTTGAAAGGACGACGCTGACATACCTTTTCCCTTAGGAGCTTCCCAAGAAGGAAGACGCCGTGAATTTGATACACACCTACATCCGATGGATACACCCCGACTACCCAGTTCTCGAACCAAGCTCTCTACTCAGCGCTGTGGACGCCCTTTACGCAACCTACCCATGCTCGATAGACGAAGATCCTTTTCCTCATGGATGGCCCAGCTCAGTCCAAGCTTTTCGTTGGAACGGACGACAAAGGATACCCGGCAGCCCAGGATTCCACTCGATATCCATGCCGGTTGTGGCGTTTGTTCTGTTCATGGTATTCAACATCGCAGCTATCGTCAAAGTCAGGTCACGGGTATACGAATTCCCGCCAGAGAGGTTCTACCGAGCTGCGCTACACTTCTCCAAAGATTGCTTCTCGCAGATATCGCTGTCTTCAATCCAAGCCTTGGTCACCCTGATAGTTCACAGTATGCTGACACCCGCCGAAGTCAATCTATTCACTTTAGTTCACATTGGGCTCGCGCATTGCGTTGAGTTGGGTATTCACCGGGAGCCGCCACCAGCTGCCGATCCAGACGATATGAATAATCAGCAGATCAGACGTCTGGCATTCTTTACTGTTTATTCCTTAGACAGGTAGGGGTAGATTACTGGTTTTTTTCGTTTCCGTTCAATGTTAATAGAAACAGGTCTGTATCCTCTATTCAGGGACGACCGCTCGGCTTCCGAGACGAAACATTCGATGTCCAGATGCCCAAACCACAATCATCACGACATATAAACGCAACGAGCAGCCCAATGTTGTCTTCTTTTTCAGCAGCGGTTCTGACATTCGCGAGACTTCAATTCGAACTGGATCGCGTTATTTCTGATGTCAAATTACAACTGTATCATCTTCCGTGCGACTCTACCTGGTTTGCGCTGCCACCAAACCCGACAATCCAGCAGACCAGAATCAAGGATGAGCTTAATAGTTGGTGGCAAAGAGTTTCTAAAGAACCATTCAACTTTTCGGGTCTTGATAACCGTCAAAGACGCATGTGGAAGCTGAAACTAAAGATCAAATACCATACAACAATGGTTATGCTCTTCCAACCGTCACAAGCGATACGAACCCCGCCTTCGGAATCGCTTCAAGTTTGCTTCAACAACGCTGCCTCTATACTCCAGGACTATCAGGCGTTGCACGATATGCAAGGTCTGCACCACGGATGGCGAACAGTTCAGAACATCTTTGCCGCTGGGGCGACGTTGATCTACTCATTTTGGACATGCTCAGCCGTTCGACAAAGCGCGTCGACGGCAGACCTCTCAAGAAGCCTGCGTGCTTGCTCGGGTCTTTTGACTGTCGGCGGTGAGTGGTGGCCTTCTGTCAAGAAAGGACAGAAAAGCTTCGGCGCCATCGTCGATTTGACAATTCGCAAGCTGTATACTGGCAATATGCCGTCCAAGAACCCCCGACTCTTTACTCCTCTTTCTTCAGATGACGGACAACATGCTATGGGGGAGCCAGAGGAGGCGGCAATCTATGACACAACCAGCCAACAAGAAAATATCCCGCCTCTCCCGCTCAATGGAACTGACACATCTTGGCAACATATACCGGGGCCTTCTGTGGACATGGCACACCCTCAGGATTCCGTACACTGGCAGGGAGTTTACCCTAGCGGCTCGTTTCATCCAGGAGCCGACGACTACGTTCCGGAGATAGAGAGTTTTCTAGCTGACTTTGACAAGTCCGAGTTCAGCTGGAGCTTTCCTTTGGCCGGCATTGGCGACCCGTACGAGATAGGAAACTTTACAAATCCAGGGTATTGACTGTCACGCGCGATTGGAGCGGCACTGAAAAGGGGTTGTGCGGATGGCTCCCCACATTTGCCCCAATTTTGGTGGTGGACGGAGCATTCCGTCTCCATCTCACCTGGACGTCATATGGACTACTCCGTCGCTGACACAGCCCGGCAGTTTGGCAGGGTACTGTCCAGTCATTCTTGACCTCGAAGACACTGATGACAAGTCGCGACCGATTTGATGCCAACGTTTACAAGGCGGACTGGCCAGCTGATAAAGAATGGAAGAACTACTGCTTGGCGTTCGGGCTGGCGCGTCATTGCAAAAGTCATCAACATGTTGTCTCTGTTGAGACGAGTGCAGCCAAACGCTTACTCTTCTTCGAGGCAAATTTCCTGGGCAGTGTTGACACGAGATCCTGCAACGCCAGCTGGACATGTCGCTCTGAGTCCATTGGAGTCTGTGAGTCTCAGCCGTTGTCCAGATGGTATCTCGATGTCGTTCTGACCATGTAGTGCAATACACTAGATTACAGGCTGCGACTGGAAGCTCTTCGCACTGTTCAACGATCTACGAAACGCCCCTGACTCTCTCCGAGAAAGTGCTGTACAGTCAACTGATTACAGGCGAGAATGACTGGTCACTCGATAACATATGGCGTGGAAAGACGATACGGGTCCTGCGGCCAGATCAAGTTGCTTGCCATGACGCCACGGCGACAATGGCGCTTTTGTAATTCATTAGCGCCGGCCTCCCGTGGGTCAGAGTACCGACTTCAGTACACAGTGACCGCTTGATAGTAGCCGAAAAGGGAGACAAGCAGGATCTCGCGCGAGGCGCAAGCAACCACAAAGAGGTATATGCCTTCCTTGGCAGTGCGTCGAGAAAATATGGGATTGGCTACTGGAAGCCTGGAGCGGGAATTATTCACACGACTATCTTCGAGAACTACGCATTTCCTGGCGGGCTCATGATCGGTACCTACTCGCACACACCCAACGCTGGAGGAATGAGTAGGCTAGGCATTGGCGTTGGCGATGTTGACGCCGTCGACGCAATGTCTGGTATGCCTTGGGAGCTCGCATCCCCAAAGGTCATTGGCGTTCGCCTGACTGGCAAGTTCCAAGGATGGAGCTCACCCAAGGACATTATCTGCAAAGTTGCTGGTATACTGACAGTATCTTGAGGCAAGGGCAAGATTATCGAATTTTTCGGCCCTGGTACCAACACATTAGGAGCGACTGCAATGGCAACGGTATGCAACATGTCTGCTGAGGTTGGATCTACGTCGTGTATTTTCCCCTATTCAGGAGCTACGTCGCGTTATCTGTTAGCGACGAATCGGGAAGAAATAGCAAAATACGCCTACACTTTCAAGAAGGAACTGCTTGTGGCAGATGCGGGCAGCGACAGATATTACGACAACGTCATCAAGATGACCTGTCAACCCTTGAGCCTCACATCAATGGCCCCTTCACCTCTGATCTGGCCCATCCGCTCTCGAGATTTAAGCAGCACATTAGCGAGAACTCTTGGCCCTCGGAGCTAAGCTGTAGCTTGGTGGGAAGCTGCACCAACAGCTCACATGAGGACCTCGAGAAGGTCCGAGATCTTGTCGTCCAAGCGCGAGAGGCCGGCTTGGAGAGAACCAAGACACCCTCCTTGGTCAGCCCTGGCAGTGAACAGATTCGCGCAACGGCTGAAGCAGAAGGGATTCTTACGACCTTGAGGCAAGCTGGCGCCACGGTGTCGAGCAATTCCTGTGGTTCATGTGTTGGTCAATGGGACCGCAAAGACGTTGATATTAAGGGCGCCGAAGAGAACTCTGTTTGTGTCTAGTTTCAACAGAAACTTTACTGATCGCCAGGATGGCAATCCTGCAACTCACTCCTTCGTGATATCGTCCAAGCTAGCAACAGCGTTCGCGTTCGTTGGCGACCTCACCTTCAACCCGATCACCGATAGCATCTGTACCACGTACGTCTGGCAAATCTGAGGTTTTCAGATTCTCCCCACCAAAAGCCGACGAACTACGATCCGTCTTTTCACCCAATACTTACCGCTTCCAACCGCCTGTCATGTCCGATACCTCGGATCTAATAGTCAACATCGACCCAAGCAGTGATAGCCTTCAACTGTTGACACCTTTTAGCCCCTGGCAGAGCGGACAAGCAAGCGACATGAATATCTTGACCAAGGTCCGCGGAAAATGCACCACAGACCATATATCCCCTGCCGGTCCATGGTACAAGTATCGTGGCCATCTGGAAAATATCAGCAACAACATGCTGCTCGGCGCCACCAACGCGTTTCTTCCGGGCTACAGCTCGTGGGAAAATATCGGTAAAGCTACGGATCCTGTCGATCAGTTAATCAAGCCTGTTCCGCAGGTAACGCGAAGTGTGAAGAAGGCTGGCATCAGATGGTGCATCGTCGCAAACGACAACTACGGAGAGGGTAGCTCGCGAGAGCATGTCGCTCTAGAGCCGCGGTACTTAGGAGGTGTTGCTATTATCGCCAAAAGCTTTGCGAGGATTCACGAGACGATTTTGAAAAAGCAGGGCATGCTGCCGCTTACATTTAGTAACACTGGTGACTATGCGAAGATCAAGGATGGCGACCACTTGAGCCTGTTGGATGTTGAGGAAGGAGAATTGCAGCCTGGGAACCAAGTTACGATGGAGATTGTAACGCATGAGGGCTCCAGGTGGAAGGCAAAGTTGAACCACTCTTATGAACTCAACCAGGTCAGCTGGCCTAGAGCCGGAAGTGCGCTTAATTACATCAAACATGTTGTTCTTGGTCAGAAAGCATAATTCATTGAAATACCGCCTGCGGTAATAAAGGATATCACGGTGATACCATCACTATTCATTCAGAAACCAAAATATTTCCGTTCAAAGTTCCAAGATGGCATAACAAGTGATTTTTGGTATGAAGAACGGATATTTATACACTTGCACCAGCTCTTTGCGAAAGCTAAAGTGACACGATGTTCTTCTGACCAATCCTCAGGGTTTCTAACGATTGAACGAGCACCCAGTGGAAATCCAGTGGACTAACTGAGAAGACTAGAGGCGAGCGGTAAACGGTTGGATCGCTAAATTATAATGCCCTTAATTCCATTCGGACCTTGCTTCCATCTTGTTCTTCTCGCCACAGCATTTTCTGGACTTATTGAAGCTGGTGTTCTTTTGGGTCTTGGGGGTGCTAGGGACATGCATGCTGGCAATAACTATCCGTCATCGAAGGAGTTGGCAACTTTGCTGTAGAATCTTTGGGCTCCGTACTACTTTCTGACTTCCCTGCACGTAAGTAAGACATCACCAAATCATTGCTCACGGAAAGTATAGCGCCTACAGTTTCAACAACTCCTTCCTTACCGTTGTCAAAGGCTTCTAGCTTGGCAATAACAACCTGAGTGTTGTTCTGACCGCACCGCCTTACTTGCCACCTACATTACCGTTCTAACTGCATGATTCTCGAACCGACGCAACGATCGTGGCTTTTACATCTCAGTGTGGCAGGCTGTGGCGTGCGTTGGCGTCCTCATCTGTTTCTTCAGTCAGAAGTGATGAACGTTGTGCTGCAGCAATCTCGTACATCCATAGTTATTGCTAGCTCAAAAGGTATGGTGAACGATCTTCGCGAAAGTCAAGAACGGCGAGAAGAAAACTGACACATATATCCATATTTTCAGTTTGGCCAGCCCAACCTTGGACCATATGATAGAGACGAGAGCCAACGCGGTGTACATCATCAATCTTCTCAATTAATTGAGAAAAGCTCGGAGTCCTTACCGTCTCTAACCGAAAGCTGGACGAAGATACGTAATGGCGAATCTATCGATGATGGCTTTCTCTGACTTAATAAATGTTGCTACTTGTGTGACCAGAAGACCATACACACAGGAGCTACCTAAAAGTTGAAGACTAGTAGGATGAGTGGCACGTTGTTTACTCTGTAAATTCTAAATGACTAAAGACGTTCGCTGATCTTCAAATGTCTGAATTTGACGATTGGCCCGCCTTCAAAATGGAAGATGCTCTGCCAAAAAAGAATGATTTCATGTTTGGCTAATAGACGTTTCGTCAGACGATGTAAGTGACTGAGGCCCTTCAGGTTACACTCTTAACCATAGACTGTTTTTACATAATCGACTGATTCTAAGAAGCGGATTACACCCACCAGGAGTTTTAACATTCAGTCCTATCATTCATGATAGACACGCCGTACCAGATGGTCTTCTCCAACCTCGAGAGATAAATATTGATCAGGGGCTAAAGTCTACGAGAGATGAAAAGTTAGGACCTTCGTGACCTTGGTCTCTGACACAGTCCATTGCGACTGGTGGTGTTGATGAAAATGACTAGTCTTCTGTCAGCTTACTATGTTGGGAACAAATTCTCTGCGTAATTACCTCGCATTTCGGACGAATCATGGTTCCTTATCAAATGCCTTTGATGTGAGCTGTGGATATGTCGTTGTGTCACTCGCTCATCACACCTAGTAATATTTGCTCACGTGGTACAAGGCAGTCGCGAACCCCATTGAAACGGATTCGTCAAATCCTATGTGAGATTCCTACCATAGTAAGACTACCATACAAAGTAAAGTAGCCCAAATGGTTAGAAGGCCCATTTGGGCAACGAGGTTGGGTCCGTGTATGTACTAAGGATGCGCGGAAGGTTTATTTACTAGCCAAGCCCGAGGGCCGGTGGAACCTTAATACTGCACAGGTATTCAATCATCAATCAGCATTCTCCTTTTAGGTGGACACCTGTCTCTTCTTGGAGTCTCGTCCACCAGCACCTTTAGTTGCACCATATCACCATGTCGTCCACAAAAAAAAGCTTCGAAGTTGCCATCGTGGGCGGCGGCATAGCCGGAATGATTCTCGCGATCTCCCTTATCAAACGAAATGTGCCATGTATCATCTACGAGAAGGCACATGCGTTCACTGAGCAAGGCGTCGGTTTGGGCATGACTCCAAATGCAGTGCGCGCCATGCAGTTTTGCGATCCTGCGGTTAGAGAAGCCTTCGAGAAGGTGACTGAGCCTCCATTTCAATGGGATTTTCTCGACGGCACAAATGAGACGAACGACAGTATCACCCGATTTTCTCTCGGTAATACAACCATAGGACTGAGGGGCTGTCACCGCGGGCAGTTTCTTAGGGGATTGGTTGAGCTGGTCCCTGAGAGCATGATACGGTTCAAGAAACAGCTAGAACGGGTTGAAGAACATCAGGGAGCCTCCGGAAAGTTAACTTTGGTCTTTAGCGATGGTACCACAGCCGAAACGGATGCGGTCATCGGTTGTGATGGGATCAAGTCCCATACCCGTGGCATCGTTGTCGGACACGACCACCCGTCTGTGAAGTGTACTTACTCTCAAAAATACGCCTATCGGGGACTTATCCCTATGTCACAAGCTATAGAGATTCTAGGCCCGGAGAGAGCGAAGGCGTCCGGCCAGTGGGTAAGTCAGAGCACCTAGTGAAAATCATCCGCAAACAGAAGCGTCGTTGAAGTTCGAGAGTACAAATGTGGGAAAAGCTGACTTTCCAATCAGATTTCTCACGATGTGCATCTCGTCAGCTACCCAGTCGCTCGCGGAACCATGTTGAACGTTGTTGCACATTGCACCGACAGTGAGGACTGGCCCAGCGAGACACAACTGACGCTTCCTGCAGATATGCAAAGCTGCCTTGAAGATGTAAAAAGGCTTAGCCCTCGTCTTCAGCAGGTTATTCAGGCACTCAAGGGCCTCGACCGAGTAAGTCGAGAGGAGTATCCACACATCAACCAGCGTGAATACCTATCTAACATTTGCAGTGGGGACAATTCGATCTTGGCGACCACCCTCCTCCAACATATGCCAAAGGCCGCATCTGCCTCCTTGGTGATGCAGCTCATGCCACTACACCACATCAAGGCGCTGGGGGAGGCATCTGTATAGAAGACGCCGCAGTTATGGCATCGCTTCTGGCAGAAGATGGAGTGCGATGCAGCGCTGATCTTGAAGCTGCGTTTGCTACATTCGACGAACATCGTCGGGAACGGGGTGAGTGGCTTATCAAGAGCAGCAGGCGAGCTGGCGAGCTGTATCAGCTTCAATCTGAGCACGGAAAAGACTTTCAAAAGTTAGAAGCAGAAATCCAGGTGACTTCTAAGAAGATGTGGAATTTTGATATCGAGTTGAATATTCAGAAAGCAGTAAGGGATTTAAACAAACGACTTACTGCATAAACAAATACACATTGCAGCTTGGTGGGTTGGCTGACACCAGACTGTTCAGGGGAAAGTTGAAAGATTTGCGGTTGTTTACCTTTTGTTACATAATTTTGTGAAGCAGCAAACGATGCTTCAATTGTTCTCCTTTCAAGTTCGTTATCAATAAAACAAAGAGATTTACCAAAACTACTATAATCGACAGTAAGCTAGTCTCAAATATTAGTCGATGCTGTGGGGTTAAATTGTGGCATTGTGCCTTTTTCAAGTTATAGCTGGGGTTTCGAAGACCTCGCAACAGCTTTTGCGACTGAAGTCCGGTTCGTCTCCGGAAACTGGTTTATAACGGAATGTGAGAAAAGGAAGATCTCAGGCTGGTCGATAAATAGTTACGTGAAATGCTGTCGATCCATTTGCTCGTTTGGCAATTGTCTTCACAAGCATCTTATTTGCGTTGAGTGTAGACTCGTGAAACGAATCTCATCAAAACTCGTTTCCATGACGCTGAACGCATTGATCAAGCCTGAGAACCACTTTGCGTTCTGTTTTCAGAATTATGATGTAATATGGATTTTTAAAGTTTACGTAAATGTGGGCTCTTGAAAACTCTTGAGCGGATCGTCTGATAAGACGACAAACCCATAGCTTTAACCCCAGAATACCCTCATACTCACTGACAATACCACAAACCCCAAAACCTCACCGGGAGGGAAAGCCGCCACCAGCACCAAAGAACAATGCCCGCCGATTTTGATAAACAAAGCTACTGGGGCGAGCGTTTCGCCTCCGAGACCAGTTTCGAGTGGTTGACACCCTCTACAACCCTTATGTCGGTCGTGGATCCTTATCTCGCCAATCTGAACGATTCGGCTCGCATCCTGCAACTAGGGTTTGGAACGAGCGACCTGCAGAACCATATTCGGCAACGGGGCTTCACGAACATTACCAACGTCGACTTCGAGCCGTTGGCGATCGACCGCGGCCGGGTACTGGAAAAGCAAGTATTCGGTGATGTGAAGATGCGCTACCTCGTGGCGGACGTGACCCAGCTCCACTTGCCTGACAGGTTTGATCTGATTATCGACAAGAGTACAGTCGATGCGGTATCTTGCGGTGGCTTGGAGGCGTTTTTAAGGATGGCGGAAGGAGTAAGGCGGCACTTGACCGACGACGGCTATTGGATTTCGCTGAGTTATTCGTTTTGCCGCTTCGACGTCGATAACCTGCCGCTCGATGTTGAAATTATCGAGAAGATCCCCACGCCGAAGCTGAAGCCCAATGACCCGGATGTTTACCATTGGTGCTACCTTCTGAGGCCGAAATTATGGCAATAGGGCGCATTTTCAGGATACTGCATGACACTTGGGGGGATGAGTGCTCGTTTGACCTCCTTCGATACCCTGGCATAGTTGATTTCGAGCCGTCATCAACGAGCTTGCCTGACAATCTAACCAAGAAATGCATGTTTGATAGGCGACGATAATCTTTAACGGTGATCTTATGATCTATCTAGTTATTTGTTTATAGTCAAGTTTATATATGTCATAAAACTTCGTGTCTTCGTCTTGTTTAGACCAAGGACTGGCCGGGCTTGAAATCGGGATGGAAAGGATAGTCGATGTATCCCTGAGGGATGGATGGAGTGTAGAAGGTCTGCCTGTCGTACTTGTTCAATGGCAAGCCATGCTTGATACGGAACGGCAAGTCCGGATTCGCCAAGAAGTGGCGGCCAAAAACAACGGCGACATCCCACTTTGCGTACTCCTCATCCACGGCTCGCTGTGCTAACTCGGGGGTAAATCCACCCGCAACAAGGATGGGCGAGATGTTATCCCAAATCTCCAGGATGAATTCGATTCCCTCTACCTTCTCGATGTCTTCCCAGTTGTTGACGCGGGATTCAATAACATGCAGGTAAGCGAGCTTCAGCTCCTTCAACTTCTGAGCCAGGAACGAGAACTGGGGCACAGGGTCCTGCATTCTCATGCCTTGGAAGTTGCTGTAGGGGCTGATGCGGAAGCCGACCTTGTCGGAGCCGATAGCATCAACAAGCGCGGCGGCAACGTCGACAGGAAATCTGGCTCGGTTTTCGACGCTTCCGCCCCACTGATCCGTGCGCTTGTTGCAAGTGTCCTGAAGGAACTGGTCGACCAAGTATCCGTTGGCACCGTGAACCTCAATGCCGTCAAAGCCAGCCGCAATCGCGTTCTTGCCTGCCTGCGCAAAGTCTTGGACAGCCGCGGCGATCTCCTCGGCCGTCATCTCCCGGGGAACGGGCGACTCGGAACTAATGGGTACGGCGCTGGAGCTCAGCAGGGGGTAGCCACCCTCCTTCTCTAATACAGGGAAAACGGCCGCGCGACCGGGCGCGATAAGCTGGCAGTACATGCTGCTGCCCTTAGCGTGAACGGCGTCCGTGATCTTCTTCCATCCGGCGATCTGACTCTCACTCCAGATTCCCGGCGCATTGGGGAAACCGCCATGGGCAGGGGAGATGAGGACGGCCTCAGCAATAATGAGGGTTCCGGGAACGGCAGCGCGCTGGGTGTAGTACTCGAGGGCAATATCAAGCGGGGTGTGATCGGCGTCGAAGCGGAAGCGGGTAAGGGGCGCCATCACCACGCGGTGAGATAGCTGCGCCTGGCCGACCTTCAGCGGCTGGAAAAGCTTGGAGGACATTGTTGGAAAGTAACCTAGGTCATTTATTTGCTCTGAGACGGGAAAGATGAGATGAATTAGATGCGTGAGATGTACTTAGTCCTCGGGTCGGTCTTATCGCAACGTCAAGCCGAACTGGCTGGGGCGATCTGGCCCTGATAAATAAGCCCCGAGATTCTGTCCACCCTGCCATTGTGGATTCTTCAGTATGGAGACCGGAAGGTGTTTGGAAGGTCGCAATACTCAAGACCCTTGGCGGAGTGCGGTCGGGCGCTGGGGGCCAGGGTGTCGGGAACGAATCTGCCGCCACTTCGACGAATTGCGTTAACGCCGTTGGAGTCGTGAAACGGCTCACAGCCAATGACACCTCTTCTTCGGGCCAAAATACTCCAACGGCTCGTTGGGGTCAAAGATGGAGACCAAGAGAAAAGGTGAAGAAAAAACTATGTGCGAGGAATTGCTTAGAAATGCTACATACAATTGCTAAGCATCGAAATCTCACAGATTTGAGTGGGGCAGTCGTCATTATTTGGACTCTTCAGAGTGACTTCAGTAGTTGTTCGTGACCCGAGCTGTGTTATCTGCTGGCTCATCCATAGAGACGAAATAACTAGTCTGGTGATGCCAAGTTGATAATTTGACGATATTGAAGTTGCTCGATATCTCAATGTCAGAGCATTAAGCCACTGAATTTAGTATATGCGGCCCCGAGTGTGCTAAGTCAAACTGGGAAGATGATCTATTATTTATTTACCCTGGAAGAGCCTACATATCCAATGTTCGATGTTCCGTACATTCCGCCCGTCGCCTAGTGATGATTATACATATTAAGTAGGGAATGATAATGCCAATGGAGAGAATGAGAGAAGTGCAGAAAGATCCTTGATAAGCCATCTCTAAACAACCTACGCACACGCTGAGCTGCATCATTTTTATGCTCGTACCGTAACTTCAGATGTCCATTAGATATGCCTTTCGATGAATTCGAGAACATAGCTTGCGACATCTTCCCAGCCATCTTGAAAAAGCAGTCCGTGGCTGCGACCCTCGAATTCATTGTACTTCACAATTGCAGGGCCCTTGTAGGCTTTATACTCCTTTCTGACGGTCCTCGCGGTGACAATATGGTCTTTCGAGGCACTGATGAGCAGCAGGGGAGCCCGGTCAGGCTTGTCGAATTGGACATAGTTCGGCGCCGCCTGTCCGGCCGTAACGTTGGTCGCTAATTGCCAGAGTACTCGAGAGTCCGCCGGTATGCAGTATCGATCCCATTGCTTCTTGCTCTCTTCGGCCGACAGTAGGTTGCCGAAGCAGTAGTGAAAATGGCTTTCGGAAATCGGGATGGTGGCATCTGAATGTAGGGGGCGGGTGAAGATGGGAAATGCGGTTCTGATAGTGGTTGGTGGGATGTAAATAATGCCCGCCGGCTGCGCAGGACAGACGGCTATGCCCAGGGCTCCTATCCCGCGCGATAGAAGGATCTGAGCGAAAAGACCGCCGAAAGAGTGCCCTATAATGATGGGAGGCTCCGGCAGTTTCTTGATGTATGCCTCGTAGTGATCCACAATGTCTTCGATGCGATGGAGGGCGATAGGCTTCGGATCTGCACGGATCTCTTCATGCGTTCGGCCATCGACCCCTGGCCAACCGGGGGCGTGCACTTCGAATCCTCTTTTTTGGAGAAATAGGATCCAGTACTCCCAAGACAGAGGGGTCATCCACAAACCGTGGATGAGCACGATGGGCGGTTTAAAAAAATCCATTAAGTCTTGGCCGAGATGCCAAGATGCATGCTGTGTAATTACGATGATCTTCTTTGGGGGAAAAGAGACAGAAGGGTGTATCTATGTGCTTTGTGACCAGAGCTGGGTGATGACGTCAAGACTTTTGAGAACGCGGCGTCCGGCAAAGCCATGTTCTTGACTAACTGCCATATGGCTAAACGGCACCTTGGCTTGACCTTGATTTTGAGAGGTTATCATGACGTGAGGAGCCATGAAAACTGCAAATACGGTGCTGTTTCTTCGCAAGATCAAGTGCTCTTATTTTGTGAAGCATTGCAGATTTTGTAAATTGCTAGGTGGTGAAATACCTTTACGGACTTGGTACAACTTCATACAGAGTAAACCCCTAATTTACTGCATTGGTGCCCACCGTTTTCGATGCATTGTAGACGCATCAAATATTCTCAATGATATTAGACTTGGACCATTGTCGAGACTATCTCGGGTTGACCATGTGCTTTCGCATGGGTTCGGGTTAGCGAAGCTATGCTGCTTCTTAGCGACGTGTCACATTGGAATTCGGGCCACAGCACTAATAAGTCTCTGTGCCCCCCACCCACAGCAACTCACTCTTGTTTACAATGAGACACTTGGAGACTTCCTCAAGTAATCAGCCTCCCCTCACTACGGGTATGTGTTGGAATAGCATTTGCATCTGCAAACTGATAAAGACGCAGGTATAAACTTAAGAAGAGGGAAAGGGTACTCGTGACGCACAGCAAGTGCTTGGTTCACTGGCAAGTCGCCAAAGACACCAAGTAACCTTCAATCTTTGGAGTCCCGATTTGATTCACTCGCCCACTACAGTAATGACCCAGCATGGGTTAAGCCTGTTTTAAAATCGCGCATTGCAATTATTCATTCCATGATTTGAGCAGTTCCAGTTGGAGTAACCGACCCCAAATACCCGTTTTTGGTTGGGGAACTTGAGAAATGCGCCTAAAGTTGAAGTATGTGCCTGAAGCTGAGTATGTGCCTGAGCTGAACATAATGATGGTGTCTCGATGCGCCCCACTCCGTCGATCGGAAAACACACAGGCCATTAACCTGATGTACTAGTCATTGCGTCTCCTAAAAGCTGGACGATAGTTGGGTCAGCCTTTAGCGTATAACTAGCTTGGACACCATTACTGATTAGCTTGCAATAACCCGCTCACATCGAGCTCAAAGACCTCGCATGAATCCACGCCTTCTGAGAGGAGGTTTTATGCCCTCCGGTTTCTTCAACTCTTTCTCGCCATCCTCTGTTTCAACCACATACCGATCCTTCTGCATTTCCGCCATCCTCTTCTCGTGTTCCATCTTCCATCGCATAAAGTAACAGCATAATGGAAACAATAGAGTGTTAACAGCTGCCCACGCAAACAGAACGCCAAAGTTGAGCCCAATCTTCGATCGCAAGTCAAACAATAACTGTCGACTTGCCTCGACCACATGGTGAAGCGGCCAAGCATATCCCCAGTGGTAAAACCCTGGAGCCAGATCAATGGCATAGAATGCCGTCGAAACATTTGTGATCACCCAAAAGATCAGCCAGAGGGCAGTCCACGGTTGTCCGACGACCATGGCGACGTTCTCGCAAGCAAGACCTAGCGCTGACATGCCGACAAAATTGACCATCCAGTAAACCGGGAAAGTGCCCCTGCCATAGGCTGTAGCGCCTGTAGGCGGTGCCGGCTCGGTTGGCGAGGCGGGCGGAGCGGTGAAGGGAATTTGGAAGGCGAGTGATATTAAGCTGTAGCTGAGGGAAATGAGAAAGTAGGCAACCATAGTTGCCAACCATCGCCATAATACAAGCTGCCAGAAGCGCAGAGGTGGATGTCCTTGGGGTTGAATATATTTCTGTACATTGATTAGCAAAGGTCTTACTTTGAGATGCTTTTGAAAGTAGCACTTGCCGAATGGATAGGCAAAAAGAACGAAAATGAAAAGAAAGCCATGATGATGAGATAGATGAGTCCAATGCTGACCGCGGGCGTGGCAGTGGCAGGACGAAAGGGCCGCAAGTCAATCACCAACGGCGCGATTCCAGGGTTCACGGCAGATGAAGCTCTAGCGAGGTTTCCTCGACTCAATGACGAGTTAGACATCACCGCCTGCCCCCACTGCTTTCCAAATTGCTGAGTGAATTGTTCTGTGAACTGTGTGATATACTGCTGGATATCACTTTGGTAGGTTGTCTGGTCTCGCGCTGTTTGCAAGATGATTTGTACCGAGCCTGCTGGGTCGTAGTTGGCGTTGCCAGTTGCGACAGCTTCTTGAAGGGCTGCGGTCGCATTCGCATGAATGATCACAGCTGCCCAGCTCTTCCAATTGTATACCGCCATTCTAACGGCCGTGGGGTCGTTGTCGAAATCTGAAGGCGGTAGAATTGTCCATCCTAACGATGGGCCCGGCTTAGCCAATGATTGCTGGACGGTTTGCACCACTGTAGGACCGACGATTGGTTGAACCGATTCATACGGAGCAACTTGGCCATCAAAGTCGACAACATGAACAATAAGAGAACTGATATTAGCCTCGGTCCGGAACAGGACCGCCCAGTATAGTGACAAGATGGCCAGGATGAAGAAGAACAGAATGGTGATCGTGCGCAGCCATAATCGAATAACATGAGCGCGGACTTTTCTCATCGAAGGATGCCAAAAGCCTACGGCATGATGGGGTTGTTGGTATTGGCGACTGAATCCGTTTCCCTCATTGCAATGTTCGTTTGCTTTCGAGCGATCGCCTTCTGTTTGACCCTGCGAAAATGAGGACTCTTCTTGTTGAGACATAGCCATGCTGAGAAACTTGTATTGACTTTGTGTGGAAAAGAATATCCCCTGATTGACTTTCGGGTGGCTGCGGTGGCTTGAAACAAGCTCAAGATACATACCCGAAGCAGCAATCCTTGGGCTGTTGGAGCACGTCTTTGTCGTTTCCAGCGGCTTGGCTTTATGTACATTCAATGAAAAGTGCTTATTTGACATCAAATGCGCCAATGTCGAAATCAATGATGCGTGGTGGACCAATTAATTGATGTGCATAAGTAGCCACTAACAATATCGATGGATAAGACGCTCGATCATCAAATTTCATTGGCTCGTAGCATCATTTGCTTGGCTGAGTACGACGGGTAGCCTGCCTCGTCATGAAGATGACATCACGGTCCATGGAATTCCCTTGAGGGCAGACCACCCCCTGTTCGTCAAGGACAAAACTACCGGAACTTGTCACCACGGATCTTTTAGCCCCTGTTCCATCTCAATTTGATACGTTGCTTCTTAAGCTACGGTTCTTAGTTCATGGTTAGTTCACACAAACCATCAGAACAATTACCTTTTGACTACCCACGTCACAGCCAATTTGTCTTTGTTGACTGCGGTCTGTCCGTAATCGAACAAGAGACAGCTGCACGAGTTGGGCTTATAGCCTCGGCAGAAATTGTTCTAAAAATTGGTCTGAAGTGTACCACAATGAGCCATTGTAAAGAATACTCAACATTGCTTGATTACATCATGGATATATGATTGTGCACAGTTCTGGAAATGATTTTCCGCGTCGGACGAGGAAACAATGGAGCAACTTCGAGCTCCACTATGGGCTCATCTGTCCTTGGGCGGAAGCATATCAGCCGCTTCCGAGATCATACGTCTGTGATGGCAAGTCAAAGCAATATAATGTATGGCTATGGGCTCCCTCCAAGCGAATTAAAGTCCATCATTTGAGTCAGGGGAATGCTGAGCCCTGTAACCTTCGGCTCTGGTCGCGGATGTCTTGGTTTGCAGGTCATCGTTGCGCTGCCCATCCATTGGTTTCAAAACTGAAGCTGCCACTAAAACTGCATGTGGTCGAAATCGATGGCGACTAAATGAAGAAACTGGTGCTGGGGGTCGGTCTAATCCGTATCCAAGTGAGAATCAGCAATTGAATGGTCCTTTACATAATCTCGTCATGAAACCAAATGTAAACTGTTTCTCCTCGCTTTACAAGAGAAACATGTTTACGCCAAAACCCCCGTGAAAACATTAAGTCTGCTGGTATTCTACGTCTGTCGCCTTTCTGTTTGCGGCCCATGGTACTCTTTCTGTGATGCTGTAATGACCGAGAACAGCACGGCCGATGATCTTGCAGTCCATTCTCATAGTATGCTTTTCGAATTTTGCATATATTCTAAACAGCTAACTGCTCACAAGGCTCTTGGATAGCGGATGTATACCTGTGAAGCTCTGAGCACGACATCAGTGAATGTGCACTCGAGGCCGAAAATCACAACAATATTTCGGAGTGTCCGGTGACATTTTAGCGAAAAGATTGCTATGATTCCTAATTAAAATATGCGCAGTGAGCACGAGACTCCTACTACTATTTGGTCAATAGTTTCAGTTGAATCAAACAAGATCAAATCATTCATGGTGAAGGTCAATACAGGTATGCGGCCGGATTAGTAATGTATTGCGAATTCAACAGCTCTAGCTACAGTGTAGTCGAAACAGTTGATAAAACCCTGGGCTTAGGCTCGTTCAAGCGTGTGATCTCCTCAAAGACGAGGCATTTTTGATGACGAGATCCTAGATGGGTACTTCTGAACTCTATCATCAGAAAAACATGGCATATGGAAGCTATTGTGTATGAAGACTTGAAGCTGCCTTGAGAGCTGTATGATTGTGGGTTAATGTTGCATATATCGCTCAGTTGCAATATGTCAAATGTGTCAGTGTTGCCTATTTAATCTCATAAACGACATATACGAAAAAAGGCGTCAGAACCTCACCCTCGACTGGTCGGGTAAGGAACGGTGAATATGGGGCTAAAATTAGCACCGAAAGCACTCATCCAAATGGGTTGGCGATGATGTCACCTGAATCCACCATTAAGCATTGAGTGCAGCTTTTCAGCAGCAATTGGCAACAATTGGTGATTTGCTATTGTTCCTAGGAGAGGATGCAATGTCTGACGCTGTCTGATCGCTCAACACAACTGAGCCCCAAGCTCGTCTGGCAAAATCGACAAAGTTGTATTGCTTGGATTGAAACTGAAAGTGGTCTCACGGCATGTAGCGGAACGAAGGATGTCTGTAACCCAGCTGACCATGCTCCACTTCCGTCAGGCCTTCCAGTCTGTGGCCCCTCTTTCCAGTCGCTCTAGCCCTGTTTTCGAACAGGCAATATAATACTCCAATCAATGCTAGCAAAACGGTTAAGCTTTGCCCGACAAGGTTGATGGTGTGCCCGGCAAAATACTTTGGAGCATCTTTGAACGTGTATGTCCATCTGTTACCATTGTAAGAATGGGGTACTAGAGCGGGAGAAAACTTGACTACTGGAGCTGAACGTACGTTGCGACAATACCGCCGATGGTGCCGATCGATACAACGTACCCGCTCGTAACTGCCTGAACAGAAGGCCCCGCCGAGTCTGTTATTCTGTTAACGATCAAATCTTCGCTAGGCGAAGATGAATGATTGAACCTACTATTGATTGCCCAACTCAAAAATCCGGGACCACCAGGGAAAGCGCCTGCTGTTACAAAATACACCGCCATATATCTGATATTTGCTCGTGTTTCGAATCTCAGAATAGCGAATCCAATCACAGCAATAAAGGAAAACGCCGCCAGGTAGATACCGCGCTGACGTGTCTTATCGCTGAACCACGCAATCGTGATGGCGGTAAGAGCAGCCACGACATAAGGTGGCACAGAATATAGTTGTGCTTGGGTGGCCGTCCAGCCCAAGTCAGCAAGGATTGTTGGCATGAAGACGGAAAGCCCTTGTACGGTGATATTGATCAAGAAGAAGCCAAAGGCACACGTGTAGTTGTGGATGCACATGACAGCCCTCTTGACGTCCCCCAACTTCACCTTTTCCTCGGCACTGGCCTTTTGTTGGCACTGTAGGCGTTCCACAGCAATCTTTCGTTCCCGGTCATCGAGAAAGTAGGCAGTGGCTGGGTTCGTAGGCATCCAAAGGGGGGCGAAACCTCCAACGAGGACGGTGACGAATCCTTCGAAAAAGAAGATGTTGCGCCAAGTATGGATGGGCGTGCTATCGAAACCCCAAGGCGGAATCCGAGAGAGACCAGCTGCGAGGAGTCCGCCAAAGGCGCCAGCAATGGAAGCAGCTGATATAAAGATGCCCAGCCGAAACAACAGCTCTTCTCTCTTGTAGAAACTACTCAAGAAAAAGGAAAATCCCGGCATTGCTCCGCCCTCAAAGAGACCGAGGATGGCGCGCGCTACGACAAGACCTTCGAACGAAGTGACGAAAGCCGTGCAAAGAGAAACAAGACCGAAGCCGACAACAAGGAATGGTAGGTAGAACCGGGGCCCGACCCGTTTGAGTACTATATTACTCGGTACCTCGACCAAGAGGTAGACAATATAGAATACTGATAGAGCCCAGTTGAATCGATATCCTTGAATGTTGATATCGTTTGCCATGCCTTGAATTCTCGCATTTCCAATATTGGCTCGATCGAGAAACTGTACAGGCAGTCAGGAAGCCGCAGAACACGGGAAGTTGGGGCCCAATGTACGCATAGAAGATACAAAAGTGTTACTAATGGAACGGTGTGCCAGTCAAGCTTGTGCCTAATGGCCCTTTCCTCGTCCTCTGTCCATTCCAGCGGCGCTGGCGTATGTTGGCAGACAAGAGACTCGGATTTCACGTCAACGCTGGTAGACTCCATATAAGGCGCTGCAAACCCTCAAATTAGTCTTCGATGGCAGGAAAAACCACAGCGGTTTGAGGGGATTGCTCACGTTTCACGTCCACTTCTATTGCAATCTCATCGATGGTGGAGAGCACCATCTTGACAGTCTGTCGAGGCGATGCCTGGGACCTCTCTTGAATGGTGAGTTATCGAGTGGGGAGAATGATGGAATCATGAATGGGCAGCAAACAATCATAATAGACCAAGCCGACTTGGTGCGACAATGCGATGCTGCGCGGTGGAACCTGTCTACGTGAGGGGTTTAGTGGCTGGGCTTTACTAGTATCCAGGTATGTCTGAAAAGTCGGCACGAGCGCTGAAATCCATCAGAGTTTCTTCGGCAAATGTCTGTAGCATTGTGCCCAGCCCCAGACCCAGTTCATGCTGTCCATCGTCCAATAATCCATCAACGGCTTGCCAGGATGTCGCGTTCGGGAGAGAATGCGGGGTATAGGAAGAAGATTTTTGACTTACCTACACCTACAAGGCACTCATAATTGATGAGTGTGAGGGGCCGTCCAGCCAAGGGGACATGGGTAACAATGGTAGGGGTTGGTGGGTCAAACATGATTTAGGGGGGCATACCGGTATCTTGCTACCCAGTCGTGCCAGTCCTTGCGCAACCCTGAATATTGCCGAAGCATCTGATCTTCAAAGCCATAGTTTCCTCATATCGCAGGCTGAGAACAATCAGCCGTTTTGTGTGAACTCTTGTCACCCTCTTAGCTAGCACGTTTGCCCAGTCCAGCGACCTTTCGTTCGGGTACCTTGGAAGCACTGGTCGACACGGCAGTTGGTTAATTTGACGTCAACTGCTCGAGAGGATGAGTGATTCTTCCTTATGGCTGGTAGGGCGAGCAACTCAATACCCTGAATGATTCACTCAAAAATAAATCCCCAATATTCAAGCTAGTTGGCCAGCACGGGTGTTTGCGAAACAAACCGCGGTCGCTGTGTGCCAGCTGCATATTAACAGTCAACTCTTGTAGCTCAAATGGTCTGCCTTAAGGCTTGGCTCCCAAGGAGTTACGTAGCGAGCCAAGCGGAAGAATCTCAGAGCGGTGTGGTCAGCTTCTGGGATATCTCTTGGGCTCGGGAATGTCAAGAACGAAAGCGCCTATGTGTGGTGGTACGTGGTCGTCCGGTCTTGCGCACGGCAAACGCTTGCCCACCAAGACATTCGAACTGAAACAGGTGCTAAAGTGTCCATTGTTTCGTTTTTTTACTCCAGTCGGATGAGACTGTTCGTCGACGTAGCTAGGTCGTATGCATTCATTTATCTCAACCTCCATTTAAGATGCTGACTTGAACGCAGTGAATGTAGTCATGGGTAGGCGAATGAGTTCATGCAATTATGGGTCCAATGTTTTTCCCATGCTATAATCGTCAAGTACTGCCCTAATTGCAATCCATTCCATCGATGCCAAATGATTAAGGTATAAAAGTCTGTTGAGACATGCCAGATAAATCATTTGCTAATTGCCCAGCCACATCTAACGCCAGTGAACGCCTGAAAGCGTCGAGAGATTACAACGCCCGCAAGAAACCTCTTTTTCTCCTGGGAGGCTCGACACCAGGCTGCTTGGGTATTTGTTTCTCAACGTCATATCTGTGCAGGTGGAAGTGTGGCAACTTCGTCTCCTTCTTGCGGATTTCTTTCTCGTCCTTCCATCGCAAGACGTAACATGCCGGTACAAACAAGATAGTGTTGACGCATACCCAGGCGATGAGAACCCCGAAGTTCAAGCCGATGCGTGAGTGAAGATCAAATAAAATCTGACGACTACCTTCGATCACATGGTGATACGGCCAAGCGTACGCCCACCTGTAGAAGCCTGGGGCGATATCAGGAGGCCAAAACCCAGTCAAGGTGTTCGTCAGAGTCCAGAATGTCAACCATAGACCGACCCAGCGAGGGCCAATGACCATGGCCATGTTTTCGCAAGCCATTCCCAAGGCCGCCATACCGAAGAAATTCAGTAACCAGAAGACAAAGAATGAAGCCTTTCCGTATGCATTGGGATTTTTGGCGACTTCTACAGCTGATGCTGGCGGATTAGAGAAGGGCACTTGGAATACCAGTGATATCAGACAATAAGTCAATGATAGGAGGAAGTACGCCGCCATCAATGACAGCCAACGGCGTATGACGTAGTGCCAGTAGTGCACGGGTGGATGACCCTCAGGCACTATACATTTCTGAGAAGTGGGTTGTAAGCATGAATCTGAGACGACGCGAAGAGGGTTAAGCTTGGACTAACCATGTCATCCGCAAGGTAGTAAGTGAACCCAAGGTGTGCAATAAGAAAGCTTAGTCCAAAGGTTACTGCCGGAATCGCCGCCGGAGGTCCGAACGGCCGAAGGTCCAACATGAGAGGTGACACCCCGGGGTTGACAGCACTCGCGGCCTGGCGCAGAGTCTCCTTTGTGATGGTATCGTTCGCCATGATCATCTCTCCCCAAGTCTTTCCGAATTGGTTCATCAGTTCCGATGTGAAAGTGGTGAGACTGGGAAGAATGTAGCTGTATGTCATGAACGAGTCTCTTCCAGACATTGTGATGACTTGGACAGCGCCGGTTGGATCATACGAGGAGTTTCCAATTGCGACTGCTTCTTGGAGGAGGGCGGTCGCATTGGGGTTGATGATGATTGCCGACCAAGCCTTGAAGTGATACACAGCTTCACGGACTTTAAGGGGATCGAATCTGAACTCGCTCGCTGTTCGTATTTGATATCCAATGGATGGAATCGGACTCCATAGCGTCTCGTTGGCCAAGTTGGTGACCGTAGGGCCGACGAGCGGCGCAACTGTATCGTAGGGCGCGACCTGGCCATCAAAGTCGACGACAAAGCATACAAGCGATGGCAAGTTCTCTTCGATGCGAAAAACTATGCCCCAGTAAAGACAAAGGATGAGAAACATCGAGAAGCAAATGATGAAGGCTGGCAGCCCGTCAGCTCTTGTACGCTCATCGACGTCCGAGATTCGGATTTGACTCACTGTTTCTGCACCACATCATGGAAATATGCTTTCGCACCTATTGAGTACACTCGTCAGTCAATTTGTTTTTGTAGGAGTAAGGCCTGTGGCTGTTTATCAACATACCGTTGCCAAAGTCGGATCCCACCAGCTGACTGATTGAGAAGGGAGGTTTTCGTGCTCTGGCACGCGGGACTTCATCCATTCACCAACCAGATCTGCTCGTTGTGTATCCAAGCTATCAAGCACGCTTCTCGGCTCATTGACCCCTTGCTTGTCTTCACGTCCATCTCGCTCATTGATTCGTCGACTGTCATGGCGTTCATTTTGTGGATTCTCTCGTTGTTCTTGGGAAGTTCGTCGCTCAGCCCCTCGCTCCATAAGTTTGTCGCCAGGGATATTGCTCTCGGCGTAGGTGGTATGCATTGTCGCAACTGTAGGACGCAAACAACTCACTTGGCTGATTTGGCTCGGAGTTGATGCATTTCTCCCTCATCTTGGTTGCGGGGAGTGGTGTTTTGTACTCAAGTGCTACAAAATCTATGTCACTGTTCGCTCCAAAACCTCCGGATGCCGCCCATGATGTGGAAACACCGACTGACATAAAGACCACACAAAGATCCACGACACTGTGACCTCAGAGCCGCGATCTGTGGAGACGCGCAACGGACGTTTTCTTCCGGGTGGAGAACTGGCCGTCATTCTGGCCCTCTCAAACGTCCGTTCGGTGTGCTGGCGGTGGGTTTCCGCTCGGTATGTTGCGAGGTTATACGGCGGGTCGATTGACGGATCGACTTTTCAGCTGAATCTGCCAAGGTTGGCCGACTTCGTCAACTTAGGCATCAATTTTGCCTGCCACCTTGAGCTGGCGACAGTGTTTCTGAAAAGATGGAGTTGATTACCCAAGAGTCAAAGCCCTCACAAATTTTGTGGAGCTCTCTATCCTCTTTCCATACCGGTGTGAAAGACTTTTTCTTGGTTATCAGCAACACGCATCTTTTTGGCGGGAATTTGACGTCAGGGCGATGTCAACTTGAAAGGTGGAGCTTGAAGTTTCCTCAGCATTGGTCAAGAACCCCCAGAACTCGCTCCAGTTCTCAACTGTGGCAATCAGCCGGGAAAGAGATGTGGCTCTCTAGCTCAGCTGTCTACTATTGAGTACTGCCTGGCTGTAGTTGAAGTCATTCCGTAGCCCAGAGAACCCTTTTCTTGGCATTCAGTTTTGGCAACGGATCAACAGTCATATTCCAAAACCAGCCAGGATGAACTTTATGCATGACCAGAAACTAGCAAGCATCTTTGGTTAACCAGGTCATTAGTAAAATGAACGAGTTGTCATCACAGGCTATTGTTCCTCCGGGCTGAATCCTCCACAGCATCAAGATCTCGATGAGACGCGAAGACATGCGGCCCCTCTTTGAACGGTAGTTTTCGGAGCTTTAACTCCCCATCGTGTCGTGGCAAGCAGAAATAGCATCGCCTTGTAGACAAATTTGCTTGCAAGGGTGCTGAAAACAAACCTACCCCGTCACACTCCCGTGCTGTGACATTGTTTGCATCGCGGGAGCAGCAATCGAGATATTAAAGGTCTACGACTGCCGGCATACGTTACATCTGGTTTGGTAAGGTCCACTCACGTAGTTAATCGTTTATCCAATGCTCCATTATCTATTGTCCAAAGAGAAATGGGTGCCATTTAAACATTAGATACAATTCTACCTCGAAATTCTTCAGTCGCTCGCTAAACACTTAAGACACGCTGCCTAATACAATAATAGAAAACCCATAACAGCCAGGAAGGAAAATAGCAACATCTCAGAACCCGAGAAGAATCTTTCGCCAAATTGTCTTCTTTCTAGCTGTTTGAGTTCCGTAGCCCTCTTCCTGAACATCGTGTTGTCCAACAATAGCGAGGAAGACGTCGTTTAGTGTTGTCGGACTGACACTATGATGCTCGATGCCGAGGGCATTCTTGTTGTCTTCCAACATTGTTATCAGATGGCCAATAGCGCTGAGCTCGCGACTCCTCTCATCATCAGAGATATTCTTGTTATGACAGTTCGGTTGGGCTTTTTGCAAGACGTCCGACGCAGATACCGAAAAACGCATCTGACCATGGTATGTTGCAGACTCAACGCTGGCGGATGGGAACACATTGACGACCCATTGACGTATATGCTCCATTTCTTCAGTTGTCGAGTGTGGAGCGGAGCGACTGACCAGATGCACGTACAGTGAATCACCAAACCGACTTTGCAACTGTTCAACCTCGCCGATAGCCAACATGCGCTGGGCAACGATCCCGGCCCGGTTCGCTAGAGCGTCAGCTTCTTCCATGCTATGAGTGGTGAGGAGAATCGAGCGGCCAGGGACAATTGTACTGAGAGTTCGCCACATGATCCGCTTCGCTGCTGCATCAAGACCGGATGATGGCTCGTCGAGGAGGATAACGGACGGGTTACCCGTGAGTGCGATACCGAGGGACAGCTTACGCTTGTTACCACCTGACAAATGATGAGCCATAATATTGACATGTGCGTCGAGGCCAACTGCACGGATAACTGCTCGAACTTGCTGCTCGACATTGGATACACCACGCAGTTTGGCATAGTGACGAAGATGTTCAATGACTGTCATGGAATCGACGGCATCGAACTGGGGACAGACTCCAAGATTCGACCGGACGAGGGCTCGTTGGTCGGCAACAGAGATTTTCTCGACGAAAACATCGCCTCCATTGTTGCTAGGTTGGATGTCACCACGGATAAGCGACATCGTTGTGGATTTGCCTGCACCATTAGGGCCGAGTAGAGCAAACACTTCTCCGTGACGGACGCCGAATGAGACATTTTCGACGGCCGTGAAGTCGCCAAAACTCTTCGTTAGATGCTTGACTTGAAGCCCGTCATCGTTTCCGGTCGATTGGACCCGCAAGAGCTCATTGGCAATCTCTGGGTTCTCTTGCGTTTGAACTAACCCAGCGATAGAGCTTCTTTTCCGTCTGAGGAAAACCGGTATCTTGTTCCCGCTGTCATTATATAGCAGGATACTGAAGAGTATGATGGCCTGTATGACGAGATAGAGAATAGGGCCACCATAGGCATTCAAAGCCCCAGAATAACCAAACCCTGTTCCAGAGCACGCTAGAGAGAAGGTGTTCAAACCAACAAGAATGGCTCTGCAAACAGAGGCCACAGGAAAGAAAGCAGAGATGGTGTAATGACCGATGAGTATGTTGCGATCCGCCACAATGGCAGGTGAGAAAGTAATAATATAGAGAAAGGCAATTAGATAAATGGCGAAACCGACACTATTGTAAGCCATGATTGCAGCGAAGGTTGCAACCTGGCTGTTGGTGAACAGCGAAAAGACGTAGGACAGAAGGATGGAGGTAATGCCGTATAGAAGGAAGACTGGGAAGAGATAGCCCGGGGCGTACCAAATGTCAGAAGACAGAGTGAAGATAATCGCTGCTGCTAGGAGTGGAATGAAGAAGATTCCAAAATCGAAAATCAGATGAGATGCCCATAAAGGCATTGACTGAACACCGCTGGAATACTGCAAACCGCGGACATGATTTCGCCTCTCCACGTTCGGGTACAGTCCGAAAAAGGCAGGGATAATAGACAGGATGATGCTGAAGTATATTGCCAGCTGAGCCGTGGTAAGTGTTGAACTTGGAATGACACTGTCGAATGGTGTATAGACGGTGGCGATGGTGATGTTGCTTGTCATCACACTGAGAAAGTTCTGAACGATGACGGCAGTGTAGATTGCGTTGTTATCCGCTCTGTAGATAACTGTCGGTGGAGTTCCTTGGTCGCCTGCCCAGATACCCCCAGGAGTGACGTTTCTTCTGTTTTCCTCGATGAACCGTACCATGTCTTGGTAGCTGTTGGTCAATGAGATGTTGCTGGTTCCAATGGAACCGTTCGACACAGGGGTAAGAAAGTCAAAGAAGTTGCCAATGACGGAAGTCGATAACGCTGACGACGGCCCAGCGGCTATCGAGGCTTCTTTGAAAGCTGCTCTGTAGCGAGCCAAATCTCCTGATCCGGCGAAGTCTGCAGGATCGCAGCTTGTAGGACCTTCGTCGGCGATCAATAACTGCATGATTGCAGCTGCGATGATCGGAGCGATAAATACGACGACGTGTGGGATCCAGTTCGTCTTGAACAATGTGAAGCGCTTGTGTACCAAGACGGGAGTCTGTTCGAAGAAGCTTGTCTGGCGGCCGGACTGCAGTCCCATTAAGTCTCTTTCGCCATGGGCAGATGTGACCTTCTCTGCGAGCTCTTGCCCTGTTTCGGTTGATCCACAAGCTTCTCCATGTTGAAGTGACTGGAGTTGCTCCCCTTTGACCTCTTCAGCCACGTTTAGAAAAACGTCCTCTATGTTGGGACTTGAGATCCTGTAGGGAATTTGACGGGCTTCGAGTGTGCGTATAACATTAGCCGCTAACCTGGACGAAGGCGCAGTGTAAACGGTGGTATTCGAGGAAACCACCATGGTTACGCCGCTCACTTCTGGGGGCGCTCTGACATCCTTCGCGTTGAGAACATGGATCCGGTAGCCAGCACCAAGAGCATTTTTGAGAGCCACCGAAGATCCTTCGGCTCTTAAACTGCCCCTGGATAGAATCGCAATGTTATCGGCCAGAAAATCCGCCTCATCAAGAAAGTGCGTTGTCATGATGATTGTCCTTTTGCCCCTCTCGGAGAGAAGGATGTCCCAGATCTTTCTCCTAGATAGGGCGTCGATTCCAGAAGACACCTCATCAACGCAGCAGACGGCGCTACCACCAGTCAACATCATACCGAGCTGCAATTTGCGCTTCTGTCCTCCAGAAAGCGTTTTGGATTGAGCTTTTCGTTTTGCAGCAAGCCCAATGGAAGTAATCAAAAGGGTTGGGTCTTCCTCATTAACAGTGCCCCCTGGAGACTTGAGCTGGTTGAAAATGGTGATATGTTCAGCCACGGTCAGCTCATCCCAGAGGACATTCTTCTGAGGTGCAATACCAATGCCTCCAGATGCATCAATGGAAACGCTACCATGGTTAAAACGGTTCATTCCAGCAATGGCATCAAGCGTTGTGCTCTTGCCGCTCCCATTTGCCCCAAGAAGGGCTAAAATCTCACCCCGTTTTGCTGTCAGGTCGAGGTTGTTGACAGCAACGGTTGGAGGTCGAGATCGAAAGATGAATGAGAAACTCCGGCGGAATATACTGGGCGAGTAAATTTTGGACAACCCGCTAATGGTAACAGCATTTTGTGGTTGAACGCCCTCGCCTTTGTAAATTCTGCGACTCTCAGAACCGACGCCGTGTATTTGGCGCTCAAAAAAGGCTGCAAGAAGCGGATATACCAAGAGCTGGGCGATCAAAAAGATCCAGATGACAATACCGGGCAGAGTAGAAGCGCTGTTTGGCGGAACCTTGAGCATATTCATTGCTTGACCCTCGGCTTCAAACCGTGCAATAGACTTGATGAAAAAGACAAAAGCACAAGGTGTGAAAAGTAGGCTCGAAACTGCAACGACACCGGTACTGGCATTGGGAAGAGCTTGTGCAAGGACGCCTAGGAGGACGTAAACCAAGGAGTTGATAACTCCGGAAAGCTGAGCCTTCTTAAAGAAAGAAGCCCCAAGTAGAGCTTGAGAAGTGAGTGCCAGACCGCCCAAGATGAAGAACACCAGCACGATGCCAATGTTTGACTCCTTCCATATCATGCTCCTCGCAATAATGGAAGCAACAATCCAGCCTGGGAGATAAATGGATGCGAACGAGTAGAAAGTCGATAGCATACGGACAACCTGCGCTTCCCACTCGTAACGAGTTAACATCATGGCGTCGATGAGTTGGGACAAGCCTTTCTCACGCTCAGTTGCAACGTGCCCGGGTAAATGATAACTGACGCCGATGAGCGCGAGAACAAACGAGACTCCAAGGTAATCGATAAGGGTCTGTTGGTATCTTCTCCTCGCGCTAGCTTGCCGTTCCTCCTCTGTCTCATCTGTGAACCCCCATTCTTGGACGTTACTGAGAGTTGCCAAGTTGGCTATGGTGGAATTTGCGTTGGCTATGGCAGAGTCAACAGCTCGTTGAAGGGGAAGCATGTAAATCTGAACATCATTGTTGTCGTTGTCCACCTTGAACGTTGATCCGAAAGCGCCATCCCCACGCAGAGTGTAGTTCCAGATGCTGCCATCGCCCTCATTGGGAGAAGAGTTGAAGATGACGGCGCCATAGCAGGATGTGGTTGCCCGAAAGGAAGAGCGGCAGATACGGCCTATCTCGGATGGTCTCTCAACCGTCCTTACATTCTTCCCCGCTCTAGTTACCTCTTCCGAGAGAAAATCTATGACCCGATCGATTTCACCCCCTGAGAGTCCGTTGTTGACGAACACAACTTCGTTGCGCAATCCACTGGCGGCGCCAAGGCCATCTTGAAGCGACCGAATCGGTCGAGGCTCTGCAATGCCATAATCGTTCTGAGGGCTGTTGAGGTTCTTCCCAATGCCAATATAGACAGTAAGGATGATCGGAAGGAGGAGAGCAGTGTAGATGGTCGAGACAGGATGGCGGGCAATCAGGATGATAAAGTTCTTTGTTGTGAGCGTGCCGACCTGGCGCAACACTGCAGACTTCGGTGCCACCATGGCGTTATTGAGAAGGGCTTTGCTTCCCAGGCAAAGTTGACAACCTTGCACAGGTTCTTCAATGGATGATCGTCGAAGAATGTGATATTAGCGGTCAATAACGATATCGGGAAGCTTCGACCAACTTAATGTGCGAGGAGAGTTATCAGTGGTAGAAAGTGGAGGAATGGAGCTAGATATCGCAGCAAAAAATAGGCCAAGACCCTGATGAATGCCGGTGTTTTTTTCCTGAAGATTAAGCCGTTACAGCTGTCCAGGCCAGATATAATATAAGAGAGAACGGCAGGAGCAAATGCGTCGAGCAAATCGACGCCAAGAGCACCGGCCTACATGTCAGCGAAGATATGGGGCTAAGCGAGATACATAATGGCGGCTTCCCAACGGCTGCAGACCTCAGTTGCACCGCCTGTATGCCATTATCTCTTTTGGGACATGCTGCGCTGACAGCGAATGATGTGCGGTTTCCCCAATGCTGTGGGCAGAAGAGGAAATCCCAGAGGTATGGTGATGGACAGGGGGCCTGACGAGACCTAACCGGGACACAACAAGGCAGAACCAATTCAACTCAGCACCACTTTCTACCATTGGGTGTGTTTCGGGGCCACCGACGATGGTTCATAGATGCACTTGTCCTCTTATAACGGATTTGAGCGATAGCATTGCTGTACGAGGCCGAGTTCATGTTGACTTGTAATTGCCCAAAGCGGTCTAGTTTCGGAGCACAATGTAGCCGAGCCATCCAATAATGCCGATGATGCATGGCCTTTTTCTGGGTTAGCGCTGACATAGCATAGACGGGCGTAACATGTGGCTGTTTATGTTCCACTTGATTCGGCTGACACTGCCGCCCAGTCTCTTGGCGTGTTCGCAAAGCCACATACGCAGAATGCCTGAACTGTGCCAATGGAAGTAATGTGTGGATTCCGGTAAAGATGCTTTTTGATGCTGGAATCAGCAGTTTAACCGGCGTTTGAGAGGGCTGCGCTAAAGTAACAAGTCCAGGGATTCCAGTTCAAGTTGAAGTATATCGAACATGCTGGTGACTTGGAAACACAAACATTTGTGAGACTACTACGCTAACACACCCCAGACAAATTGCGTAATCTCAGAACCGCCCCTTCATCAGCCCCAAAAGGATTTCTAAGAGAAATAAAGAAAAAGAAATAGAAAAGAAGAAGAAATACAAAGATAGCTTCGTTCGCTTATAGTATTGGTCCTTTAGCGGCTTGCAGCACTTACTAACAAAACTAGACCATGAGCATAATATGGTATAGTAGGAAGGTAATCTGCGACATGAGCTATGGAACTAAGAGGTGAGGGTTTACGACAAGAGAATCGACTGGTGACCTCTCTATGATACGCTCGAAGTCGACACGACTTTATTGTTGATTACTAGGGAATCTGTTTACTTAACGAGTCCAGTTACAAAGAGAACGGAAGATATAGCACAACGTGTCGCTTATCAAAGCATTCTCCCAAAATGACCATGCTAACAATACACCAAGCTGCCACCACTGCTACCCTACAAGTTTGGCCTGCTGAACGGATCATTCTTCATGGCTTCTTCGACCTCCTTGTATACGTCATAGCCATACAGCCAAGGCTGAACCTCGGGGCAAGTCCATCTACTGGGAAACGGTCCCTTCAGCTTTTTTCCTAGTTGAGATATAAAGACCTGGTCTCGGGCTTCCTGTTCGGGGCCATCGTCCAAATGGAAATCGTGGCGCTGAGACGAGGGAGTTGGGTCAGTGACTTGCCGTAGGGGAAACCAATAACTTCGATTATAATGGGAAGAAATACCTGTTTGAACGTTTCTCTGACAATGGATTCTCCTCTCGCTTTACGTAATCTCTCGTACAGTCTTAAAGCTGCTGGTAGCTGTGTCTTGGATGTGAGGTGGCCAAGAAGTAAGCCCAGCACAGCACCATCTTCTACGGCTGAGTTGGCACCTTGAGCGAGGTATGGTAGCATTGGGTGGCATGCGTCCCCACTATGTTTCTGTAAGTAAATTGTTGAAATCCTGGGTCTTTGCTGGACACTCACACAAACACGAAGTTGGACTTCTCGTTCACCCAAGAACTCATCTCCTCTCCTATAGGATGTTAGCTTGTCGACCACGGCTCGAGGGCAACAATAGTACTGTGCATCAGTTTCCACTTTTCAACAGTGTCGACTGCGTCGATGAGTTTCCTCAAGATTGGGTCCCATTCTTTGAACCGGGCCTTCAAGTCCTCGACGGTTCCTGCTTGTCGGCTTACGCCATTGGGTAGATCGTCAGGCGCTAACAGTACGAGGTTATACATCTTCTCGGCTCTCATCGAATACCCAACACAATGCGCGCCGGGTCCAATCCAGAAATGTACTTGTGGATTCAAGATCCATTCTCTCAACTCGGGGTCTGTAATCTTATCAATATGGAGAACTACGCGGTACGCCAGGTCGCCTGTCGCCAGTGGCGGATCGTCCTTCTTCAGAAAGCATGCGCGAGAACGTGACCACAGCCCGTCTGCGGCGACGATGAGGTCTGCTCTAGCCTTGACTCCAGATTGTGTTGTGAGCTCCGGGATGTCGAAGTCGATGCTATCGACCTTTTCGCCGAGCTTAAAATTAATACCGAGCTCCTTGGCGCGTTCGTAAAGTGAAAGCTGAAGGTCGACACGGTGCAAGCCGAGGAAGGGCGCTTGGTACTTGGCGCGGATGTTTCTATTGAAGTTTTCTTCTTTGGCAAGGATTTCTCCCGAATACCGATGAACAATTAAGTCTGTTGGCCTAGATGCAGAATTCCAAAGTCTGTCGGACAGACCCCATTTCTGAAGAATACGAGTGGAGTTCGGCGTCACTTGTAGTCCCGCTCCAACCTGTGACACGATCTCAATACCTCTCTGCCACTACAGACTTTGATGGGGCTTACCTCAAGAAGTTCCTTTGCCGATTCAAATACCGTTACTCGATGTCCTGACAGTGCAGCTGCCACTGCAGTCGCCAGGCCGCTCAAGCCAGCGCCTACAACAATGATATCCAGCTGAACGGTAGATTTGGTGTGCGCGGTGGCCTGTTTCATGTCATCAGCACTTTCTGAAAGAGGAGAGGTTTTTTGAATGAACATGCCATATTTTCACTCAACGAAGACGAAGATGCCCCGGGTGAAAACCAAGAGTTAAGCCACCGAAGCATATCAGTCTACGGAACGGGTATGTTGAGGGCATGCGACACAAGCGATGACAGAATCAGGGACTGGGAGCGGATGGAAATAGCGATGGCAAGAATCCTTTACCATGGAATCTTTGGAGGTGGCTGCAGCTGGGTTCAGCAGTTCGACCGATGTTACATGCGTACAAACGCCGGCAACTCCCTGGTGTGACCCCCGGACATCCCCCAGATCAAGCCGGAAGAAGCGAGAGAGCATCCCACGGGGTACTGCGAATTGGGCGGACGCCACTGGCCAAGCTTGGCGGACGGACGGATCGGAATATCCGAAAGCGCCCGGATTTTCCGAGGCGGGTCTAGACACGTGATAGCGGCAATACAACAGTAATTGATAGAATAATTATGGAAGAATTATCGATGCTGTAAGTGATTTAGTGGAAGTTGAAGGTGAAACCGGCAAAGCCGGCATGGAATCGGGTTTCGACCAGTCCCTGAGGGTAGGAACAAGTTAGTCAGCTTTCGGTGGGTATGCTTTCGGGTGCGATCTCGGCGCGATGCGTGGGACGATCTGCCGAGTGTGGACAATAGTCAGCGGGGGTCGGGAGCAATGACCGGCACATCACTGTAGCTTTGTAGATACAAAATTCATCATCCAAACTTTGCTGACCAATTTCTCATCCTGCAAGCTATCACACAACGCAGATCTAAACATTCGAACACCCTTCTACAAACCCTTTCTCATATCCGTTGCATTATTCCCTCTCACCCAAAACCCAACCCCGCACCATGGCGCCCAAGGGTCCGTACAAGTTGGTCACGGTCAACACTGCACCGGAGCGGGCGAAGCGTCTTGTTGGGCGTGTTGTTGAGGAGCTCAAAGATCGCTACACGATTGAGCATGTTGCCAACTGCGAGAGTGAGCTCCACAGCCTCCTTTGCTTGGAAAGGTGACCCAGGATACTGACACCCCCCGAGAGATAGATGAAGTGGAGGGCAAGGTGAAACAACATCAGCCTGACGTTCTTGTAAGCTATGTGATCAAAACTGTTAGTTATGAAAGATCTTGCTGATAAAACTCTTTTAGTTCTGTGCATCAATGTGGACAGCCGAGGAGGCTGACCAGATTCTTTCCACGGCGAGATCACTTAGGCCAGGTATCAAAACATATGCAATTCCCCATGGCCTGCAGGTTGAGAGGGGACCGGACGCGGTTGTTGAGCATCTTCTTGAAAAGGTCCCGCAACTGCTTGAGAGCTAGACAGGTGTCCATAAGGGGGTTTCACAAGACCCCATCAAAATCAGAAACACTCGGGGTACAACAGATAGGTGATTAAAATCTTTGACAACGGATACCATATTCGGATTCAATGACAAACACAACCGATCCTGGAGAAGTCGTTAACCAACAGGAGACCTGAGTTCTTAATTAAGCGATGCTCAATGGGCTCAAAGGCAATATGCTGATCAGATTATCGAGAGATCCGGATTCCAATCCGCCAAACAGTTGCTGCTGTAATGGTTAGTTCTACACTCTCAAAGACTATGGTAATGTCTATATCGGTTCATTAGAATTTCTAAGCCGGACTATCTCACACACATTCAGGAACGCATTACTAGTAACCTGGACGCCAGGGTTTATACCATGAATGGGAGCATCAGGACACTACCGCATTTGTATGTTTTATTAGGATGCTTAGTGAGACATAATGTTTTCCGACTAAATAGTAAATAACCCTAATATCTTTCTACTGCCCAACAGCAGTGACACCCTCGTTCTGGAAAACGTTGACAAGTGTTCCAATGTGAGGCAAGATCTCAACCTTGAACTCGTCTCCATCCTTCAATGTTACCTTGGGCTTGCGGCCTAAGCCTACGCCAGCAGGGGTGCCGGTGATGATGACGGTACCGGCTGGCAGAGTTGTGCTTTGGGACAGGAAGCTAATGATCTTTGGGACGCTGAAAATGAGATCACTGGTTCCACAACGTCAGTGTTTGTCGATAACTTGATGTGTGGGAAACACCTACTCGATGCCACTTTGCTGGAGAACTTCGTCGTTTTTGAGCCCCCGCATTTGCAGTTTAGCTGGGTCCGGGATGAGGTCTTTAGAAACCAGGGTCGGGCCTGTATGTTGCCAGTTAGATTGTGGATGGTTTATATCCAATGTCTTTACCAGACCGTTTTATGGGAGACTCACCTAAGGGACATGAGCCGTCGAAACCCTTGGCAAAGCACCACTGAGACTGGTTCAGCTGGTATGTCCGGCTGGACACGTCGTTGCAGGCAGTGTAACCCAAAACGTAATCCATAGCATTTGCCTCGGATACATTCTTGGCGGTCTTTCCCAGAACGACAGCAAGCTCAGACTCGTAATCGCCGCAGTCATCTGCTTGAGTAAGTAGGGGAAGAACAGTTGGTGCAGGCCAAGGGTCTCCCAGCGCTGTATTCGGCTTCCTGTGAGTTGGCAATTAACATCTTGTGGTTTAAGTCATAAAAGAGCAGGCCTACTCACAGGAACACAGTGGGTACGTCAGGCAAAGCGACGCCAACCTCCTTTGCGTGCTGAATGTACTACATTTCATTAGCTTGATTTTGCGTGCATATCGGGCTTCCTTGACCATTGGCTACTTACGTTCAGACCGATGCATCGGATAGTACCGACCTCGTCGGCAGAAACGGGTGAGAGGATGCGGTCAATGATGGCCCGGTGATCGGTCTTCGAGCCCGGCTTGAGGACGCTAGATCCCGACCACACCACAACCTTGACATCCTCACCGTTGCGCACCGCGATACCAACGTCGACAGAGTCTGATTCAGGTTCTCCAATGAGGATCTTGGTGGGGTCAGATCGTGGGACGAATCGCACGAGGCCTTTATCAGGTCAGCGGCGAGTGTCACGATAACCAGAGATTACGAAGGGGATGACTTACGGGCAAAGGGTGATTGCGATTCCGAAGCCATCTTGTCGAAACTGGGGCCGAAGGTCTAATGTGCAGAGGTCGTAAGATTCTAACTCAAATCAACCTTGAAGTAGAAATTCGGATGACATCCACAAACTGGAGAGAGGAAAAGTTCCCGCATCGTGGAATCCGACTGGGGCAACGCTGGGGGCACCCGGCGCAAGTGCCGACGCTTCGGAGGTCCGGCAAATCGAGAGTTCGCACCCAGACTTGCATCGCGTCGTGCTAATCGTATGCCTGGGCTATGCCATTGGTCAACTGGGGCTAACATATCAATGACGGCGGAAAAGCCGGTCCGCTTGAGGGCGCACGTTGGAGAATTATGGGGGAGATGCGAGGATGAGGGGTGGCGAAACATTGAGGGGCCGGAAAGTGAGGGGTTGCTGCCGGCCAACGCATGGACCGATTGCTGCCGAGGATTCTGTCTTGGTGACTGCGGTACTTGATCACGGTTTCGTTAGATATGGTCTGATTGAGGTGTAATCACTCACGCAGTTGTCTATTGTGTAAATTGTTTTTGGTTTCCTTCAATTCAACCAAACCTCGCCTCAAAGGCTCCCTTTTGCAACGTAGTTAATATCCTGGCCCGAGGCATTGCAAGTAGGACAGCTATCAGGTAAAAAACACAACTGCGAAAAGATTCCCAGTCATCGTCACAAGTACCGCACCAGTTTACAATCAGAAGAGGAAAACTCCAAGAAATCTCCTTCTCCAGATCTCAAGCGCAGTAATTACGATGTCCGGAGCGCAAGAGCAACCACCCCATGGCGGCGAATACCGCCAACATTTGCCGGACATCAGCACACCGCGCTTCACGACGATGAGAAGCCAAGATGCACACGAGTATGTGAAAGCCTTTAAAGACAGTGGGAACCCGCCGTGGCTACATGCCCTGTATCTCCACTGGCGGGAGATGTTCAAAGAACCATTCACCGGCATCACAACGGATGGTAGGTCGCGGGCATTGAACGTTAAGGAGAAAGACGACTAACGGACTTAGGTACAGTAAAGCGTGACTTGTTCCAGTTGGAAGATGAGGGCGTGCCGATCCAGGAGATCGTCAACGCCACCAACACCGTCCTGTCACAGCTCGATGACAATCGAAAGTCAATACTCTCATATCACGTCGACTCGCCTGAGTGGCGCTCGTGGTCGAACCCGGAGTTTCTTCTGAGCGACAAGGGCATACGCCTCGACGAGCTTGACTCAAACCTACGAGAAAGTATTCTGAAAGTTCTCGAGACAACACTCTCGCCAGAGGGTTACGCCAAGGCGCTTGGCGCCATGCGGATCAACGGGTTCTTGGGCGAGCTCGTTAAGGCGCCTACCATTTGTAACGAGTACTCTTACAATTTTGTGTTGTTTGGAGAGCCCTCAATAAGTCAGCCATGGGGCTTCTCATTCTATGGCCATCATCTATGTCTAAACATCTTTTTGTGCAAGGGCCAGATCGTGGCGTCACCATGGTTCACTGGGGCGGAGCCCAACCTGATTGATGAAGGTCCGTATAAGGGAACCCGTATCTTGGAGACAGAGGAACGACTTGGTCTGCAGCTGATGCAATCACTCCCTGCAAGCCTCCAGCATAAGGCACAAACTTATAAGTTGCTTAAGGATCCTGCGATGCCGAAGGGAAGGTGGAATCACGATGATCAAAGACACCTCTGCGGCGCATATCGAGACAACCGCACTGTGCCGTACGAGGGAATTCTTGTGAAGGATATGAATTCTGAGCAACAACAGCTCGTAATCGGTATCCTGAACCAGTACCTTATCTATCTCCCTCAAAGGGCCAGGGAAATAAGAATGAACCACATCAAATCATGGTTCCATGAGACGTATTTCAGCTGGATAGGAGGATTCAGCAATCAGGACCCTTTCTACTATCGTATTCAAAGCCCGGTGGTCCTGATTGAGTTTGACCATCACTCTGGCGTCTTCTTAACCAACAGTGAGCCGGCCAAGTTCCACATCCACACTCTTCTCCGAATACCAAATGCTGGGGACTACGGAATGGCCCTCAGACCACTAATTCCTGGCATCGACCAAGACTTTGTATGGGAAGGCTAGATACTGTATGGAGAATTGAGCATCTCTGGGAAAAACAGCCAGATATTCACCCAAATTTATCCGTTCTTTCCAACACCTTATGAATGTGTAGAAAAGGTGTTTGCCTGCTCACGAAAGGGGCCATCATAGCGTTGTCTAGTGGTAAGGGTTCAAAGTATCCAGGCGATCGCACAATACGCAAAAATTGTGTCCCAGGCAGTTCCCAATTTCTTACTCCCACGGACATTGAACTACGCTCACGCTGTCTTGCACTCCTTACCGGGAACTTTCCAGCCTTATGTGTACCGTGCTAGATGTGTCAGATTCATTAAACCAATCTTTTATCCGCCTTTCATCCTTTACATATGGCCACATTGCACTCTAAACAGAGGATCTCTCCCGCTCCCGCGAAATAACATTATCATTGCGTTAGAGGACTCTGGAATGCGGCACTATTCCACTTCTATAGGGCTGAGGATGGAAGAAGGGCGTGGTCTAAATATCGACACGCGCTCCATGCTGCAGTGGGAGCCATCGGCGACGCCCTAAACTCCTACAGTACGGCCGATTGAACCGTAATGGACTCACCGTGTAATAGATAGTTGCCGTAAATACAATGAACTGTGCCGCCGCCAGGTTACTCAGCCGGTATTTACCGGTCCTCACATGCTGACAAGAGGTATGAGTGATCCTTGCTCCTTTGGGGTTCGTTTCTCCATGCGGGAGAGGATGCCGGTGCTCAATTTATGCAGGTTTAATTATCTCTTGCCCTTTGCCTCCGAATCCGGACAGAGTGAGTGTCCGGAAATTTGTAGTGGGTAGGCTCGGGCGTAGCCCGTTATTTTGAGGGAGCCATCACACCGAGGCGAACCACATCTCATCTTATCGCTCATACCATCCTTTTTCTGAGATTTTGCGAGGCTAAGCATATGCATGTCAGTTTTCCAAGACTAAACCAATGAATTTGAGTTCCTTGACTTCATTCGCGCACTCTCGGGTAATGCAGTTCTGACCGAACCATAACACTGGTTTAAGGCAGTCTCGCATAGGCAGCCGTACCCACCGAGTTGCCGTCGCCCGAGGCAGAGTAAGTGGGCTGCGTCTGGCGAGCCAGACTTCTGCTAGGCGCCGAGCCGTGATAGGTGCGTTGGTTGAATGCCTGCAACAGGTATTCTTCATCATGTGTAAGCGGGCAGGCTACGCTGCGGCACAGAAGCTAGGTGCGTGGCCTCGCATTGGTCGAAATGACGCCAAATTTTACCATGCTCACGATCGCTCCCCTGCAGCATTGCCACAAATCCGGAGTTGGGGGCCGTTGGAACTGTTGGAACCTTTGCAACGGTTGGTATGCCTTACGGTTGGGCCAGGCCCTGGCCCAGGGACTCCGCTAATCAGGAACCGGAAACACGTCCGCTATCTTCAAGAAAGGGCTGTTCAGCCTATCAAATCAAGGCCAATCTCTGTTGGTAACACGTTGGAGCAAGTATCCTATGAGAGTGGGTCGTGGCGTGTGAATGAAGCTAGAGATGTGACGAATGACGAACACCATTTCTTCAGCTTCTAACTAGCTCTTCGTGGAGGGTGTACATCTGCAACTATTTCCAGAAAAATAGCTTTTTCTTGCGGCGAGACCGAAGTCGTCGTTTCCCCCAATACCTGAAAAGCATGAGTACTGGCGATGAGGATGCGTCATTGGCTATTCGGGCATATTCGCCGATGCCATCCCCGCTATGCCCAATCCCATGCCCCTCGCCTCTTGGTCCTCGAAGCTCGTGTTGTTGCGTCATGGTTTTCTATTTGTATAGCCATCCCTTCCCCTAGGTCTTTCTCTTTTTTGTGTCTTGATCATCCGAGTCTTGTGTGAGTCGATATATCTTCAACCTCCGAGAAAACACCACTTCGTCGAAATCTTTGCTCCTCGTGTATGAGTTACCACATATTACACTGAAGCGATCCCTGTTCTGCCACACAGTTCCCATTCTTAGTACTTGTGTTATCGGTTTTTTGTATTCTCCCCCCATCATGACGAAAGAAGCTTCTTTGCCGACCTATGGGTCAGTGCCTAGGGGTCCTACTCCTCGTGGCTCGACCGGACGCACCATCCTGATATCTCTAATCAGTTTTGTCTTGATTTTGTCGCTCTTCAACTATGAAAGCGTCTTTTCAACGGTACAGTTGTCCACCAAACGTTCTGAAGACGTTGGTCATTCGATGTTGAGCATGTCTTTTCTAATCAACGATAACCTAGATCAATAAGAGTATGGGGGTCTGCAGCAACCAACTTCAGAATCAGATGATTTCAAAATCGACGGAAACCATTCTTCAAGAAACCAGTGAGCTCATAGAAGATATTTCCTTTGAGCCTGAGGTGTCTGCAAGCCTTGACAATCAGAACTCTATTTTTCTTCGACGCCGGAATGGTGGCTCTGCTCAAGCAGACACAGATGTCTCTACCGATGGACGTTCAGGAAATAACCGTCGGGAGGAAGAGGACGGGCGCTCTGGATACAATAGTGTCGAGGATGGGCGTTCTGGATATAACCGCCGTGAAGAAGAAGACGGGCGCTCTGGATACAACAGCATAACTGACGGTCGATCTGGATACAATCGTCGTGAGGAAGAGGATGGACGTTCCGGATACAACAGGGTCGAATATGGACGCTCTGGTTACAACCACGCCACCTGAATTCGAGAGGATGCGCAAATCGGTCATCATGGACTCAACAAGTTTCACTTAGATACATCAAGCTCAGGCTCTGGAATTGGGAGATTCAATAACTGAGAGTTCAGACAGTGGCAACACGAGGTTTTCAAGATGTTATTGCAAGTTTGTGCTTAGCTCTCTTGTAGCAAATCATAAATTCTGATTCAAAGGCTGTTGTTAGCCGATGCCATGGGTTATGATAAAAAGCTCAGATGGATTGAAAAGATCATACATGAAATAATCTCTCCAAATTTTCAGACGTTATAAAATGGGGTCCTATAACTCATCACAACGGCCTGTTTTTACTGTCGCGCAACTATTTTACGATACCTGCATTTCCTTCCAAAGACCCATCACTTCACGCTCTACAGTCACTACTCTCTAGTTTGACCAAGCATGACTTAGGCTTCGTAAATATCCCCTCAACAAGTCCATTGTTTTCCATCTCAGTAGGCAGTCTGTTGAACTCCAAATTCCATACCAGTAAGGTAACGATCAACTTGAGCTCTAGGTACGCCAATCTTTTACCCCAGCATCCCCTTAGTCCACTACTAAAACTCATAAACGGCCCAGCCTTATTGTTGAACGTAATGTCTCCATTCTCGTCAGGCTGTAACCAACGCTCGACGTGGAACTCACCAGGCGGGAATGGACTCTGGGACCAATCGTCCACACCCTCACCGCAGAGCTTCTGCGATGTTTCACTGCGCTTTGACTCCTTGACTTCTGCCCCTGGTTCTTTGATTGTAGGGCCGCCTAACAAGAACATAATCGGAGTGCCCTTTGGGATGACGTATCCTAAGACCATCATATCACAGAGCGCCTCCTTTGTCACTGCCGCTGCAGGGCTGCACATACGCAGAGTCTCTTCAATAAATGCATCTAAGAAGGGGACTTGCGTCTTGATAATCTCTTCGATGGTCGGCTGACAGTTGTGGTCATTTGCCTTAGGATAAGCGAGATGTAGGGCCCTGCGCAACTTCGATTGGGCGTCATGATTTGCCCCGAGATATTTCACTGTGAAGCATAGCGTGCTGTGCGTGGATTCTTGCCCACCGACCAGATAGCCCCACAGCATATCATTCATACGCAGAGAGTTAAAGGCAGGAGGCCTACCAGCACTCTCAGCGGCGAACCTTTCACGTGATACCACGTAATCCACTGCCGACGCGAACTCTTCCTTCAAGCCACTTCGAGATAACTTCTTGACCGACCGGTCAATATGAGATTGAATGATTGTTCTCTTTGATTTGAAGGCACGGCGAACGGAGGGTCGGAAGTTGTTTACTGCGTGAAAGGTCCTTGGTATTGTTGACCGAAGAGAACCGTTGACTTTAGCATTTAACGTATTAAGGGCAGCGAGCAGCTCTGGTTTGTCTGTATGTGGGAATTTGGCAATTTGAACAGAGGCATTGCCTTGAACCTCTACTGTCTCGGCTTTCTGAATAGTGCGTAGTCGGTCCAGGGTGTGACTTTTTTGCTCCGCGATTCCGAAAGCAGCAGTCATCATAATATCGTAGGTGAAACCCTCTAAGTCCTCGGCTGCGTCAAAAGGTAACCCTTTAGCCATGACAGCCTTGACCTTCCACAGGTTGATAAAGTTCATCACCATTTTGTACGAAGCAGGTGCAGATACCTGGGTATCGTTAGAGCGGTGCACTCGGCTAACGGCAAAGGCAAATTGAAGCTAACTGCTTACTCCATGAAGAAAACTTGGTGTCATCAAGTCTTTAGTTAGAAACTTCGCCTCTTTAAAAGACGGGTGGAAATCATCCATGGCAATAAAATGCTCGGGGAGGACCCCCTGCCACGTCACGTTGTTCTTGTAACCCCTACCAAGATCCTTGCCGCGCTTTGTCATGAGGTCACGAGCCTCACGATAATCTCCAATGACGACATGGGTGCCTTCGAACGGCCCTGGAAAGTATTGGGCTATTGGTGTCTTGTACTTTGCGAGGAGATCGGTGAAGAAGCTGGCCCAGAATTTCCCGTTTCTGTCAAGATCAATAAAATACTGCGCATCTCCCAGTAACCGCGTGGTTGACTCTTTGTTGCACGGGATGCCAGGAATGGGCTTGGGCAGAAGGCGAGGATAAACAAGGCGCATGGCCACAGCCACCGCAACAAAAATGGCAGTAATCAAGTTGAGCCAGGTCATGATTTTCAAGTTTGGTGGAAAATAAGCTGCTGTTGGCTTTGGTACTCACATTTAGAAACGGAACAAGTGTGATCCAATTTTCAAATAGCCTGACTTTGATTTAGTGTCGTACTGTCAGCCTGAAGTATTTATATGAAGAATGCATGGCCGGCTCCGCGGGAATTGAGCAGAGCAGCTTCGGACGAAGGATTATGACGAAGTGGCCAGGGTGCGGAGAAAGTTGGGCATTTGTCGTGGACGGAAGGGGTACAGCGGTAGCCGCGGATTCCGATTGAAAGGCTTGGGTCTACCCCACAGACGAATGCAAAACCACCAAGTTATAATGAGTTTTCAGGCTGACAATAAAGGATGGGGCTTATCGACAGCAGTTTCAATGATTGCTGAAATGAACCATCATTCAAAGGCGCGCTTTAGGAATCTGTCAGCAGGCGCCCTACTCTTATGTTACCTATACTTGGAGCTTCCAAGCACGTTCGAGAAACCTTGGTCTCACAATAGGAGCAGAACCTGTGGTACTGAGCCTAGCCACAGTTTCGTAGTAATGTAACTTAGCTTTTTTCGCTGTCGATGGTTGCGTTATGTGGATATTCCACGATTGACGTCATACTCAAATCCCTATAGGAGGGGAGTTGTCCCTCTCAGGAGACTATGTCAACATAGGTAGAGGCCACAATGATGCACATGACGATGGGAAGAGTGATGATGTGCTTCGTTTTGAGAAGGATTTAACTTAAGTAACTAGTCGCAGAGAGATTATAGAATGGCTGCACCTCAGTGACAGAGAAATAGAGTAAAAGTGCGTAGGTAGAGAAACGAGTGTTGTTGAGCTCGGTAGTGAGAAACCCCAGTGTCTATCGCTTCAAAATAAGACAACATGATCAGACAAGATTGGTCTGAGAAGTATGATCTACATCAAAACAAGACTCAAGCTTTTTGGTTCCAAGGTATGGCCGTACCAGATTCGCCCATACCCTGACATAATTCGGCGAAGCACATATGGTTTTCCTGGCAGAGGGATAGTCACAACAGCATCGCTCAGCTTGAGATCTATGCAGTGATGAAGTACCAACTGGGAGTGGATCACTAATGACTCTGTAGACTTCCCCTCTTCCTTCCTCTAATGTATACTTGCCATATATTCGCCTGCCACAAAAGTACGATACTCGCAGGTATCATTTTTAACTCATTATCAGTGTTCCTAACCCGTAAATCACAATTTCTTTTGCGACTCAAAACAGGGATACAAAGGTTTTTCATCGTGACATTTGGCCGATACCGGTGGTATCGCGTTACGCCCCCTTTGTGGTGGCAGAAGCCAAGATTCTTCCGAGTCTCGCAACAGGTTAGACATCTAGCCAACCAACGAAGCCTCACGTAATCATTGATTATGAAAACTGTAAGGTGCAAAACTTACTGCGATGTCTCCAAAGATGGCACCTGTTCCTTCAGGAAGCCATTGTTGCAGGTCCACACTCGGATGTCGCAAGCCGCTCTCAAATAGGGAAAGCCATTTACAGCCGTTTCCGTTGATTTAAAGTATTTCTCTGGCCTTCTGCTCCTTTGATGGCCCGTCAGCTGGGCGTTGCGATCAAGATCTAAATAGCCGCCACACGTCGGTACTGCAGCAACCTGGAAGCTCGACTAAACGTGGGATACTGGCCTCTCGTGTGGTCACCCAACTGGATCTGAGAGCAGTGAGAGTTTAGCACATCTGCTGCTGAGTTTTAATTGCTAACTTATGGAAAGAAATTACAAATTGGTATAGAGTCATTGAAGACTAGGGATATCATCGCAGAAAGAAAAGGAAAACCTTGCCCAAAGCGCCGAAGCCTACACTACAGTTTTCATAGCCCTAAAATACTTCGCAACCCTCGACAAAGTGGAATTCGAGTGGTACGTGTCTGTGGTTTCTCCAGAATCCTCGGAGCCTAGCGAGTACCTCCTCTCCTTGACAAATTTCGGCCAAGTGTTTGTCAGAACAAGATACTTAATACTGGTCTCCGCATTATCAAACACATCCGCGTTGAAGGCCTCTGGGATCTCCCCCCAGTATTGCACACGATCCGTGATGCAGTCTCCTCTGCCATCTCGCGACCAGGTCCCTTTGTCTGAATTACCGGAAGAAGATTCTGGGCCCCAAGTTACATCCTCAAATGGAACCACAGGATCGAAGAACCGCTCAGTCTTGTAGCCATATAAAATCCTAGCAGCGTTCTCGAAGACTGTCTCCAACCGCTTGAGGTCTTGTGATGCGATGTTGATCTGGAACTCGGCGTGGTGGGGGCTGATGAACTCGGTGTAGATTCGAAGGGCGCGGTTGAAACGCTCACGGGTGAGCTCTGATGACCGTTGTTGCGCGTCAGGACCTCGCGGAATCGATGCTTTCCACTCTCCAACAGCTGACAGGAACGCAATGTTTTCTCCAGAAAAGTCTCTGAGAGCCGAGAACTTGCGCAGGGGCTCGGGGTTCTTTTCCAAAACATACTCTAGAGCGCCCATGGTATACACACTGTCGGCCTGACTGGTGTCTTTTTCGAGCTGTACCAGTGACTTCCAAGTGATGGAGGCGTCAGACCCAACTTTAGTTGAGTCGGTGATGATAGAATCGCTGCCGTTGCGGGACTTGTTCTTGGCTTCCCAAAGGGCGATAGACTCAAGTGTCTCTTGTTGGAGCGACTTGTGTTTCAACACTTGCCAACATGGAACGAAGATGGCGAAGACTTCGATAAAGGTGATGGAGAGGCAAATCCTGGGTGGTGTAAGTATGACCAAGCGGGGTGCCGATGCATGCTTCATATAACTGACCACTGAGGGGGGATAAAGTATTTGTTGACGGGCGCCATGTTTGGTACATATAAGGCAACAAGCCACATTGGTGTAGCGTGCAGGCTGAGTTCATTAGTGCTGGTTGCAGGAATTCGCTTGTTGCCGGCGCCGGAACGCTAGACTTGATTCCACTCACCTTGCGGTGCAGCATGCAATGGTCTGAAGACGCCACCCTTGGGTGTCTCTGATCCCCCGTGATTTCCAGAGAATGACAGGCGCGACCATCCAGGCCCAGACAAACTGCCAAAAGACCGAAGGCCACCATTCCCAACCTCGACCCATCTCGACCTTCCGTTGCATCGGAGTGCCTCTGACTTCCGTGCCGGGGACGCCAAACCATGGGTGATACTTGCGTGAGACGAGATACATGACAACCATTAGGAGAAGCTGATCGTCGTACATGTCAGCGATGTGTCAAGCTGTCAAGCACGGCCCATGGCTTTGGTCAACGTCACATACCTGTACGACCATGCCCGTGCTAACCACAGCCAGCATTTTGGTGGTGTAGTCTAACTTGCGGAGCCTTCCCGCCAGGGTCTTATCTCTGCAGTTGCAGGCAGGCGACTGTGACTTGGACCGTGGGCAAAGTGGCTTCTCCGCATATTTGCGCTGCGCCTTGGCGACATGCAGGAAGCGGCTGTTGGAGGCGTGGAAGAGAGCAATGCCGAAGGGCAGGTAAAGTCCCATCACCCAAAACTCTGCGCCGTCGGGAACAAATTGACCAATTGACAGACCGATCTGGACCGATACCCAGTACAGATGGAGCATGGTGACGGCGCCAAACGACAAAGCCAACCCACGGATTCTCAGAAAAGGCATTTTGCGGTTGGAAAAGAGAAATGCCATACCACAGAGCACTGTGACAGTCCAAACCCCCGCCCACACAAGCCAGAATATTGCAACTGGCTCCGTGTTGAAGGCGGGCGCCGGTGCAAGGGTGGCAGTCTGCGCGGGCTCAATTCCTGAATCCATGGTTATTGGTTGTTGGTTGTTGATTGTTGATCGTCAATCGATGCCCTTGGACAATCTGCTGCAAAGCTGCTGGCGGGCAATAAATAAGGAACGTGAATGAATGCCAGACTGTCAACGAGGCAACGTTTGAGGAATGCGTAGTGGGTTATATACTGGAATGTTAATGGGGCTGGAAGACAGGATTCCGGAGAATGCGAAATCTCCCCAGTCAACAATGATTCACGGGCCGGCATCGCACTGGGAGCTGTCGGCGGCCCATCTCACCATGCTTTTGCGTGGTAAGATCAAAGGTGGAGGCGTCGTGCAGATCACTGTTTACATCCACAATGGCGCTGTTCCTAGCACGTCGATCACATCTCGAAAGCCTAAGTTGATGCAGGAACACAGACTGGTGACAGATTGAGACTGCAGTTGTTAGTTCAAAAAGAAGAATGTAGACCTCCTCGCCCAAAGTTGAAGTTGCACTAGTGGACTTGAGCGCAGAGAGTACGGCTCCATCACATTAAGGACGTTGCCCTCTGGAAAAGGGTGCAAACGGTGATGGTATGTACACCAAGACGGCGGTACCCCTGCTGGATCGTCGGTTCGTAAGCTTTTGTTGCATAAGAAGGCCTCTGGCGCTAGATTGAAGGTTCATCAGTGCTTCAGACGCTAACCAGAAATTGGGCGCTTGCCCAGCTGAAGGGCGTTAGCTGACCCTAATGGTATGAGCTCTTCGGTCTTGGCGATTCAGCCAAACGGTTGACCAACGCAAGATCCGCAGCTTGAACCATCATTGCAAATCCCAAGCTAATTTGATAGGTCGCAGTAGATGGTGGGCGATATGACCTATAACCAAAATTTGATTCTTCCGTGGACGGTTAGGAGGACATGAGTGTACTCTTTCGCAAGACTGCTCAATTCGCAAGAAGGGTAATGGACGCCAGTTTTTCCGGCCTTGTCAGGGTCCAATGGGTCTGCATCATGATTCCTATCCTACTATACATAAGGAATGACCACAGGGAGGAGGATGAAACTAAGGAAATCGTAGAAACTTACGGGGTGTTTTTTTTTCTCTTTCTTGTTCTAACGAGATGCAACCGAGCAGTCGACGCTGCATCTCATCTAACCAGTCGGCTGCTGTCCATATTGCCCACTGTTCGTGATCAGAGAACCGCTTCTACACGTGGCAGCAGGGAAAATTCCCTTTGTGTTGGGGTAGCGTGAGTCTCACAAAAACATTGCTTTTTGTTCCTTTCCTTCTGTTGTCTACCTCAAAATTGGCAACATTGGGTTATCATATTGATCCCTCGTAATGGTAGACAACTCCTAGTTGAGCAATAAATAGTCACAATTTTCCCCAAACGTTTCGACTCGATTCGAGTGAGTTATGGTTCACTTGAGAAGATTGCACCGGAGCGCCTTCGGATGAATGTAGGTCTCATAAGACAAGAAAATCAGAAGTCATTGGTGACGCACAGAAACTAATGTCCGAGATCTTGGGTTGTTTTCTCCAGAAGTTACCGGACTACAGCAACGAGGGTGGGGTAACCGTGAAAGCCTTGTCGATCGGCAGCAGATCAACTCCGCTGGCTTGAGTACTTCTTTGAGCTTGTCTCATTGCTCCTCATCTCATTGAGCCGTCGACTGATTAAGCGCCGTGAGCTAAGAAAAAGCCACAGCGCTATCATGGTGCGCTAGCTTACCAGAGCAAAGGCCTGCAGGTCCCCTGGCCATCATCCAAGTGCCGGTCCATCGCGTGGGATCAGAAGTTGGAGAGAGCCGTTGAGGGGAAAAGCGAGTCGGCATCAATCTTAGATATGTTGGCATGATGACGATGCGGCGTTCTCCACACTTGAGCGAGCGATTGAATCATGTAACATTACGGGTATCATTAATTCTGGTTGGTCATTGAGGCTCAAGGTCCAAAGCAAAGCTTCTTCTGCCGAGGGTCGTCACTTGGCAGTCGTGCCGGTGGTCTACCGCGTTTCTTTTCTCCCCCAGCCTTGGCTTTCTTCATGTCCGGCGTTGTCGATCTTGAAGCTGGGGCAGGAAGAGCGTCCCCATACACAGCTTCGCGAATCGTCTGTCGCGATAAACACAGGTCGATATGTTCGTTGAACTGTCTCTCGTCTGGAATCTGCGGACGGTTGCAGATGGGGCAATCCCACATTTCATCGTTTATCGGTGCATACTCTCGCACAGGGTTCGGTTGAATCTCTTTCCCATGTCTCCTCACGGGACTCGGCTCGTTGTCGCCAGGGCTGGCAGATCCTTCGTGGACGTCGACCAGTAAATGCTGATCATCGTCCAGGTCTAATAGTTCCTTTTCGGGCCACTGTTCCCACCCATCTTCATCCAGCCCATCGCCAGCCTTGGGGCGAATAATGGTCTTGTGAGGCCTGTCAACCGATGCAGCTGACTCGGACCTACGAGACCGAAAACCAAAGAATGACATTGTATCTGGCTTCTTCGTGCTGACAAGATGGGTACAACGGAGTCCCATCAATCGCAGTGTCATGCCCGGCATCTCTTCTTCCAGCTTGGCCAGAATCGGAAGCGAAAACTGGTATAGGTCGTCGGCTAAAGCTATTGCCCGAGGCAGCACGGCTTGGCGAGTAAAAACTTCATATGTGTGCAGTTTCACCTTGAGTACCAGCGTCCGACCTTTGACCTCTGCCCTCCTCATGTCCTTTTCCAGTTCTTCTGCCGTCCATCTAAGCTTTTCTCTGAACTGTTGTGGCTCTGACATATCTCGGAACGTGCTTTCGGTGCCCACACTCTTTCTCTCGTATTCATCTGCAGGCTGAATTCGGGTACGTCCCAGGCCAAGGTAAACATTGATCAGAAACTCGTACGCTTTTTCGCCGAACAGTGGTCGGAGGAGTTGCCGCTGAGGATAAAGATCCGCACATGTCTTGATCCCGATCTCTGCCAGTTGCCGTTCGAGCACGCGGCCCACACCATTGACCTTTCGAGGCGGTAGTCTAGCCATGAATCGCAATATCTCAGACCTGTCGTTGGGTAAGACAAATTGGCCGTTCGGTTTGTTCATGTTCGAGCAAATCTTCGCGAGTTTCGCATTGGCCGCGATCCCGGCTGAAACAGTGATGTTGGTTTTCTCGTGTATTTCCCGGCGCATCTGCTCGACAGCTTCGGCCGGGCTGATACCCTTATCTGTGCAATACTCCGTGATGTTGAGGTAGGCCTCGTCTATGCTTGCGCTTTCGAACCGAGGGTCGTATTCCACCAACACCTCCCGTACCTCGTGGGCCTTGGCCGTATATTTCTCAAAGTTGAGTTTAAGCATCACCAACTCGGGGCACAGCTTTTTGGCTACAAATCCAGCCATGCCGCTCCGACAACCATATTTCCGAGCGACGTAGTTGCACGTTGTGAGGACGCCACCTCCGACAGCGAAGGGAACGTCCTTGAGCTCGGGTCGATCAAGCAGCTCGACTGCAGCGTAAAAGGCATCGCAATCGACGTGGACGATATATTGCGTCAGATCTCGAGAAAGTTCGAGTTGGGTAATGAGCTGGTCGGCAAGGCGAAGCTCGCGGCTGAGGTCTTGATTCTCGAGTTGTCGTTTCTTATCAAGGATTTGTTCGATTTTCTTCGTCAATATCTTGTCTCGCTCTTCTTCGCGGTTGAAAAACTTGGATCCTTTGGATGCATTGTATATAATATCCGATACCTGAGAGGCCATACGTCAGCAAGTTGCTACAGAGCCCGTAGCCCATTGAGGCTCTCAAGGGGTGGCCGACCTTAGACTGGTCAACCGAGTCTTGTCCGGCTTTCGTCAAAGAAGGGCCCAGCAGAGAATATTTCAGTGTCCGGTCCGCTGACATGGCTTTGGCATCTTCCGACAAGTCGTCGAGAGGCGCTGGCGGTGGTGTCGTCATGACTGTTGGAGACGGAAAGGTTTTGTCCAAGGGGCAAGTTCCAAGGCCAGAAGCCGAGTGATGAGGTGCATATCTTCTTCGTCGATGGCTGTAGTACGTCAAGCGTGCGTGGGTGCAGGTGTGTCAAGGTCAGTGTAGTGCGGATGGAACACGGATGATGGAAACGATTGCCCCCATTTTCAAGCGACAACGCGTTGTTCGCGCACTCGGTCAGACAGCAAAGGCACACGTAGTCACATGACCAGGCACGTGACTGTTCACCTTTTGCCTCAGTAAGCAAGGCAAGATACGTCCAAAATGTACATAAAGTATTGTCGCATTAAACATTACTGCTACAAAGCAGTGATATCCACTCCGGACCCGTCGCCGCTACCGTCCTTTAACCTCTGCTGACATTTTCATCAATTCATCATCTAAGCGTTTTCGCCTACTCATCATCCATGTCTGTGGCCCAAACTTTAGCAAACAAAACTCTCAGGCTTCGATTGCTCGCCTTCGCCAATGTACTTTTGCGTCGCCGGGTAAGGGCAAATTGGACGCTGCCTCAACAACGGAGTAGAGGGGTCAGTCGAGTTGGTCCATGTTGAAGCAAGAATTGACTCCGGCGCGGTCCCCGATTCGACCCACAGCTGGAGGGCATACAAAGCATCGTTTGTCGCATTGGACGGCACTGTGGAATTGCCACCGCCCACGAGCTGCTCCGCCTGGCCCGGACCACCAATGTACCATGGCGCATCGACCGTTGTGTTCTTGTGTCCGACACCAGGGAGAAAGAAGAGACGGAACCATCCACGAACAGCCTCAATGTCACCGCCAGACTGCGCGACGACTTTATCATAGTAGTGCCGGGAGGCAGTGGGAGGGACGTGGGCATCGGTCAGGCCGTGGTACATTATGATCTTGCCGCCCAAGCTTGAGAACCGGGTTAGGTTGAAGCTGTTGACATCGAGCTCTCCAGGGTTGGTGTCGTTGGCATACGCGGGAACGGTTTCGTTGTAGCTGGACCACGCCCACTCTGTGTCATTGAAGACGAAGTTCTTCATGTATCCGACGGCCACCTCATTAGGCTCGTTGCCCAAAAGCGCGCCCCACTCATACTCGGACCCAGGGCTGACGCCTGGGAAAACGATCTGGTCGCTCACGTTGTAATCGGCATACATTCCCTGGGCAACAGTGACCTGCTCAGCGGTCAAGCATGCCTGTGCATCGACGCCGTCTTGCCCGCAGGTGAAAAGGGCAAAGTTAACGGTGCAGTTGGCCGGATCGCTGACGATGCTGTCTTCGACTCCGTCGGCGGCATCGCACTGCTTCCTAATGTTGTCGCCAATGATGGTGAAGTTCCCTGCAGAGATGTGCTTGGCATCATCTGTTGGCAGGTTAGAGACTCCGCGGGCGATTCTCCAACTCTGCAGATGGCTCTGCCACCAAGCCGGTGCACCAATCAGCAAGGCTGAGAAGTCCCTGGGGTAGAGCTCAGCGGCCTTCAAGCCCTGTCGTCCACCATCGGATGTACCTGAGAAGTACGACGCCTCAGGAGGCAGTCCGTAGTACTTCTCAATAACCTTCTGCGCCAGCTGGACTGTGCCGTGCAGGGCCTTGTGTCCAAAGAGCAACTTCGCCTCGTCGTTACCAAGGGCCCAGGTGAGGTTGTTCGCTGTGGAGTTGTGTCCTCCGTCCGTTGCCACAGTAGCGAAGCCGTACTTCACTCCAGCGGCCATAGCCGGCCAGTTGAGGTCACCTGAGAAGCCGTCGTTACCCACAGTGAGCATCTTGTTGTTCCATTCATCTGGCAGGAAGAGGCCAAACTTGTATTGCGTTCCTCCCGAAGTCTTCGCGATAAAGCTCACGGCGCAGAGACTGGGGAGGTTGGTGACGTTATTCGGGAAGGCGATATTGCCCACCTCTCCAAAGCTGCCAGCCGCATCGACCGGCTCCACAATCGAGATGGAGGCGTTGGCGGTGATCCAATAGCTCATGAGCCGTGTCGTGCATGATGTCGAGTTCGTAGCCGATGCCTGCCGCAGGGCGGCTAGTGTGAATGCAAGAGATGCGGCCCACTTCATCTTGAATAGTCTACACGTGGTGTTGCATGTGGTGGAGGGAACTAGCAGGGCAGAAGTGGTTGGTCCAAATGTCTCCAGGACCATTTGCCCCTTTTAAGATCCGCAACCCCGGAATAGTTCACATCGGCGAGTTTGTTGGGGACTTTTAATTTTGCCGCATATCAGTGTTCTTGAGTTGTCCGTGTTTACCAACTTTCCTGTTTCTCATACCTCTAATCTTAGGAGTTATCTGGCGATGCGACTTCACATTCCACAATGGCCAATCGGACCCCCAATCATTGAGACAACACGTTTCTGACTACGGCTGCGTCCAATGACCATTAAGGACGTCGCCGGCCCACCAGTGGGAAATTTCGAGATCATACCAAATGTTCGTCTGCTCGCGTCTCATATCGCGCTCTTGTTGACGTCGTTGCTAGGACTTCCGAGCTTCTGGATCGGCAGTAGGAATCTTTGACTGTGTCTTGGCATAAACACAACAATAGTAGAGCTAGAAAAGGGTTCAGATTTATTGGTAACAAAGCCGGGGGAAATGGGTGGATTTTGAGCCAACCCTGGATCAGAACGGCGAACGGCTGAATGGCTGATTGATGGGGGGCTTGTGAGGGCTGGTACAGTAAGATGATTGTTAAAGGCATTGGAAGCCGGACACTTTATCATTCGAGCAGTTGCACAACATACGTTTGATTGCAGGCAACTCCAACATCGTCAGGAAACATAAAGAAATTCGAAAAACAAAGTATCCAAACGCATTGAGCAGCCCACTAGCGACTTGCCGAAAACAAAGAGATTTCGTTGCCATGCCAAACCCAAATTCGAAACTTTTATCCAGCTTTACAACGATCCCTCCTATGACGCGTTAGGTTGTCCTTTCTTGTGAAGCCTTTCTCACACTCATCGCACTCGAAGCTAACTTTTCGGGTCGAGTGCCAAACCCGCTTGTGTCGGTCCAAGTCCGGCTTTTCAGCGCATCGTTTTGTGCAACCAGCGCACTCAAAAGGTTTGTTATGCTTTTTCAGGTGCCTGCTGCACAACACAGTCAGATCACAAGTTCAAACAGGGCTTTTTGAGAACTTCGGCTTACTTGAGCTTGTGTTGTTTGTTGAAAACTTTTTTGCATGTCTCACAGGCATAAAAACCTTGCGCAGGGCACTGAGAAAATCCCGTGCCATCTTGGAGATCGATAGAAGAGTCAACCTCAAATGCGTGATTGGCGGATGAATTTGTGTTAATGTCAGAACAGCCTAGGACCTCTTCTGCAAACATCATGGCGTTATCGTCGTCCCACGTTGCCGAACCGAATAAGTGTGGCTGGGCAAGATGGGGATTACCCCAGTGCGACGGTTCACCCTCAGGAGCCTATAGTCCCGAAGATGTCCCATACGACTGGTAGGATGATGAGCTATAGCATAGCTCGAAAGAATCTAGCAGATCCGGGTCGATCACTTCGTTGGAATAGGTGTTGCTATCGATGATATACCCAATCTGATTGTTGGAGCTGCCATCTGGATCGGAGAGGTCGCAGCTCACTTGGGTAGCCATGTAAGGTCTCAACCCATGGTTCATCGTGTAGATTGAATTGGAATGCTTGTGTTACCTGGACGTTAGCTACACCAGGGAAACCGAACAGATATCGCTTTCTGTCCCCGTTGTTAGGTACTCGACAAGCCAATGTCATGATGATTGAGTACATATTACTTGCCTAAATCCTTATGAAAAAGGATGAGCAGTGTTCTGGATCGGGTGTAATTCCACGCACATTCACCTAAGAAGATCCTGTGATGGTATTCCTTAGTACTGGCCTTCGGCAATGATCATACGGATCCATATTCTCACCATTCACACTTAGGTTGACTGAAGTCGGTTCAACACGCTCTTGGGTCAATCGATCTTCCCTTTCCGGATGGAGAAATAAGTAGAAATGAAATGAGACTTTATGGGCAGAGACAATTCAAAGCTAATTCCAGAATGACGGCGCGGTTGAGTACATGCGTAATTAGAAAAGGGACATCCAGTACTGGAGAAAGAGGGGCAAACGACAAGAAAGCGGAAGGCATGGACATGATTGTGTTCTTATATGCTTTAATATATTCCAGCATCCAATTTGACCAGAATCTCTTGTTTCTTCGGGTTTCTTTTGGATTCCTTGCAGAAGTTTATGGCCCAACACACTGGCTGTGGATCTGTTGGTTAGAGTCCATGGCCAATGTCACATTTCCTGCAGAGCAGGCGATTATCAGTACGAACAGAAGGCCGGTTCATCGAGTCAGCCCACCGTGTAAATCTTCAAATCATGTTCGGTGAACATGAAGGGGCTAATTGAAGTGCCAAGTTGGGGATGACTGCCTTTGCATTCGGCCAGGGCATTGGAGGCCGATGACGTCCACGTCCACACAATTAAGGATATGCGGGGTACTCCTCTCGTTGCCTGACCCAAAAACATAATGCTGGGCTTCAAATAAAGCATTGAGGCCTTACGAAAGGTGACCAACAGCCTTGATATCACTACTATGACTTACGGAAGCCTTGGAATACGCCTCACAGCCTTGTATCAACACTGGCGGTGAAATTAATCGATTTCGCCTCAAAGACATATCACGGCCTCCGGCATTTAGTGGGTGTGAATCATATCCAATAAGGGTCGTTATGTCCCTCCAACGGCCTCCAGCATTGCATATCCTGGAGCCACACCTACCGGCGCAAAGTGTGACCGGGACTTGAGATGATTGGTTGGCGAACATGACCACGTCTGCAAAGCCAAGTCTTCCACTCGCCATTATGTGTTTTGCGCAGATGCGCGACATTGGCAATATTTGTTCCTTGGGCTCCTCGTTTAAACCCATCAAGGTGAAGTGAGAGAACTCCCAAGACAACACCATTGGTCTGAGTTTTACACAAGTCTTTCTAGCTAGGTGGCATCAGCCGATCTTCTTTCCACATAAATACTCGTATCATCTTACTCAATGCTGTGGATTGTTTTAACCAAACTTCATTCCATAAGACACCAAGTTTCGGATCTCTAACTTATCCTATACTCTCTTAGTGTAGAACTTGCTCACTAGCTGCCACAATGGCAAGGAGTAAAACAAAAGGAGGCAATGCGGGCAAAGCGTCAATGAAAGGTGAGTTGTTTTAAATGGACTTTTGACCGTATTGCTAACGATGGTGCTGTAACAAAGAAACGGTCATTGCTGATGGTCTTGATCATCCCATCAGCATGACTCTGTGCAAGAGGCTTAACCGGTTCTTTGAGGCCTTGTCCTTTCTATCTGGTCTTAACAAGGCCTGCGGACGGTATAGTCAAATCAAAGCTCCAAGCGACACATCGACGCTGGCAGAGGGTCACAGCAAGATACTCGAATGTTTCATCAATAAGCTAGCACAGATCTGTGACAACCAGCGTGGTGGTTCTACTGTCACGTCTCTGGCCATATTACAGACACCTGACAAGCTTCTGTATGTGTTCACATCTAACCAGAGGTATGACGACGATATCAAAGAGCCTAGGGAGTTTATCCTCAGCCTCCTACGTTATGTGAACCAGTTCTGTACAGAAATTGGTTGCAAAGACGACGAAAATTCGCCAGTCTTTCGGAATGTTCTTCAGGATATCCTCAAATTCAACCAGGAACGTATTCAATGGTACAAAGAAGGCTTATTAGAGCGTCTTGCACAATGTTTGGGTGACTGCGAAAGATGTATATCGGAACAAAGTAAGTTCATTCTTCTATTAGGCGTTTGGCCTAAAATACAGTCGTGTTAATGCCTTCAGATGTATTACTCAAGGCAGTTCTTGTGTCTCTACGAGAAACGGCTCTTGTCTCGAAAAGGGAGCTTAATGGGGCTGACGATGCTTCATGTAAGAGAATTGATACAACACTTTTTAAGGTAGGGCTTTACTGACTAGTCACCCGGTACCAGGGACATCTTCAAACAATGAAAACTTAGTGCGAGCAGCCACAGCCTTGCGTCAGTCGCAAAAGTACAACGACATAATCGACAAGGGCAAAGCAGGCAAAATCGATGAGTCATGGCATTGGTGTGAGCTCCAGCACTTCATCGGCCGCCTTGTGTCTTATTTCAGAGCTACCCAGGCCATCCTCGGAGCACGGAAACGTCATCCGGAGCTCTTTTCCATGGAAGATACAGAAATCCAATTTATTGCGTCCAAGAAGCCAATTCCGAATCCCATGAATGCGTTTCAGGCTGGTCTACCATCGAGCCAGCGGCAAACCGTGCGTTCCGCACAAGCCATAATTTCCCGAATGACGAGCGACAAGGAGAAGCAGAAGACGTATCAACAGTATGCAGCAGAACTTCAGCGTTGCGGCCTAGACGAGTTGATCGCTAATCAATGTCGTAAAAACACATTTCGACCGATCGTACACAGCGAAGTTCACCTCCTGGAATGGCTCCGGAAAGAGTTTGCAGAGGAGACATGTTCGATCCCTTTCTATAACAGTGTTAAATACATCGGCTGCAGCAAACCAACGTGCCGTCTCTGCGAATATTATTTCGCAGCTCATAGCAGCGGTGTCAGGGTTCGGCCTCCTCACCGCAACATTTACGCCAACTGGATAATTCCCGATGTCCTGGTGGAAGGCGAGACTTCGCAGTACAAAGTCAAAATGATCGATGCTGTCTTGACAAAGATCCGTGATGATGTTTTTGTGGCGCTAAGAGAGAAAGTTTCTGAGCGCAAAAGGTTCGACTCCAATACGTACTCTTCGCAACCGACGGATCAGTCCCTTACGGACGTTTCAGTCAGCTTTGACGACCTGCTTTCCCGTGTTGAAGGCCTTTCTATAGCCAGTCCGGCACGGGTTCAGAATGTTGAAGGCAGACCCGACATGGGCATCGGGGATGACGCTTGGAGTGTGGTTGCTCAGGATAAAGATGACGATGGCGGAGGGGTGCTGATGTTTACTGGTCGAAACATGCGGATCTAAACGTTGTCTAGGCATTTTGTTGTCCAATGATCTCTTAATAAGTCTACCCCAGAAGTCTTCTGCTGGCTTTCTCATTGTTCATGCCACTCTGTCGTTCAAGTGCAGCCGGATCACCCGCCGCCCTAAGATCGCGCGACCAATTAAGCAGGGGTGAGCGCGGTGAGCCAGGCTTCTTTGCAGGAGACTACTTCCCGCTATGACAACGATAGAAGTGCAGAAGTGGAATTAACTATAAAAGCTTAGATTAAGATAAGTACTTTAGACCTACAATAATCTAAGTAAGACTAGCTAATAAGAACTTGGGAATTATATTGCCTAAAGTAAAGGACTTTTTTATGCCACATCTTACCCCTGAGATTTGCATCGAATCAAGATCGAACGAGCCCAGTAAAAGCCTCCAGAGAAATCAGGAGAAGTCACTATGGTCACAATGTCACAAAATGCTCCCTCTATTCAGTCTTTGAATGCCAACCCTGGCTTGCAAATATCTGGGTAAGTTCCAATGCCCACTTGGAGATTTCGTGTGACCCCATGCACTCATTTTTAAGAGTCCCGGAGACGTAATTTCTCTTCCTCCCCAAGGTCAATCAATTGTCAATCAATTACGATCAACTGCGTCGCACGCAGTCATTCAGGATACGAGAAACTCGATATGCGTGCCTGGAATTGATCCATATTCAGAAGCCAGTGATTTGTTTGTGGATCTATTTGCAAATTCGAAAAAGGGGTTAAGGGTGCTCGGTGCGGAACGCAGGCCGCTGTTTCTTTGGGGGTATCAGTAGTGACCGATCCCAGGATTGAGGGCAGGAAGCAGTTCGCTGTTCCAAGGATTGGGGGTAGAGGTGGCTCACAGTTCCCAGGATTGGGAGATGTTTACAGGGGACTGGTTACCAATCCGAGGGCTTAAGGGAGGCGTAGTTCGCTATTCCTAGGATTAGGGGCTAACAGGGGCTAGCTCACTGATCCTGGTTTGAATAATGGCTGCTGGGTGAGGCGGTTGCGCCTGAACTACGGAGTATTCTGCCACCGCATCATGTTCGTCACTGGAGGTTCGACCTTGTCGTGTCGCTGCTTTCTGCCCTTGATGGCCTTCTGGCATATGGACATGAAATGTGTCAATTGGTGTGCCATCCTTTGCAAGATGCAGCTGTCGTCAACTGTGCTCAACTCCCATCAAGCAGCAGAGCCCCAATGGGCCAATGGAGCCACTGTTCATCACGATGACGAGAGCGTCCCTGGTTGAGAAAAGGCTTCCCCACAGCCAAATGATCGGCGATCTCCCGCTGACAGTTTTGGGGCTCTTGGGGCTGGACGGATGTCCCAGGGGCAGTTCATCCTTTCCTCCCATCCTTAGTCTCATTGGTCACTCAGACATAAAGCGGGGCAGATATCCAGATGGGGAAATAAGCTACCCCTTGCCGATGAGCGCTATCGACGTCATCAGCCGGTCATTGCAACCGGAGGTTTCATTCCAGTCCCGGCCCAAGCTTGTCGTCACCTTCTGTATTCTGAGGTTCAAGTCCCAGTTTTCCAATGCCTGCAGAGCAACGGGGCCGGGCTTTGGTAGTGGCAATGGTCAATCGAATCAGACAAGCTGAGGCGTAGGTGAAAGAGGGCGCTTTGAGCCTTTCCCCCTTGATGGAGTCAATTGAGCCTTGGCGCTCAGCTCCAACAGCTCGTCATTTTGACTTCAATTGGCGTTCGGTCAAAATGCATGTGTGACGAATGTTTTCCTTGTTTGCTCATGCCGCCACCATGGTTCCCGACGCTAGCCTGGAATTCCCAAAGCCGAGAAGGGAATCTGGTCCCTTCGCGCCTCGTTGCTAATCGTCTTCATAACCAGCTGCCCACGTGTCTCTCTTCTCAATCTTTTCCATCGACTTACCACACCTTTTGATACCCATTTCACCCATTTCTACACCTCAAAAACAGTTTTGACTAGCGCTTTCCCATTGTTCAACTCTTCCACGCCTTATCCAGTTCACTGAATACCTACACACAATCCGTCAAGATGATGTCCGCACGACCCCTCGTTCGCTCGACGCTTCCTAGAGCGTCACGCGCCGTTCGCGTCCCCCGCCAGCAGTCCCTCCGCTTCCAGTCCACGACAGCCTCCTCAACAACAGGAAGCGCAGGCTCAGGTAGCTCCCACTTCGGAGCTGGTGTCGCTGGTGGTCTCGCCGGTGCCGGTCTGTTCTTTGCCATCTACTCCTTCACCCCCGCGGGCCGCACCGCCTCCAAGGTCAACAAGGCCGCGAAGGAGGCCGAGAAGAAATACTCGGCCGCTGCCCAGAAGCTGCAAGAAAACACGCCCTCCGCTGATCAGGCCATCGACTATATCAAGCAGTTCGCCTACTCCTACGTCGGTTGGATCCCCGGTGGCCGCGCCTACGTGGACTCTGCCTTCAACGACTTTGAGACGGTCCGCAAGAACCACAAGGAGGAGGCTGATCAGATTGTCAACGATGCCTACAAGCAGTTCCAGGAGGTCGCTAAGGCGGGTCTGAGCCTCGACGCCGTCCACAAGGCCTACGATGTTTTGACCGACATCTCAAAGAAGATCGCCAGCCTCGGCGGCGACGCCATCTCCGACGTTATCGACAACCACCCCCAGCTCAAGGAGAAGCTGGGAGGCAACATTGACCAGCTCAAGGACATGGGCGACAAGTACGGCCCTGAGGCCAAGAAGCAGGTCGATGAGACGTGGAAGCAGGTCAAGGATGTCCTGGCCGGAGGCTTCACCGCTAGTAACTTTGAGAAGGCTCGCAAGCTTGTCGAGGAGAAGGTTGAGCAGGTCCGCAAGCTAGGCGACGAGGCCTGGAAGAAGGCCCTAGAGGAGGCTAAGCCCTACCTTGACAAGAACCCCAAGGTCAAGGAGCTGGTCGAGAAGAACGCCGACGCTCTCAAGCAGGGCAACGCCAAGGAGCTGTTTGAGAAGGCCAAGACGGCCGTCGAGTCTGGCGACCTCGGAGGCCTAGAAAGTTACGTCGGCAACGCCGTCGACAAGGCCAAGTCCAAGGGCTCCCAGATCGGCCAGAGCTTCGGCCTGGACCAGTACTTCAAGATGATTCCCGATGGAGACCAGATCATCCCCAAGCTGAAGCAGTTGCGCGAGGTTGCCGACAAGCACAAGGAAGAGGGAGAGAAGCTTTTCAAGGAGACGATTGAGGAGGTCAAGAAGGTCCTTGAGAACAAGGCTAAGAAGGCTGAGGAGATTGCCGACAAGGCCAAGAAGGAGGCCAAATAGAGTGCCACCTCTACGCAAGCAATATGCATCTAATACCCCCACACAGGCTCTCAGAGGGTGGAGTAATGCCTGTACGATAGTTTAAAAGCCTTTTTCTTTGTTTCAAAAAGACAATTATTCCCCGACGATATTATGCTGGGTTCCAGAACTCGAGAAAGTCGCTTTGCTCTTATGCGACAGCTTTTGACTTTCAAGATTGCATGCCTACTTGGCCTGATCCGGACCACGAGCTGAGCAAATTTGAATACAGGTGCCCTGGAAGTTGCAAGACTTGGACGGCTTCTGGAACAACGAGTAGAAAAAGAATAGGATTGTAATCCAGGCTAAAAGCTGATCGTCCATTTGTGAGTTCTGTTATCCATACGAAACATACATATCAAAATGGGTATCAGCCGCGCTTAAGTCTAGACACGGTTATCTGATTGATACTTTGACGAAAATTTTCAGCGTATTTTGCCAGCATGGAGCAATTTCCGGTGTGAATGGCCGTTTCGGCGCCAATTCTCAGCAGTCTTCAAAGTATATTGGCACTTTCAATCAGGCTGATTGGCGAGGAAAGGAGGCTCTTTATTCAAAGAATATGGTCGCTTTCATTGAGTTGTCTGGTTTATTATCAAGAGCGGCTGATCTCCAGTGATAGGCACGCGATACACCGAGTGATATTTATCTCTTATGAGTGCATCCCTGTCGGTTAGCATATGCCAGACATGTTGAACTACTTTATCTCACGTACGTAAATTTGACGGTTTGTCACAGTGCATGCCGGTGTAAGAAACCCAATCAATATTTGGAATTCGCCATTGAAGCTTCGAGAAGGAAAAATAAAAAGATAATAAAAACCCTGTGTTGCTTATACACTGATTTCTAGTGATGGCCATCAACTAGACAACCCCTATCATGAATCTATATTCTCCTTGCTTTAATCGTCGCTAACCCATTGTTTTGAATTGCAAAATCATGTCGCGTTAAATCGTCTAGTCGTTAACTATGTTATGTCTTTAGACACCAGCGCAGGCTGTATAACCGGCAACAGCCTTCGCAGAACTGCAATTAAGTCAGTATAAACAACACACGGGAGTTCAAAGAAAGTGGCGTACCAGTCAGTGATACACGCGGCATCTTTTGCACAACTCTTGATACATGCGACATGATCAGCAGCAGTGGCTGTCTCGCAAGCAGCGATAGAGCCGCCCTCCTTCTTTCCATCTTTCTCCTTTCCGCAAGCCCAGAGATTTTCATTGTTTTGTTCAACTGGCGTAGGAGCAGCGACGACAAGAGTGGCGGCGAAGATGGTGAGTGCGGTGTAGAAGCGCATTCTGGACACGAGTTGAGAGTACGCAGGTAAGATATGGAAAAGTAGTTGATAATGGTAACGTAAATTGGCGCGGACTCTGATTGCTTTTGTGGAATGTCGCGGCTATTCAATGTCTTCCAGTTTATTCGCGCAAGCTGTGTGTCTTGCAGTGATTTGTGATGGTAGAAGCTCGTGGTTTTTTATCTTCAATGCTTATGATGGTGATGATAGATTTCTTCCTATCCCACAGGGGAGATTCTTGCCGGGTGTATATATATGTTTTGTGTCTCCACCAAAACCCCCCAACTGCTTCCATTTCGTTCTACGAACACGATCTTGGCCTACTGCCGGCTAGATAATCTCGCCGCCCGATGGAGTCTGAATGATCCACGGGGAACCCTATTTTGTGAATTTCCGGAAAGTCAGTGGATGACGTCCGTCAACGCTCGCAATATGCTTCCGTTTTAGGTTGTGGAGAATGTGGTGATAACCCTCTTCATATCCGCTGTCGGTTGCATATTGATGTGTAGAGCATGGATGCCGCTTGCTGGCCTTCAAGCTTGACAAGATGAGACGACATGCTTGACCGAATGCGCGAGTGAATGGCAGAAAAGGTTAATACTGCTTAGTAGTTGCCTCAATCTATTGAGGGCCAATGACGTGTCCATTGGCCATACTTCAGACGAGACGTCAAATGACTGATAGAAACCCGGGATGCCTCCCCCATAATCATGGCTTTTACGTCAGGAGGGCCACACCACTGGAAGCCTCGGAGGGCCGCGGTAGCCTCGGGTGCAACACGTGAAGTTAAGCGACGTGAAGTATGGGCTGCATCATTCGGGCTGCCATTTGATCTTTACCCTTGTAGAAGATTAGAGCCTTGATCACTTCGAGGGATACGATTGGGCACATGGACGACAGCTTGCCCCAATACACCTTGCAACTTACGTTGAGACACATCATAAGTGTCTCTTCTAGACTCATGAGGCTCCAAAGCTACCCTCTCCATGGACACACTGGACAACCCAAGCGGTTGGGAAAACCTTTCCAACCAGTCAATGCGGTTATAAGTGGTTCGGACGATGAGGCATGCCGAGGCATGGCCGAATCGAGTAGCAACATCACCAGCCTATTATATGCCTTCCTACGGAACACAAGGGAAGAATAGGGTCTATCTGGCGGAATCCCGGGGCCCTCTTTCTTGCGTCACTTCTTGGTTTTGACTCGGATCAATCTAAGCTCTCCCGGCCCCGCGGAAAGGCCCCACGCCGTCCATCCGGCACCCCGATAACTTGACGTTGGTTCAAATAACATTCTGCCAAGAAGTCATGACAAAAAGACAGGTTTGCATAGCTGCGGGTGGTCGATGATAATCGGATAGGTCGGTGGATTTATGACGTGCTGTAAAGTATTACGACCTACAACCTCGGCGATTCAGCTACTAGGGATCCCAGCCATGCACCGTGAAGGAGGCGGTGCGCGGGCGATACTCAATCGGGCCCAACAACCAAAAGTGGCCGATCTCATCACCTTGCAGTCTGGGTAGAAGCCGTATTCGGCTTTTCAAATTGAGACGGTCCTCAACGAGGCCCACCAGACACCGTGTCTTCGGCACCCTAGCTCTAGTCAACGTTTCGGAATCAGGCACGTAGCATAATGTGCTCCGTGATGTTACTGACAAAGTATATCTTCGACTTGCAACCAATGCCACAGAATAGACTAGCAATTTCTTTGGGCTTATTTTGATCATTCCTATCTCATCGCCGCGTCGAACCTTCGTTATAAGCTTCTACAAACGAACTAGCCTCTACCACCGCGATCTACTCCTACATCATCGCGAAAGAGTTATAACACTTTGTTTGGTGACTTGAAGTCTTTCTATGAAATTGATATGTGTTGAATGGATTCTCTCTTCCTGAGAGAACCCGTTTGTACGATCGTACTCGGGTTAAAGTTAGGGTGAACCAAAGATATATTTTCCGTGATTATCTTCCTAACTACAAGACTTGGCTTTCGTACACGAGATATATGATCTCGTACGTCCCTGAGTCAGTTCGGCATGAATATACTTTTGATCCCCTCAATGGATAACCGAGGGCCGAATATCCAGTCTGTGCCCTCTGCCATGATGTGTGTCCCTGAGTCGTGCGTGTCGTACAACCAGCTGGTGCTGTTATTCCAACACTCACAACTTTTTCTTTTGTGACTGCACGACTCCCTGCGGTGTCCAATCAGGTTGCGCTGATTGTGACATCAATAACCTCATCGTACAATCCTGTGGGTTAGGCCACTTGCGTTGTACGATAAATCACCAATATCAAAACTCCAGGCAACTGTCCATTCCCTTCTTGCCTGGTTGAGCAGGCAAGTCACGTGTTGGTGAAGTTCCTTCCTTCCTCGTTGACTTCACTTCTGCTCCTGCTGTTGACGTACCTTCCTTCCTTCGTACGGCAACCTTAGCTATTTAAAACCCTTCTCACTTGTTTTTCTTTTTCTCTTTTTCTTTTCTTCTTCACCCTTCGCACGCGTCGCTTTCCCATACAATCGATCAACGACGATCTTCCCCTTCTTCCTCAATCAACTCCAACAACAACTACTTGTACGTAGGATTTCCTCTCGTACGTTTCCTCTTACTGATTCATCAATAGCACCTCGCACGATCAATCCATCATGTCTCTCGCTGCCCCCGGTGGTTCGATCTTCGGCAACATCGGTATGCATACCGATGCGTCCGGTGGTCGTTGGCTTCGTCTTCCGACTGGCAACGCCAACAATCGCGCTCTTCTGTTGGCTCTGGCCATCAATGTACGTTACTTTTGTCCTTACCTTGTCTTCGTACGTTAACCTTGACTGCAGGATGAGGAGCGTCTCATCATCAACATGCCGTCGCGCGATATCGAGATCCGCGTCACTAGCAACACTTCTGTCCAGCAGTTTGTTGCCAGCATCATCCGCCGCCAGGGCTACTTCCTTGCGGTCTTGGTTCAGTCTCGTGGTCGTGCGGCCATTGCCTGTGGCAATAAATGCGCGACTACTGACTCCCCGCGCTTCCGCCAGTGCACCCGCATTCCCACCTTTCAGGGTGGCGCCTGCGCCGAGTGCGTCTAGCAGTCGCACGGCGCTCGCTGCACCCACCGCGGTCGAGATGTTGATTCGTCCGACAACCCGGGCGATGATGATGATGATGATAACGGCGGCCCCAGCAACTACAAGGCTCCCAACGTCACTAATGCTCGTGAGCCTCGTACGCCTGGCAGCAAGCTTGGCAAGAACGTCGGCAAGGGCGGTCGCTTCCTTGGCACTTCTGCTAGCCCCATGGTTATCGACAAGGAGTAATCGCACAACTTCTCTTCCCTGAAATCTCGTACGACAATCAGATGGATTGCACGATATGGTAATTTGGGAAGGTTGTGGATATGGTGGAGGTACGATCCGACATTGAGATCGGCATTGGTAGTGGTCAGGTATATCAGATACCTTCTTGAGGTTACACTTCGTTTTCAGATAGTTGGTAACGTATGGCGGTGAGGTTGTACGAATTAATTGTCAAGTGTTTTCTCCTAATCTTTCAATGTACGCCTCGATTCGAATCCTTAATGTGTTTGTTGTAATCAATTGTCCAAGTGCTGAGTTTGGTGATTTCTTGGTGAAGGCGTTGGCAGGGTTATCTTTCCCATCAATCCATCTCACTTCTGAGATCTTTTTCTTTTCGTACGACTCACGTAGACTCATAATATCAATTATAAGCCTCTTTTCATCTGTTGTGCCTAGTCGTACGAGGCACTCATATAGAGATCGTGAGTCTGAACAGATGATAACTGGAATCCTTGGGAGTTGTAATATACGAAGGATCTTGGTAAGTGTCGTACTAAGGGATATCCCACTATCAAATCCTGTGGTCATCCCGTACAACTCGCTTGCAAGTACGCTTCGTGTGACTCTCTTGCACTTTGTTGAACTCCAGTGTATAATGTTTCCTTTGATCTGGAAGTCTGTTGTCGTGCGAGCTGTTTCCTCAGCTAGTACGATAACAAATCCAAGTTGTGACGATAGATCTGAGTTGTTTGCAAATGATCCATCCGTAAAGATGTACATCTTCGCACGATGGAGATCAAGAGGGATATATGTAAGACCTCGTGTAGGGTTATCGATTTGCCACTGAAGTCGTACATTCAAAGTTTCAATATCCTTCTTATCAGGCTCCTTAGTTTGGGCTGCAGTTGACAGGTCGTACGATGCCTCTGGTTGACAGATAGATGCGAGGTATGCTCCTCTTGCCCTTTGGGAAACATACTGCTGATGTGCATCGTGCGCATCAGGATCAACGAGTTTCAGGTGCTTTGCCTGGCCTTTTTGAGTAAAGGTAATGTGGTCATCGTGCGATTGAATCCTTCCCCCATTAAAGTCAATTTCACTGTTGGGCGATAAGGTGGTCTTTGGTTTCGCACGAAGTCCTTTCCTTCTCAGCTCTTCTTCTTCTCTCTGGGAGAAGGCAGGTGTAGCAAAGCTAAGTGTATCGTCTGTCTGCATAGCTGTAATCCCGAAGGTATCCGGTCCTTCTGTTGTATACAGCAAGCATGGATCGTACGTTGACTCTGTCATCTTCAGATCTTTCTTGTGATGCTCAGAATAGGTTTTGTACCAGTATAGGCCTGACTCTGCTAGGCCGTATAGTGGTTTCAAGATATGGAGAAGTGTGTTCTTAGGGTATTTGTCTTCTAACTCCTTGGGTAGTCGTGCGATAATTGTCCTGGTTAGACGATCGTCCGACTGTGTATATGCCTGAGTTATGTCTCTGAGTTCCCCTTTGCATTTGTAGTCTCGCACAAGGGTAGGTCCAATCGCAAGTATGAGCCTTTGGCTCATCCGTTGGATAGTAGGTGCCTGGGTTAAGAGTTCTTCTTTTTCCCAGTCCCCATACCCTTGTACGACGAGTCTTGACTTCTCGTACGGCTTAGATGACAAGTTCTTGATCTCTCGTACCATCCGTGTCTTGTAGATACGGAGGTGGTCATGCTCTT